CTAATGCCAATACCAACCTTAAACGATTCACTTCTGGAAGCGTGATCTATCGGAAAAGATCCTTTCGAGTGAACACACCGTAGAGAATCAGTGCTAGCTTTTTAAGTGATAATGCACATTTACGCATTGTTTTATACATTAACTTTCATCAAAACGAAAGCCAATGGCTATATTGGAGACGCTCAATGGCGTGGACCACTTTTACCAGAGATGTGACCGATGGCGTGTTCTATTCCAGGGCGTGATGTCGAAGCGGTTTCTACAACCGGGATGCGGAATCACAGAGACCCGGACAACTGTCAAAAGCTGAAGACATTTACTTTAACGGTAGCATTTGTATACATGGAAAACCTAAACGTTATAAACCATGATGGAGCCCTCTGCTTCAGTCCGAAAGCTGACCTTGGTCCTGTGGCGGAGATTTTCCCTAGAACAGTCATGTACAAGCGTTAGCCTCTACCGGCATATGCTGCTGATCGCTGATGTACGTTCAATTTGGTTGCGCATCTCTGTGAAAAAATTCTAACGCGTCGAAAAAAGTATTAGCTGTTTTTTTTTAATTAAATAGTTTTAAAAATGGTCATATATGTTAGCTAGAATGAGATATTATGCAAAGCTAAGAGTAGATGTGCTGCTATCACTAGAAGGCCTTTACTTAGACCTATAGAGCGCCCTGGACACAAGAAAAAATCTCCGCGGAAAATTTCTACTGTTTCTACGATGATTATTGTCTCGACTCATAAGAAATTCTACCGTTTACGCTCATTAACGCCCCACAAATGATTTTGTCTCTGGAAATTTCGGTGTGAAAACGCTCCTCATAGAGAGGGCCCAAATATGAAAAAAGCTATTGAAATCATCGCGAAAGCTGGACTAGGTCCAGACGCGAGTACATACGATGTCGCAGAGGAGCTAGACATTTACTAGCAAAAAGTTTAAAACCGTCAAAACAACTGGCATAAAGCTATGTTTGGTGGTTAAGTATAGCGAGAACTGACGCAAAAAAAGTTCACGTGATCGTACTACCATCTGCGGAAGTCTACAACGAAATAGAAGCATTTCTAAAGCGACTGGTTACGGAAATGAAAAATAGGCCACGTGCAATAGCAAACAAAAATGAGCCAGTTAAGCCCGGCCTGATGACGAAGTAGATGATGCTATGAGTTTGGTAGAACTGGGAAGGCATCATGCTTTATGAGTCGCCAGTCAAAAAAACAGAAAAAACTGTCGTCACCGTTCAGTGAACAGAAGAGCTGTCGTCCTTTACCATGACAGTGCATGATGTGACAAGGCTTCTACAACGATCGGATAATATTGCTATAAAAAAAAAATGGCAAAAGACCATCGATCAGAACAGCGTAGCTCTAGTTTGGTGGTATTAGTATAAGCATGATTTGATTTTAACACAATCAATGTTTTTTTTTTTGTTTTGTTTGACAAATTAATATGGCTCTTTTGCTTGCTATTCTGCTACCTGCTGCTCCGTTTATAGGTGGGTCAAGGCGGCGGTCCAAAAAATAACGCACATGGAAAACAGAGGGGAAATTATCTCTTATATAACATGTCACAGTCTGTCACGGACTAATAAAGGTTTCGAGTTTTTATTGGGCAACTGCTTACGGCAGACATTGTTTGAGGCCGCGGGTGTCTTAGAGCCCAAAGCAGCGTACGTGTGCCAGACTATTCCTCGTATACCTTACCACTGCGCCATTACGAAATCCTTCATGAACTAGATACCGCAACCCTATACAAAAGCGTAACTACTGCTGCACAGTCCACCATCAAAACGAAAAGAGAAAATGATTCGCAAGGCCAATTCCTTTCTTTTTGAATATTCTAGTGTTATTTGAGGGATTCTTTTATTCTAATGAGACCAAAAACACATCCTTCTTATATTAGTCAGCCCGGAAGTGATAATCTTAGCATCAAAGAGATTCTTCACGTGGGAAACTTATAGATGATCGATTAAATCGATCCTAAATAAGATTACTTCGTGGCAAAACTTATCGAGCGTATAGATACATTTTGTGACCACTAAAACAAACCTCTTAATAAGACCGACAAGAAGATTTAAGCGTTTTTCTGAACTGGAAACCTGTCCGTCGTTCTAGTCGAATCTCAAGGCGGGAAGGGTGCTCTGACCGATAACAATGCATCTTTTTTTTTTATAACACTGCAAAAGTTTTTTCAACTGTAGCTGTTTATAGGAACACGCCCGTAAAGGTAGCGAAATTGGGTAAAAATTGCACGCGCCAAATTATCTAGCATCGGCGAATTACATCGTTTCACACGGCGGGACAGCTGAACATCCTCAGTTCAGTCTACGTACTGAAGTGGCTCGAGAGGGTAATTCAAATGCTCGTTCTAGTCCAGGTCCTACATAGCGGGGCACAATCCATTCTTTAAGCATTTGTACATTCTCACGCAAGCGGCAATACGAACAAGGAGTTGTTTTCTCATCTAACGGTTTGGCAATTCTTAACGTTGAATTAGTAGATATGAATCGGTATTGCCAAGGTCAAAAAAAATAGACCTTCGCATTTGTTTCGACTACAAAGTAAAAGTATGAAATTTTTTAGCGTTTCCCTCTGTTGGGCATGACACTTACCCCAAGTGACTTTTCAACCTCATGTCAATGAACTGGTTCAAAAAATGCTAACTGAAAACTTCTCGATTAGAGATCCTTACGAGTTTGCACTTACTACAATTATATAAAGGTTAGGCTTAATTTATTATATTAAAGCCCATTAGTTCGTTCGAGTTTGAGTAAATCAGGCCGGTTTAAGGCTTCCTACCTACGGTGCATGGGTATTCGCTTAACACGTCTGGTGGCCATAAATCCTAAATCGGTTTCGCGGTGTCAACCAAATGGACGATTTATTTTTCATGCCAAAACTGTAGCTCGTGTACACTACATGTCTGCATATATAGCTATACGTTCATTTATTTTATTTATTAATTTAATTGTATCTGTCTACAGGATCAGTATTTATGATACGTTCTTAATATAATAGTTAATGGTTATGGATGATTTAATTGATAAGGCGAGCTTTCATTGGGTATCATTGCGCTTCTTTTAAAGCATGTACAACAATCCCAATAGATACAGTCTTGTAGCGTAGTCATTGTTTTACGAAGTTCATTGCACAACCGGCTCACCAGCCCGTGCGAATCGCTTCCTGGCTTTGTACGTTGCGCGGTAAAGCAAACAAAAATTGACCGTCACCATTCCGAATTATGAGTCAACTCCAGGCACAAATGATATAGGCTAGGACGCTTAGTTTGCACCCAGTTGGTCCTTACTGCGGCTTGCCGCAAGTTTTCCAGCTACTAAACTTCATTTGTAAACCTTTGTCCTGGCCTAAACGCTTGTACACGAGCTGAAGTTCAATTATGGTCGAAGTAAGTAAAAAGCACTTGTAGTAACTGCAAGAGCCATAGATACGTCGAACTGGTTCTGCACTAGTTTGTTTATGCCTCAAGCGTGTCTCGGAGATATCCAGCAAAAATGCTGGGACATGATGGTAACATGACAAGGCACCAGGATAATCTGAAGATTACAATTTCTCAAATATCAAGCATGTCTTCTGCGTGTAAGTCAAATATAAATTTTAAAAAACCCTCAATCTTCAATACTTCGTATTAGGTCATTTATATTGACTAACTATGTATTAGTATGTTTGTTGTAGACACTTGTAGCACGAGCATACACGAGATACGTGCTTGTAACAACGACAATCATACAGCATAAAACTGGCCTTATTAACAGAATCCAATGTAGAATTAATTATTTTATTTAATTATATCAGCCCACAGATTTCTAAGAAATATGTACACATTTTCGGTTTAAAGAAGCCTTAAATAAAATACATTTGAAGAACAGATGTATTTATATTAATTTATATCAATTCATGCCAATTGAGTTAATGAATAGTATACAACACCATGAAGTACTACGGGTGCCCTTAGGGAAACCATCTACATAAGTCCGGGTTGAGTCCGCCATTACAGACTGTGACACAAACGTGTTCCTTGGTCAACGTCATTGAAGGTCGTTAAAACTATTACCGTTAATAGTTAGCTACTGCGAGAGCGTTATCGGTCTTGCCTGTCGTTTCGAAAAAAAACATCTATTGATTGTGCTGCGTGTTTAAATCAAGATTTAAATTTTCAAACGAACACGATACATTTTATACTGCATGGATTATAAGGTAAGTGGAACGCGCGCTATATAATTAGCACATAATTAAGAAATTATGGAAATATACGCCTTTGTATAACTTAGAGTTACGATGTCTTTCTCCTTCGTAACGCTATGACCATATTTCCTGATTGAATCAACAGCAGCACGCGCGTAAGGCACCTGTCACCTGAATGACAATAAGCACATTTGCGTTATATCTGCCGTGTTCGTTATTAGTTAGATGGTGATGCTGGCGCATTGTTCCCTGCCTGTGTATTGATCTGGATAATTTTTGAGGTTACCCTATGTGTATATTGGTGGCTTGCTGATCTCAAAAAGTCGTTAATAAGTTGGTATTCTCGACCGATTTTCCCAGCTATGGAAAATTCATTTCTTTAGTCCTTACAGGCCTCCGCATATTCATGGTCCTTCGTTACTAGTGTTTACGAATCGATCGAAATGTAGCTGTGAGTCCTAAACTTAGCGATGAGCCTTTTAATTGCGTCGTACGGAAGTACGAGAAAGAAAAGCTCGACGCTAACCAGTGTTCGAAGGCTCAGCAGTGCCACATTTACGGTCTTGTCTCCCTCGCCTTCGATAGCGCACAGGGCCGCTCTTGGCCTTAGTGCCTGATTGAATTTTCGATGTAGTGTAAACTGTATAATCGACGCTAAAACCATTGACGCGAAGGCGAGCACTACAACCATTGCGTACGTCGACCAAACACCTGATATGTTGTTTGATGAAAATAAATCGGGTTGAAAGAGTCTCTTTAAACATTCCGGTAGGTGACTCTGTGTTAAGGTCAGTAACATACCGATGGCGAGACTCACAGCGAAGGTGATCAGCGCGAGTCGACAATACTGTTGATGTACCGAAGACGTCCTCACGAAGAACATGCTAAATATGAACAAGCTCACTGTTAACATAAACAACATTACAGCAGCATGACATCTGGTGGGCGCTGCGCCCAAGACAAGATCGCCAGAACTAAACAAGAACAAGGCAAATGCGATCGAGTAGATTGCCAAGAGCACAATGCGCGCCCCTGAATATTCACACAGTTTCTCTAGAAGCCACAGTGCCAGCAGACAGACTGCCGGAAACGCAAACACAATACCCAACTCAGTCTGGAATAAGACCTCGTCGCTAATATATAGTGTCCTGAAAAATAAAAGCAGAACTTGTACTAAGGTATGGGTAAAGCACAGCATGGACAAATGGGCGACGATTACGTCGATGGCCAACTTTTCGTTTGTTTTACGACGATCATCTTCCGCATACGCTCGCAATACGCTTTCACCGGCAACGTCACCGAAATGTATACCTCGGCCGTGTTGCAGGTCATTGCGATTGGAAACGTCGGCGAGGAGACACCCTGTAGCCCATGTCACCGAGCGCTCTCTTTCAAGTCGAGCAGCTCCTGAGCTTCCCAGCGTGTTTATGTAGTCCACCCGTTCCGAAGAAATCGAGCTTGCTGGACTCCGCATAATCGCTTGAATCTGAATAGCCTGGTCAAGGGACCCATCTTCTCCATCTTCGTCGAACGGGTCGGAATAGCGGTTACTGCTATCTTCCGAGTCGGATGCTACTGGTCTTGGCGACGACGTCATCGTCTTCACGCACACGCCACTCAGCTAGACTAAAACATTGACTGTGGTCTTAGCGTATTTTCTAGCCGTTCGAAAAGCGTTGTACAGCAGCGGTTCCGCAATGTAAAATGTTGCAGACGACGCGAAAACATACGAATGTACGGAAATGTATTCAAAGTCTTCGTTATGTTCAATTTACGTTGGACCTTAAGGTAAGCACAGTCTTGCCTTTCTTGCCACGTTCCATGAGCAAACATGTGGGCAGCTTTGAAGCAGTCATCCTGTAGCAGAGTGCTACATCTATTGTTATGTATTGTGTGCGCATCCACGTACAGGTTCTGTGACGTTATTACCCACCAGAACGATTTTTTCCATTGGACTGAATAGCGATCAGCATCACCATCACTGACCACATCGTTGTATCGGATATTAACTGTTGGTGTTCAGTGCAGTGCATGGGCAGGCCGACATGTGGCTTCAAAATGAATGCGTTTACCGTATCATATGATGTTGTCGCAGAGACATCGTTGTTGGACTAGAGATCATTCGCAACTGGCAACAGCTGCCATAGAAGATGGAAGGAAAGTTGCTCAGAGAAATACGCATTGGTTTAGGAGATATATATATATATATATATATATATATATATATATCTATATATATATATATATATATATATATATATATATATATAGTACATCTTGCACTTTTTGTGTATTTTGTAGATACGCATAGATAGATAGGTTTTTGGAGCTGAGATAGAAAGACAATAAGCAAATTGTGGGCAAAAAGTTCAAGCTGAACGTACTTGAATCGTGGTAATAGCTCTAAATATTTATGTTTCAAAAACTTTTATACAACTTTGGAAAAATCGTGCTAAGTCCGTCACCTCATTTGCCTCTTGTCCTCTACTGAGGAAGCCCCTCATCTTTGCATGGGCGTAACTTTTAGCTGTTCCTGTAACCTGCTGATCACCTTCCCCAATCTACCAATTTGGTGTACCCCCAATGTGGTGAACATTTCTGCAGAAATCCATATGATTGTTACCATTTGCAAACTTCTGCCCAGTCAGGCCTCTATATCACTCTCGATGCCTCCTCCTCCTCCTCCTCCTCCTCTAGTTACTACAGTCAGTCCTCTTACGTCGCAGTATTTTGGGTATCGAGCATCACGTCGTTGCTGCTGCTCCCGGAAGAATTCCGGCTCTGTGTGCACTTCATGAGTTGTGGTGCCATCTGTACAGTTTCTCATACCGTAGCACCTGCCTTTCCAGTATTTTCTATCCTTTAGCGTTAAGTTTATCTATCGTTTTAGTTGTATGGTGTCACCATTTAACCATTCTGCTTTAGAAGGCCGTGGCTGTTCGACGTTATGGTCCATGGGCCGATAAACCCTGTGGCCGCCCTACGAACCCTTGAGCCGAAATCTGTCAAGGGACTGCTAGCACAGTATGACGGCCTGCGAGCCGACAAACACTCTTACAGGTAGACAGATCTGGTTACTTTAGCATGGCTATCGCTAACGCTGTGCTAACTATACATTTACGGACTGACTGATGCAGCGTTTGCTCCTCTCTCAGTTTCAAACAGCGACTGCCTCCGTATCGGCTGCGACAACTGCAACAACGGGTCTTTCGCCTATGCTTTTTTTGCTACGTGCAGATCGTCAGTGATGGAGCGAGTGACGACGCTTCGCCGAGCACTCCCCTTCTCTTCATGGCTACAACGGCAGGGGAAGCGGCACAGAGGCACTCACGATGAAAACGAAGGCGAGATTGAACGAGATCAACGCAGCGGAAGCACGAACCGAAACGCCGAACGAACGATGAATGGCGACAGTGGCAGAATCGCAGTCGCGCATAGCTAGCGATTGAACCCATCGAAGTACTGCAGCGGTGGAAGCCGATCCGAACAACGGCGGGCCGGTACCGGCCAATATTTTCTCCGTCGTTACACTTAGCGTTCTGCTTAGCGGCGACAAAACGTACACGGCAGCTCCAGCGAAAGCAGAGGCAATTCGAGGGAGAGACGCGTCAGTTATCGCGACGGTGACGGTGGCTGCTAGTGGTCCAGCCCAGCCAAGCCGAATGACGAACCCTACGAACGAACAACGGCTGATGACGCGATGATGATGGAAGTGCAGCAAGCAATGCAGAGCGAATGCCGAACAGGAAAGAGGCGATCAACCGGTTTTGTTGGCAGACGCACGGTCGTCGTCACTCTCCAATGATGGTGCCGCAGCAGTCGGCAATGTTTTCAATACTTCGTTCACAGGTCGCTTCTGCAGCAGAACGATAGCACACAAAGGACGAGTGGATAGATCGAACTCCGGTGGTGATGCCGGCTGCTGGCTACGGCCTGAAGCTGCGATCTTCTGTGATGATGTTTTGTGTCTGTGTGGTAATGAACTGCTCGCTGGCGCTGGTGACACGCGAAGCAACCAAATCGGATCGTGTAGAGTCGCGGAATCAAACAGCAAGCTGAGGCTGGCTGACTCGGCAGTAGCAATAAAAGCGTGTACGACGGATATACTGACTGGTGTTTTTCGATGCTGTTGTCGGAATCCATACGAACTGTCTGGATCTGCGTAGTGGTTGGTTGTTGAGGGGAAAGCGAATTTCGGGGTAGATGAGTGGATGAAAAGAAGGTTCAGAGTCCGAAGTGAGAGCCTAGAAGCTGAAGAACGCACAAGAGAGGGGTGCCAGAGATCATGTAGAACGTGAGGGATCGAGAAATAGAAATTCGCTTCGACTGCGCAAACCTGTAATCAACCCGTAATGAAGAAATCGGCTGAAAGGCTGTGTTTGGTCTGAAGCAGGCAGGAGTGTGAACGATCGTGTTAGTGAGTATGTAGTTGAATAAATAACCTATAAGCTTTCTTGGGTTTGTGAGTAGTGTTCGTGTTACGCGAAGTTTGCCAAAGATGCTATGGAGGGCTGGTGGTCGATACATGTCGCATTGTGCATTCTCGGCACAGCACTGATTTACGGACCGTTACTGAAAGCCCCCCTTTTGTACGACGATGTCGCAGCCGTCGAGAGAAATCCGGATGTAAACTTGCCCCTAACTTGGTCGCTGTTCGAGAATGACTTTTGGGGCACTCCACTCAAGTCCAACTTCAGTCATCAAAGTTACCGACCACTTACAGTGCTGACGTACCGACTAACCAACAATGTGTTTTATCAGCGGTTGTTCAACGCTATACTTCATGTTATCAATACGTTGTTGTTCACGACCCTGGTGCAGGAAAAAGCAGGAAACCGGGTAGCCAGAATCGCGGGGGTACTGTTCTGTTTTCATCCTGTACAAACGGAAGCTGTGATACAATTGGTAGGTCGAGCAGAACTTTTGTCCGCGTTTTTCTACCTGATGTGTATATTCAGTTCAAGTTATTCGATTGCATGTGTGTGCACGAGCCTCGCGATGCTCTGCAAGGAGCAAGGGGTAACAGCCCTCGCAGTGAAAGCCTTACTGGATATTATTTACTATCATGCCGGCCACAAAGATAAAACCCTCTGGAAAAAGTTGCTGATATCCACCTCAGCCACAATGGGTCTCCTTACGACCAGATTCGCAATCTCTGGCGGTACTCCGTCATTTCATGAGTTCGATAACCCCGCCCGACAGCTGGCATCGCCGCTCAGACAGATCAACTTCGTCTATTTGGCCCTATTCAACGTCAAGCTGTTATTAAACCCATATTGTCAAAGCTGCGACTACTCGTTTGAATCGATACCTCTCATCGAGAGCTTTTTCGACAAACGAGTACTTTACGTGACGTTCTTTGCGGCGACCACGTTAACTGTGATAGCTTCATTATTTAGGAGTCCCGTGGAAAAGGCCATGAACGGATCTGGTGGCGATGAACTCAAAGTGCCGTCCTGTAATAGTAAACGTACCAACAATCCTAGCCATCAACATCAGTTCAATAACAATAACTATATTCCGTGCAAGATTACCCAAGAAGTGACAGGAGCAGGTATCTCAACACAAGCCGCGCTTCCGCTGACCGCCTTAACGATGGCATTCATTCCCTGGCTGCCCGCGTCTAACCTTTTATTCTACGTGGGCTTCGTCGTGGCCGAACGAGTTCTCTATCTGCCCGCGATGGGGACCTGCTTCCTAATAGCAGTTGGCTATGGCAAAATATGGGCTCTGTTGCCTGAACGCAGCAGCTCGCTGTTACGGAACGCCCTGGTGACCTTCAGCTGTGCGCTGTTAATGAAGAGCGCGATTCGCGGACAACAATGGAGAAGCGGGGTGCAACTCTTTGGAGCGGCGGTACGCGACTATCCAGGTAAGTGATACTTCGTAGTTTTCGTGAGAAGTGCCCCGTCATCTGACTGAGTGATATTTTTTGAAAAAACAGGGGTAAACGCGACAGTAGAAAAGTGTCTTACAGAAACAACGATTTCTGACATTCAGACGACAGCTTCAGGGCACATAGCACCTGTTAATTTCATACTATGATCGTAACTTGTGAAAGCATTTTCTCCAGTTTCTACACGAAAATTCCAACTAGGAACTGCTGTAATTTATACCTTATTCCAGTATAGCCGTTCTGACTAAATATTCTAATAAAGTGAATAAAATATACCGTATGTCTACTTCTATTACTGTTCGATTACAGGGAATATAAAGATGTGGAATAACTTGGGTAAGGCATTCGAGATAGAGGGGGAGTTCCATCTCGCGCTCAGTTGTTTCGACCGTTCGTTGAAACAGCGCGACGAAATTCGGGCGCACTGGTATAAAGCTAGACTCCTTTCAAAACTGAATAAAGATGATCTAGCCAGAAGCATCTATCGGGAAAAATATCCGCTTGTCGCAGTTCCATTTGACGATTTCGTGAAGATACGCAAAGAGGACATCTTGTTTGTCGTTGACTACATTCGTCTCCTCATAAAGATGGACGCGCTTGAAGAGGCGAAGGCTGTGGTTGCTGAGATGATGACTTCGACGCCAAATGTGGCCGAATTTCATATTGTTGCTGGTGAATTGTTCTACCAACTCGACATGAAACCTATGGCTGAGCGAAGCTATCGCAAGGTTCTTGAGATCGATCCTAGGTTAGCGGACGCGTATTACAACGTAAGTGCCAGAGCTTTAAATGAGATGTCGTTAACAGAAAGAAAAAGCTTGACTTAAAGTACAGCTTTATATGATACTAGATAAAGCCCAAATAAGTACAGTTGCCGTAAATACTTTTATTGTAGTTACTAGTATTTTTATCGTAGCTATTTAGGGACAGTTAAATGATGTTCCCAATAAAACCAACACTTTTTCAGCGTAGAAGAAATATTTTCGGTTACTTTGTTGTATACACATGTTGCAGACTATCAATACATGATTTATTAAAAGGAGATCATTTTTTAAATGACTTATGAGTATAGTTAGCTGATGTTGATAGCCGCGTGTAATTAATCTGCTTGTCTTCAGCTGGGCGTGTTACTTATGGAACGCGGAGCTACTGATGGAGCGGCCTCAATGTTCCAGCAATGTATTGAGCTCAATCCGACACATGAGCCTTCACGCGTGAATCTCGACGTATTGAAGACTAACACGGAGGATGACACCATGATGTCTCTCTACAAGGATGCAATGGACGCACTGAGGGAAGGTAGCTACACAGCAGGTAAGCGTGTCCATCCTTTTCTTTTTCAATATTAAGTAGTCACGAGTCCACTACTATGGGTATATTTCTGTTGGTAAAATATAGTGCTTCGTTATTCTAGTCTCCTTGAGTACCCTTTTCATTTGGGATTTTCATAGAAGTCATTATACATTCCACACACGAAACTCATGAAATATATATATATATATATATGCTGCTGCCATCCCAGTATCCGGTTGCCAGCTGAGTGAAGACACAATGAATCATTTCCGGGTGCACGAAATCAGTTTTGCCACTATAGTCGAATCCCTGTTTTTAGTTCGCATGTTCTATACATTGCACAAATCGCGATATGGTGCCACCGCCTATCGTTTGATGTATCAGCCAACGATGTTCCCAGGGTAGCATGAAAGGTCAGCTAAGAAGCATCAACATGAATCAGTGTAAGGTAGCGGTCGGCGTTGTCATTGTTTCTGTTGGCACTATTTTCAGCGGAATCTTTACTGCATCGTGTATTATCCCGACAGCCTCACCATCCGTCTGCGCTGTACAATCTTGCCCTATTACAAACCCAGTTGGGGAAGTCGCCAACATCATCGATAGCATTTCTTGACCGACTGCTCGTTGAACGGCCGTCTCATTCGAAGGCTTTGCTTCTCAAAGCTAGTATCCTCCATCGGCAACTAGGCGATACCGAGTCAGCAATAAAGGTTTGTTGTTAATAATATTTAGCTGGCATGAATAAGGGCAACGCAACCACTTCTGGTACAAAATCTATAAAATGTAGAGCTATGACCGACACATTGTGTCATCAGTACTGAATCCTAAAGTAGCAAATCGAATAGGGGATGACAACTAAAATGAACTGCGCTTTTAATATTCTCTGCAAGTATACCATACTTGCGCTATTACTGTTTTTTCAGGGCCAAATGGAAATGGTTTCACTTGAGCCTTATGACCTGAAGGTTTCTGTTGAGGACATTTGCAGCCGTGTATCAGCTCTATCTGTGATTTCCTCAGGCATTTTTCCTAGCTGGTTTTCGAAATAATGCCTGTACCGAAATTGAAGCTTTGTCCAATTTCAAGATCCGACAGCGTTCTTTAACCTTGAAGCGCTTAAACTCTACTAGTCCCGTTCGATCGGACTAAATGGCACATACGCTACAAAGTTCCTGTGATAATAACCCGCTATATATTATTCTTAACAATATTCTCCAGGGCAGTATTCTCAACTCTGTTACTTGACCATTGTTGAGGTAAGCATTCGCAACGCAAATGTTATAGACAAGACGTCAAGAAGTTTGTTTAAGTTTTAAGCTGCGTCTCCACCGGAATAAGGGCGACATATGACATGACAAGGTACGCAGCCAAGGTACTGTGTCCAGCCGCAGTGATTTGTCTATGCCCACACCATTAAGCAAGTGAAGTTCGTCCCCTGCAGGATCGTTTCGTGGCCAGCATGAATCCACAGCTTGACCACGCTGCTATCCTTCATCGACTTTTTGTGCTTGCCCATTTATATCATTGAGGACGATCACCTATCTTATGGCTATTTCGCTCAATGCACGCTCTTCACGAAGCTGGGCTGGCTTTCCTAATCTTTACCAAAACTAGGCCGCCATTCTGTATTCCTTGAACATTGCTTGAGTCAAATTCGTTGTAGATAGGTAGAGACATTTAAGAATAGAAAAAAAAAAAGGGCAGCTTTATTTACCTATTGCCGCAGACTGATTCCTCATTATGCTTATTATAGCTGAACTGTGATAGTCAACTGCCGTAGTAGGGAGCAGCAGCGGTTCTAATGTTTTTTGTTTTTTAACTGGGCGTAAATGATAGCGTTGTGTGGCTCTCAAAAAGCGGAAACGCGGCTGGCGGAGATGCGGAAAGGAGCGGACCGATTCAGAACAATTTGTGACTATGTCGATCCGACGGATCATCCGAAGAGATTCCTAATCTAGTAAAACGGAACCACAAGGACAAAAAGGATATGCCCGTGTGAAAATCGTTGCCGAACAGATTCAATACTATCGGTATTGGTACAGTAATATATCAATACCTTGTAAGTGGGTTGATAAAACAGGCCTAAGATATGTTCGGTAAAGAAAAGCAACTATGGTCACTTTTTATGCGCCTGATTCCTTAATGTACTGATACGTTTAGTTCGTATACGATGCTTAACCGCAATGTGTCAAAACGGACGGTCGTGGCTATCATTTCAATATGGCTAAATTTTTTGTGCGGTCGATAAAAGCGAGATAGCAATTCGATATATAAAAAGTAGCCCTTAAAATGACAGTGCTTGCAACAATTTCCACTAAGTCCAAGGTGTTTGGTTTTTTCTTGGAGTCAACTAAGTCAAATGCATTTTTCTATAGTGAGAACTTTTCAATTGTTTTCTTTTGGGGGTGTATCTTTGGACCCATGGTTTCCTGTTCGAGACAGAACTTATGAATTTCATTAAGTTCCTTCAAGTAGGTTCTGTATATAACAATAATAATAATAGTAATAAATTGGGCCTGAACGCTCTAGATCTGTTTAGCACCGGATCGCATCATGCATCGGCCCAGCCTCCGCGGCTATGACCACCTATAGACACCATAGACTAACGTATCTTTCCCTCCATTAAACGACCCGTATTATGTGTATGCTCTAGATATTATCTAACAGTATAATCGTGTTAACAATCACACAGATCATACTGTTAACGATCTAAGTAAAATTTAAACCTAATTTAGGTTGAGCGTAGGTGGTTCTCTCTACTACTGTCGCCCATCTGTTGCAGTAACCCACTCTGTTCCATTAGGTTGCGGTTTGTCTACTATTTAGTTTTTAGTAAATGAAGTAGGAAGGTAATCTTGCCAGTCATTCGGTTGCCTTATTTGCCAAATCTGATTTCATGGTTTCCGGAAGCATCGTTCTTTATATGATCACTCTGTTTTGGATTACTTATTTCGGGATATTGGCACTTTTTTGATTTTATCTTGTACAAGCAAAAAAATAGTCTATGGCCGTGTCATAATTATCCTGTTACTTTGCATCGGCACAATCCTCGATCTAGTGTTTCGCAGTGCTGCTGCAAGTAACTGTTAGACAGCTATACTGTTGAAGTTAGTTATGTTCGATCATTGATCTTAGTTTTCAAAATTCTATACATTATATATTAAACAGCCCAAGAAATCTAACTGTTGAGTAAAGCAAAGAGACTGATACGATCTCAAGTTTTGAACCAATTACTTAAGAACATACTGTAGTCAATTACAGGGCAAAGATCGGCAAAGTTCTGCTTTTCGAAACGCTACCTTTGTGCATGTTGCAAAAAACTTGAGCAACTAATTTTTATATCTTAAAACGGTGTTTTTTTTTTTAAGATTTCTTCTATCATCTGGTCAGAGGTCGTTTGCGCAACAGTCGTTATTTATATGAGGCGTTTCTAATAAGAGGTGTCGAAGTCCGATCGATTTTGAGTATGTTTCTAAATCCTCTTCATATCCTTAATAATTGTCAAAGCATGTGAAGACAATTGAGAACATTTATACCCCCATCCAATTCGGCAAGACAGGGTCCTGGGGGGTCCAGGGCGAACATTGGAAAATGTGATTTTTAGCGCATAGGTCAAACTGTATTTAATGTTTCACTGATTTATAATCCCTGAAGCCCGCAAAAATCATGGCGAATCTTCTAAAACATCTTTCTTCGAGTATTTACGGCATAAGCAGTCCGATGTCGGCTAAAATGACAGACGAGGCTGACGAGTTCATATCTTTCGGTGCGAGAAAACTTAAAAATATTGTATCCTTATTTTTTTTTTTAGTCGGTTTTAATTGAATGAAGAAAAAGCTGAATTTCACTTTCTCGATTTAGTTATACTGAATTAACGCACGTTCGTTCGCTAAAATAAAAAAGCATTGGTACATAATACAAATAACTTTAGAGCACAATAATAACGGCTGTCTGCACTAAGCGTGCGTATGTATATATCATACGTGTTGCGTGAATATGAACGCGCCTTATTTAAAAAAAAAACTAGCAAAATTCTAAAAAAAAACTAATAAAAGAAATATCGTTCTAATGAATATGCCAGTGCTTTTACGCACTTTGGCTAACGCGATGCACGCCTTTCTACTGGAAAGTCGATACTTACAGGTAAATTACTTTGTTTATAGGCGGTCACGTGAATAAATTTTAACGTCTTTAACTCTGTATTGAGAGTTGATGATAATGATTTACTTCTAACTCTCACTTGCCGTGTGGGGAAATAAAACCTGCACACGCCCATATAACATAACGTAACGCGGTCAGATTTATTAGACAAACATTTAGAGAAACTCAGATAATAGCATCCGTAAATTACGTCTTTAGCATATCTATGAACAGTACAAATCAATAATGAACTATATATATCCGCATTAATTTCCATACGGACTAAGGGTTTATTTAGGACATATTTATGAGTTCCACTATCAGCTTTTTCGATGATGATATAATTAAGAGTATCGTGCTCACAGCGTTTTCCCGAAGGGGAGGCAGGTTCAGACCTTGTTTTAGCTCATGTAAGTTAGTTGCTGGGTGTAAGATTCTACCCAGTTGGTATAGTCTATCTGGGAAACAACTACAATTTGAAGCACGAGCTTTACTAGTTTCGGACCATACGGCAAAAAATAGTTGACTTAGTAGATAGGTGTAAGTAAACTTAACTTCTTGACGCCCTATTATTTAGTTCTCATTTCAGTCTTAGTAAATTGTTCTGGACCTGATTTCAGCTGTACGCCAAGGCCTACATGGTTGATCGAAGCTTAGAGTCGCCTCTAGAGGCCCTTTGTGATCTTTCACCTCGAACGGCTTTTTCGCTTGGCGGAAGCTGCCACCGGGATGTTGACGTGGAGATTTTAGTACAGCAGCAGCCTTCCGCGTGGACTACAGGACATTCTCAAACAAAAGAATATTCAGACCGGCCAAACTTTAGTCAGCGTTCACGCGGCGCAATGTGAATCGAAGGCAAGGGGCAATCGCGGTCTGCGATCACACAATCTGCCTTCGTCCACCTGATAAAGTTTAGTATTAGTAGGTTAATGTGTTGAAATATACACATTGGCATAGTAAATGGCAATCCAATCCTTCGCTGAGCGTTTAGGCAGTCAAACAGATAAGTGCGGTTATTTATAAAACTAAATTTCTTTATTTTGGTAAGTCAATCTAAAAATCAATCAAATATTTGAAAAAAATCTTCATATTTACAGGGTCGAACGTATGAGTGATACTTCAATAAAGTAATCAATGTTAAGACGATACTTGTATGGCAAAAGGAATTTGTGAATTTGTAAGCAAGTTACCCAAAAAAGTTCATCAGCCATGACCTACGTGCACGCCTGAAATACCATGCGATATGTTTTCTGTAAATACCTATACATGCATTCCTATAGAAAATAATAGTCACACTAAGTAAATACAGTAAACTATTCTAAAAAAAAAACTACGTTATCGTGTTGTTACTTGGTTAGTATTACTACTAGAAGTTACTCTGATTTAGGAAACGATAGGCTGTGCTTCTTCGATAATTCAACATTCACTGCAGGGAGCCGCAGGTGGACAACTCTTGATGTACTTGAGTAAAGAGGAACATGTTTCTCCCTTTTAAATAAAGTACGCCCTGCCTTCTTCTAACTTCCATAACTTAGCTAAGGTAATGAGTTGAATGAATAATTTCAAAATTGCCACTTCGCTAGAAACACTATGATGCTTACCTTTTTGTAAAAGGTTAGTCGGCGGTAATGCACGCAGATTGCCTGCTACTAACAGCTTACCACTGTTTCATCACGAAGGTTGCCTGCTCTTGACAAATTAAACTACAGGCAAGAAAGCGTGAGGTTTCGTAATGTATCTAAAGGACTCGTTCGTTGTCTAAATAAAGAGATTGGCACGTAATTTATGCGTCATAATGTCACACAAATAACTGTAATAGAAACTTGGTTTATGTTGTTTTGACATAAATCGATGTAAACGGTGATGAACTTGGGCGTGAAAAATCGTTTACTCAAACGTTACAGCGAAGTCCGTACCAATGCGAAAAGACTCATTCGGTACTTTTTCTCAATTCGTCTCTGGTCTGGCCTGGCCTTTAGGCCTAGAAAATAGCTCAGGCATATTGGAGAAGAAGGAAACGAAACGAAACGACTGATTTTATGTCTGAGCGCATCCGTGGCGTAGAGCCTTTGCTCACGTGTGGCATTGTGGCACGTATAGCTAAATAACTATACCTTATGAGCCAGATTTTTCAACGTCAAGCATGATACTGGCAAGCTATCTCAATCAGCTAAGTCTGGAGGTGCAGTTGGAAACAATGATCGTTGACTGTACAGGTAGATGATGCATATTATTATTTAATGAGGATCAAGTCTTCGCCAGACACAATTTAGTTATAATTTTTACTCCAGATAAATCTTACTTCTTAATACATTTTGTCCTTTAATACAATTAGCGATATAACTTTATGGATTGACCTATTTACTGATCATGGGACGTTTCAGCTTCTCGGTGTCTGTCCGGTAAACTGGTAGCATCGGGCGTTAATATGAACGAAATAAATATAGTGACAATGGCCTCTGAGAACTGACTAGTTTAACAGTTTTAGCGAGAAAAGCTGACTGCAATGGCAAAATCCATATCTCAATGTAGCTCATATTTAGTCACTATCAGAAGATACACAAAAGTTCTTATTTTAGAAAGTATGAACAAATCTATCTTCTGTTATCACTGGTCATTTTCCTTTCGCCGCTATTTTATTACTGGTTTAAAATTGATAAACGCATCTAGGCCTTGTTAATATATATCGAAAAAAGATTACATATTAACAATAAACGTTAACGTTTTCAGTAACAATTTCGTGCTGCAGGTTTATACAAGCCACAAATGTGGGCATTGATGTAACTCGACGGAAAAGCAATTAATTGGGAGGGTACATTGGTTGCGCAAGCTACTCGGCATGTCGAGTAAAACCCTATCGTAAAATAATGTCTCTTCTTTTATCGAGAGAATGGCATTTTACTTCCAAGTGGTACGAGCTATATGTATTATATATATCAGATTAGCTATTCGAGTCCTAGGGGTTGGTGTGGATTGCTCTGAAGTAGAGAATATCTTGATGAGTTGTTTCAGTGGATTTTTCAGAACTCGATGGAGTTCACCCATACATAAACCGGCTAATTTTAATGGAACTGAGCGCTTCCTGTGGCTTAATTTGTCAAAATGAGCTTCGGATTGGTAATCAGTTTTTTCTTCGTTAGGGAAATCCTTACCAGTGCATCCTAGATATATAATACAGTTGGAAATATTAGTAATGGCTTAATTTATTTACGCATTAATAATAGATAATTGAATATATATGAAATTAAAAATAGTTTACCATACTGTATGGCTAAGTGAATATGGTCGTGCAGCACTCATCATGCGAAGATCTTGGAGGTTTAATTGCTCCTACGTAGTTACACGATAACTGACGTTTGCGGCTAATGAGGGATTGGTGTTTCGCTCGCATAAGTTAAAGTATGACTGAAAAAAAATACAACCTATTTAAGTATTTCTTCTCCGAAGCTGAACTTTGGCAATTTAGTAGAGTAGAGAAGACGCACCTAGCCATGTATAATCCACGTGTATCATGTTATTAACTCTGTCCCTGTAGTGAACGGAGCACGCATGTTATGAGGGCCTTCACGTGACTCACATGTTTTATCGCGGGTAACATCTCACATAACTGGTATTAAGGGCCAATACGACGACATTTTCAATCTGACATCAGGTGACGACCTGTAGCCGAGCTGCAGATCTAGCTAACTGATTGGGTCTTCCAGAGAGTACACTAAAATACTCTGATAACACAAGACAACACTCATCCACTCCAGCGCTACAGAGAGCCCCAATCTCTGCAAAATCACGAGAACTGGGCTTATTTTTGATTCACTAGGAAAAGGTATTGGTCCTAACTGGAATAACGCAACGTACTAAGCTTTGATGCTCTAATCGAACTGGGCCGGAACGTTTCGAACAAATAGAAACACCCAACTCGTCTAAGTTAATGATGCTATTTATTGATTATTTGTTTTGACTTGTGAACCGTTTTTTTTCGACTACGTTGGACAGAATAACCAGGCAACAAACTGGTACATTTCTTCTATTTGTTCGTTTCTTGGTGGCTAGCTTAAGGAAGAATTTTCAAATGGGCGTCAATGACTCTCTCGAAGAAATCCACAGAGATTTCCGCTGATTCGACTTCCACTCAGTATATCATTATACAAGGTTAAACAGAAGCTAATATGATAGAAAAATGGCCAGTTTCAAAGCTTCATGGATTATGTGTGGAGAGTTCACTCCACAGTAAGAGCTTTACAGAACTGAAACTTTGCGTCAGATTGCTGTCATAGTAAAATCATCATTTTTCTATTTAATCATTCATCGTCATAAAGCGTATGCTCAAATGAGTGTCTCATATGACTCATTTGTTACTGTATTATTTTGTGCTGGCTAGATTCCTATGTAAGTTTAACATAACGACTTCTAATACGTAAGCGATACTCGTGTCGACACCTTGGCCGACGATCTCATTTAGGTCAGATTATAAATGGGTTCTTCGCGCCGAACTGGGTTGGTAGTTAGGTGGAGCAGCCTGGAACGACATGCAGTCTGATAATTTTTTGCCCCTTTAACTTTAGGGGTCGCTTCTCTTTTGGGTGCAATACGATCCTCTTCTTTTACTCTCGACCGCTTAACTACACGATTGGCGATGTCAGTTACACGAAAAACGGCCATCACTGCCTGTGTGCGTAGCAGTGGCAGGCTGTTGTGAAGCATCAACATCACCGTCGTCGCTATTTTTAGTGGTTCTTGCCCATGACGTCACCTGACGCTTACGGCGCGGTTTCTCCCTGGGGAGTCTCCAGAAGCCACTTGGTTGGACGGCGTTTTTTTGTTGGCGCACCGATTCTACCGTCGTCATGTTCTTGTGTTCACTGATCGCGCCGGCTGCAGCTGCCCTTTCCCTGGGCGTTCTGCACTCGACCATCGCTTTGGCCGTTGGTGTGAGCTTTTTTTGCGGTTAGCGATGTTTGTCATTCCCCCTGTTTATGTGTATGTGTGGTTGAATTCTCTTTCCAGAAAATCGTCAACCTCCTTACCCTAGCATATAAAAGGGGATGGATATTTCGATTTGGACAAACAGCTCCGAGCAGCCCGAAAATTGAGGTGAGTGTAAAAATCGAGGTACATAAGGAAAATCGCGGAAGATCACGCTCATAGTGGATAAGCGTTTTGATTAAACTTGTTTATTCGTCTCTCCTTTATGGTATATATGCGACTTTGGGTCTATATTTATTTTGTTTTGCCTGTGAGTTCAGATATTTTGATCATTACTTTTATTGCTCGGGATCTTATCGGTATGATCGGATTAATTCGAATGATTCCGTTGGATATCTAGTTTACGACCTGAAGTCAATGTCTGCTGTCAAAAACAACAATAATATAGGTTTTTTGTTATCGTTACGCAGCCAAGCCAAAGATTTATCTAATGGTAACGTAAGTTCCTTGAAAACGTTTGTTTACTGATAGTAATAGACTGACTTGCTCAGAATTGTCATTAGCGCCTCGCTGATAATAGTTATTGCGGCCGAAGCAGATGAATCAAGGCCTGCAGCCAACGTCCATTAGTGTATTTCACTATAGTCCATCTTCCTTACTTAGAACTGAGATACCCCTTTAGAGACGCTCCAAGGTTATCAGTAAGCTGTCGCCTCCTCCGCAGTACAGATTTAGTTTCGCGATGTAGTTCTAGTCAATAAACGTATTTCGTCTTTCGAGACCATCGTCAAGGGTTTGTTACCAATCTCCCTGCCGCCCTGTCTTTACACTCGGAATTCTTTCAGAGGCTCCCACCAGCGCCATCTAGGACGACGCTATATATAGAATAAGGCTGGCCACAAAAAAGAGGCCTCGACACAGCGGATAGTTAGCGTTACTGCTATTGCCCTCGGAGATTTTTCAAAAAACTTCTGTCGTTTATTCTTCGTTTTCTGTGGCTTCGTCTGATTAACACGCTATCATTGGCTTTGAAGGTCTCATCTGAATTGAAAAGACGTCAAAAAATTTCCGCCCGAAAAACGCCAGCGTTTCCACTAGCTGCTGGTGTTAGACCAACAGGTTTTTTGCACATAGGGTCGTAATTGTTTAATGGATGGTTTTGAATAGAAATAGTTGTCTGAACTGTTGTTTAAATCAGCCTATCATACGCAAATGAGTCAATAAAAAATAGTACATCTAATACAGTGAACTCGTCCGTAATTAAACCCCATGCAGAAAATTAAATCGTTGTTTCTATCTGTGCGCTCCCAAAAACTGTCGAGATGTATGCATTCGTCCATATGGAACACGGTTAACTAATATGATCTTGATTGACGCGACGTTTCCTATTCCTTATTGCCGAGTTTCACAAGGGCGCACCATCACCATGAGGTCCGTACACTCATCATGTCGCCGTGAACTTCACGAGCCCAGCATAATCTAAACTGAATTAGAATAACTCAAAATAATGTTTTGTCTTCTTCGTTGGATCTGTCTTTACAGAAGTATGTATGCCTTGATGTGCGTGACCGCCTTCGGCCTTTTGGCATTTTCTGGCCCCGTGGCCTCCCAAGTGATCGAGCAGCGGAGCTCAGTCCGCAATCCTGATGGCTCAACGTCCCAAATTCACAGCCGCTCGTATTCTCAGGCCACGTACACCGGTGCATCAACTGGACCTGATGGAATAACAGTCGGCTTCGATTTACATCAGGATTCGCGCGGAAAAATCACGGGCAACGAATGGAAGGCCAAGGATGGACAGAGGGTAGTAGCGACCTTTTAACTTGTCGTTTTTACATCTCACTTTTTGTTGCACATGAAATGTGCAGTACCGTTTAACATATACACGATGCCCAATTCCTACCTTATGCTAGCGCCTCATGTCAAACAGAGCACCTTCTATGCCGAACAGGTATCGTTAGACTTGTAATAGTTTTTTTTACGCTTATTTAATTCATTTCTGAGTACATCTACAGTTGTGACCTCAGATACAGGTACTTTGTTATATCACAGGCATTGCCTACTTTAAAACTTAGCTTAGATGCTTCCGGACGGATATTTTTAGATGGTTACGAAGCATTCGAGCATGTCTCACTAGCGGGCGTAGGCAAGTAATCAGATGGTGAGCAAAAATAAAACGTGCGAAACGGCGGTGCAAACGGCTGAACAATCATATAGTTCTTTAGCATTTTGTGCAGTACTAGGTATGATTTGCAACGTTTCTTTTCAAGACTATACAAAGTAAATCGCAAGAGGTATATTATGTACTTTTTAATTAGTTAGTATCACGCTTTTCCTACTCAAGTCTATTGACGGCTGTCTAGACATTGAAGTGAATATCGTAATTATCTGTATGAACTGTAGGTAACTTTTTGTACAAGTTTAGAGTTTATATCTTTATTTTTTTCTGTCCGCTAGATGCCTCTTCTTATTATATCCATGTTTGGCAACCCCTTAAATAAAATAGTTTTCGTCAGAAAAAAACATGGAGTTTAAAGTACACCGCGACTAATAAATCTGCTGGATGTTTCTGTCGTCCAAATATCGCTATAGATGTAGGTGTTCTTCAATGATTTTTTATTACTATTTTAGCTCGAAACTAAAAAGATCGAAGAAGACGCCAGTGGCATCGGTAGCAGAACAGCTCTTGGAAGCTTCAGCAACTTCGGACCTAATCTTGGCAGTTTTGGACCTCACTTCGGCCCGAGCAGATTCGGTTCCGGATTGAGCTTCGGAACCCCCGAAGCGGGAGGCACTGGCGATATAGGCGGTGTTAATACTCCTGATGTCAGCGCCAATGCGGGATTCCCTAGTGGAGGTAGGTTGTAAAAAGAAAAGCACTCATAAAAATTCTGGAGTTCCTGCATGTTACGATGACTCATTGACATTATGATAGATGAAGACAAAAGTTAGATATAGATACGATAATATAAACATCCGCAACCCTACCCGACAACGCGCTTGACAGCCTATCAGATTATCGAGATCCTCGGTAATGTTCGTTGACATTTTTTAGGCCTTCCTTGGGCGAGCTTCGGTAACTTCGGTGATCAATTTCGTCACTTTGCCACTCCGGGTTTCGACCAGCTTCCCCAATACAACTTCGCCAGCTTCGGTTTCCAGCAGCCCTTAGCTATCCCAAATTACTCCAAGTTTCTTCTCGGAGGCGTTGGATCAAACCCGAATATCGTTAGCGACGGACATTTCGCCAACGTCATCCCCAGAATTGGTAAGGGTGGAAGGAACCCAGTCCTGTTCCTATGTACCTATCCTATAACTGCTTGATCCTAGCTGTCCCAAAACCCGAGATTTCTGTTGCTAAAAGCACTAATCCTGCTTCAATTACCTTCCACCCTTACTAACTTCCAAAAACAAAGTCACTTTTAGAAAGTCCGGTTACTGACAATACATTCCACGTATATTAGATACTTTACGCTGGTTTTTATACCACTATTACGATTATCTATCAATCAATTACCAGATATTTCCAAACGTTGGTTAAAATTTTAAAAACGATCTCTTTGTACAAAATAGATTTATATAGAGATGAATACATAAGACTATTTTTTCAAATTAGTATAATCTAGTTTGCATTAAAACGTAAGATCGTATGATATGTGTTGCTTTCGGATATTTTTTACCTTAATTTATCGTTTCTCGAGGTTCGGTCTCATAACGTAACCGTACTATAAAAACCCCTGAAGCACAGTAATAAGTCTTTTTACCTGCTTTGCCGCAAGAAAGGCGGCATGTTACATGATTTGCTGAGTGTTCCGTGTAGGACATTTTTTTCGTGTCCAAACCATCCAGCTTAACTTTAGCACCAAATCAGCTGCTATCGCTGTTCTTGTCAACAGGGACCCCCAATTAAATGGACTAATTGTTTCGTGTTGTTTCCAGGCCTGAATCCTGGTATTAGAAATGGCTTTGGATCAAGTGGTTTTGGTGCGCCCGGTTTCAGCAGACGATCGTACAAGCACGAAGTTGACCCTGCCACCGGTAGCAGCTCATACAGTTACTCAGAAAGTAGCGGCCATCAGAGTTTCTCTAACACCTATCATTGAGCTCGTGCAAATACAATCTGTGATATTCGCCATTGGAGTGACGCAAAAAAAAGCACCATTTTGTCTTTAAGGTACTCGACATATTGTACATTAACACACTTGTTAATAAATACAAAACCCGCGTACGATTTATCATAAACAGCCTGGCTAGTGTATTTATTAGAGCATAGGAATCTTTTCGCTTGGTTATGAACGCATGGTTACACACATGTGTTCCCCCGCGTTGGGCGTTAATCCTGAAAATGCTTGTACTAAGCTTAATATTTTGCATGGCAATGTTACGTTTTATATTGTATTGGGTGCGTAGCTTTTGTGTTTACTAGACAGTTTATCATCTAACTTGTTTCGCTAACCTTAACCCTTAATGACTTCACTGAATTTTTTTAGGCATTATCAACCCTGGGTTTGCTCCACCGCTTTTTGGTGGCTACGGTTTTGGTGGCAAAGGAACTCATAAAACTGTGGTAGGCCCAACTACAGGGAAAAGATCCTACACCTATACCTCGGATGGAAGTCCTTAGGCGGATCGAATCAACTTTCTTTGTAGTCGTTCTGCCACGCCGAGACATGAGGCAATTTCCGTTACGCAACCCCAGTTCAAGAAGAACAATAGCTTTTTTAACGACGGAAAAAGGTGTTCTTCTTCGGAGATTGTTGTAGGAAGATCATTTATTTAATACATACCGATGAGCTTTAGGTGATACATTAATAGACAAGGCTGAGTAAACGCTGTGATATACTGTGACAAAGAATACTCTAAGAAAAATATTAAACAAATCTAATACTCTATTTGGGTAGATCTAGGGAATATCGAAAACGAGGTAATACGATGTCTAATAAACCTATCTCTCTACTCATATTGACTGTTTTAATTTTCGTTTGCATGCGAAAAAATTAGTCCTTAAAAATCTGGCCTAGAATCTCAATGCTTTCAAATACTTGACCTCAGCGTGTTGCTAGTTTATTTACAATAGCTCTCTTGACGGTATAAATATACACACACACATATATATATATATATATATATATATATATATATATACATAAAATATTATTCATAAATCTGAATAAATTTATTGAATTATTGAACAGTTATTGGAATTACTAGCACTCTTTGCCCGGAGGCGCTGCGCCATCAGTCGCTCTATGCTGGCCACTAGTTGATCTGTATGTCAATGCAACTGACACCTCCCTTAGCGGCTTCTTGGGGTTGAATTTTGATGAATTTGTAGTTACCCTCACGATCCCATGTCTCTCGCATCGTTGAGAAGTATACTAACACGACCATCACAAACAGGATCACCCCTGTTTTTTTGAAATTTCAAGAAACAACACGTTAGCGATTGACTCACATACGCACCCAGTCTAAATCATTTGATTTTAAATTTTACCGCCTATATATTATTAACCTGAAGTACTTGATATATCTCTCATTTTGGCGACTTTTCCATTCTAGTCGATTTCGTTATACATCAGGTTTAGATGATCTGCTCCTGTCGAACAGAAATCCCGCATAAGGTAGACTCTATATTCTTTCGGTTGCAAGAGAGGTACGAAGAGCTCGATTTAGGAGATGTGGTTACTGCATTTTCAATCAATGTATCTAGGCACCAACCTTCCACGGTTTGTAAACGGCAAAAAGATAACTGTGTATCGATAGTGATCGTGATATGTGTATAGTCTGAAGTTCTTGCTACATGTATTATTTGCATATATAGCACATGCTACCATATACCAGAAACCTGTCCATGTAGTAAATTATATGTATATATAGGGGTCTGGCAAAGCAAAATTTTCTGATGTTTAAAGTAGATGGGTTGAAACGGAGCTACTATTACTATATTTAATCAATAATCAGAGATGATCATTCTATGGACCCCCGATAGACTATTTCCGGGACCGTCCAAGCACCTTAATTTTAGCCTTTGTATGTATATTACAGCAGCTCAAATTCTCTAAATACAGAGGTAGGTAAGTATATAAATGTTATTTATTTCAGCTGTTTCAAGGTAAATAAGCCGCTTGGTTGACCAAACACTCCTGCTAGGGCGTTCCCAAGATAACCCACTACGTTGTACCTTATTGCTTTCTGTCAGTCATAGGTGACCTCTGACGATTCGACACAAAACTAAGCTTAATCCGAGACATTTTCATTTAGACTAATTATGCTAATCGCATTTACCCGGTATGACAAAGATTAGCCCATGGGCATTGCCTGTCCAAGAAAAGATCGCACCAAGACTAACCAGGAGTACGACTAGAGCGACTTCCAGGATGAGGAATACCTGGAATGGGTTGCAACTGTAACATTAAGGATCTTTTATTAAAACAAGTGGTTGGAATAACGGACAAACGCTGCCTAAATTGTGGTACCATAGCAGGGAATGCCCTGCACATATGTGCAGTCACATTGGCTGGAGCTTTTTTTTTGATTTTGCTAGAACTACGTCCTAGCTAACCTAGCTAGAGCCTGATCTATTGAGATATTGACGTACTTCACTTCTGAAGACCACCACTGTCTCGTGCTCGAAATTGATGCTAGTGACTCTAATAGAAGTGTAACCTACATGATGCTATTCTCTGATGATGACCACTTGCCATTTAACTCCAGCCAGGATTTTCTTGCCATAACTTCGTTATCCGAACGAATCTAGCATCATCTACTCGAGCTGACGTTTCCTCATGGCGTCAGTACGTATTACTAATTTTTGGTAATAGACGTGGGTGCGCGTGCTACTGCTGCGGCTCCTGCTGGCCTAAATTCGAATTTCCAGCCAAGTAACTGTGCCGATTTGTGTGGTAGGTTCGCTCTAAAATTATCCCAATAATAATCAGCATGTATATATAAATTTTATTAATATATAGTATAAAATTTATATATATATCGAAGTGATATAACGCACTTGATACGCGTACTTTTTCACCGTCTATTAAAAGCTTCCCAGAATTGCTTCGAGAAACGATCAGTTTGGCTGGGAATACGTCCGTTATTAGTTTCCATAACATGACACTGTCTATCGATAGGCTTAAGCAGGCACACTTTCGCTGCGTGATTGAAGATCATTGGTTTGGTCCCGCCTACCAAGCTATAAAAATGCTATCAGTGCTTAACGTGCTACAGTGAAATCTGGAACACTCTGAAGGTCGTTTGGGGCAATGAAATAAACGCAGGGAGAGGGTGTTCGAATTATTTTCGGCCGCTTGCAAGTGTCGATCACCATTAATTACATCATAGACACGAGCGTGTAGCATTTACATCAACGTATACATAGATGTGTCAAAAAATAAAGGGATTTATGTCTATTTTATGTCAGTAGCATTGATTGAACCTCGCTTCAGCTAGATGACAGCATTAGCATGCAGTAACAGAAAGGACGGATCTAAAAATTTACCTACATCAATCAATATCAGTAGAGGTAGCTATTAAGTACGGTAAACTGCGTACCTCCAAGAGGGTGTCGATTAGTGAAATAACAATTCATGCTCAAAATAAGTGTGTAATAATCTAGACTACTCTGTCGAAAAGAAGTTTCAGCGAATATCTGCATTTGCCGTTCAATTTCAACCTCAGCTGAGTTCGTCTGTAATGTTCGCGGTGAAACGAAAAAATCGCGCGATACTCGGGCCTCAGTCACTGCTCTGCCTGGTATTGCAAGGAAATGAATAGAATTCTGTAAAGAACTGAAGGCTAGTGAGCAGTTTGAGGGGAGTTACTTAGCAGTGTCTGCTGAAATCGCTTTGAAAGGTTTGGAAAAGTCAAAGACCTCTGTATGAAGCACACTCAATACGCTACACAGCTGCGAGGAACAGGCAGGGTTCTCCATAATGTGAAAATTTGCTTGTGTAACTTACGAAACGTTTTATCCAGCCGCGTTACTATCACGTATCGCTGGCATGCGCAGGACACACGTTGAAATGTGGGCCCACTTAAAAATGTAAAAGGGACCCTTTATAATGATCACGCGATCTCGTGAAACCTCATAGGACTACTCTGCTTTTATTAGCTGCTGTGAGCTAATAAAAGCAGACGGCGACTCGACCCAGCTCATTGAATTGAGTAAAAAATTGACAAAAAAAGCCCTAGCCAAGAAACCGCGACCAGTTTTCCTATTGTATGTTTACATATTTAACTCGCTAAAAGCCGGAAAATTCGGACAGAAATTGGACGAAATTTCTTTTGCGTCCGGCCGATAGCGCAGAGGTTTCGGTTTCCTATGAGACAATTAATCTATTAATAAATTACAACGCACCTTTGTAAGAAGCCCATATAGACTTGTAGCGGCCCGCAGAACCATCAGTCTCGCTTGCTACTGATTACAAGCTCCTCTGAACTGATGACGACTAGAGAAGACTGAAGTCAGTAAGCAAATTCGTAGGAACACGACCGGCAACGTTGAGCCAGCTTCTGTTCTTCGGCCATTGTTTGTTCGTCCTATTGTGCCCCTTGTTAATCTCCTTATCTTCTTGTCTTCAGCGAACCTCCTCGTCTTTTATGAGCGTCTACCATTGTAGAATAGCCGATAGACTGACGATTGCTGGCCCCCTTCAAGTGTCTTTATCCCGCCGGATATCTGATTCGCATCCGAAAGGCTCCGTCTTCATGGTCCAGACGTTGTATAAGCTGGTCTCGGCACGATCAGCAAGGCAGTTCATGCAGTCGCTCAGACTGGTTCGTTACCTGGTGGCGACACAGACGGCCGGGCTGATGCCGCCCAGATCTACCCTTTCTTCGACACGGTTCCCGGCGGATCTGCCTTCAAAGCGTGTCTGCCAGCCCGCGTAGTCGGTGACCGAACAAAGAAGCGAGATATTTTCAAGAGAGAAAGACGCAGTCTTCAACTTGCCTCCTCGGTTTTCTAGCAGCAACCTCTCTCCAGCCCTTATTTGTGTCTATGTCTATACGCACAGAGGTAGCCTACCAGTCGTAGGTAATGCTCCCGATCTGAACTAGCAGTAGTTATTCAGTAATAATCAGTTCTTATACTAGTTAGAGCCGCAGCCACGTAGGTAGTACCTAATAAATAAGAAGCCAAAGTCATCTCGTTGAGCTGTTCAGCGACAAAGTGCGCAGAGTCTTGACACCGCCTCGCAGATTCGTCGCTCACTGAGATCTCCTTTCGTTTCTCGTTAACAGCATCCGCATCGTTGTTATCATCATCAACAGCACTGCCTCTATAGGCGGCAGCGCAGGTTATTTCTTGCCGTATTTTTCTTCGTCTCCTCTCGGTCCTGGAGGGCGGCTCTAGAGGCCATCGTCGCAATGATCGTAACAGCGATCCGAGCGCCTTCTGGCGACTATCGCCACCAACAACAGTACATTTCAGCAAGCACACTTCGTGCTAATGCGTATCGGCCTGACGTTAGTCTCTTCTAGATCTCGCTGCTGTTCATGCCGCCAGCTAGGTCTCGCCTGCGAGAGGACTGCTGCTGCTGCCGCTACCGCCGCCGCTGCCGCTGCCGCCGCCGCCGCTGCCGCTGCCGCCGCCGCCGTGACCAGTCGCGCTAAAGAAACGTCTGGAGAAGGCGAAGAGGACGATTCAACCGCCCAAGTGAACCGATTCGTTGCCCCGTTGCCTACCGATCATAGCGCGGCCATCCGATCAGCAATCGATGTTGCTGTTTCCATTCGCGCTGGTTGTCCTGCCCGTATAGTGGAGCATAGTCTCGGTTACTACAACGACGGGACGATCGTGTCGAGAAGTTGTGCATTGACTGTTGATCGTGATGACCCTGTTAGCAATCATTTAGGAACCTTTCTTGCACCTTTATTCACGTCTACGTGTGTATGTTTGCGTCTGTGGTAATTTTGTCTTCCCTGGTTCGAGTTAGCGGAGAGAAGTGTGACGGTATTCTAATATCGGCGTACTAAAAGGCCACCACAGACTGACACATTGACGTTGAGATTACCTACTGCTTAGGCCTTCGATTTGACAATTTGTATCTGGCTAGGTAGCCATGTTAGTATCATGCCAATCGAAACGTGAAGGGCCTACCGAAGTGTGATGATAGTATCTTAAGAAACGTGGCTCAGCCTGTATCGTTTCTCGTTTTAGCAACGCGAACAAACGCGTGTCCCGAAAACAGTGGCGTCTTTTTCCTGCTTGCACTGAGTGTGCGCGCGAGCGTAAGCCCATCATCTCCTTTCGAATTCTGTCCGTATCTAGGCTTAGTTGCATAGTACTATTCCAGGTGCAACACCTCGCCCGCAAGACGTACGCGATACGCTCCTGTGAAAGAGAGTACGTGACTAGAGATTACTGTGCTTACTGTTGAGGTGGGGGGGGGGTTGTCTGTCTGGTTGACTTCTTCCGTTATCTTGCGATCAGCGAACTATGACGAAGGGTCAGCTCCATTTTTGAATTGTCGACTGCATCTTTGCCGCTGAACGCAACTTGGCCATTACCATCACCAGCGTTACCTTTTCTTCCGGAACAGTTTGCGACGTCGACAATCGAGGATACCGACTAAATATGGCGGTAACCTACGCGAAAATCCTTTCGCTTGTTGCGGTGACTGCGGCAGTCCAGGCCGGATTCTACGCTGATAATGGCCTCGATCGAACTATTTCGTACCGCAGCTTGCCGAAACAGGAGAAACGTGAAATGGAAAATGAAATTCTGAATCTTCTCGGTCTTGATCGTCGGCCAAAGCCAAAAATCCATCAAACGTCAAACTCGGCTCCGAAATATCTGATCGACCTGTACAATCAGGTCGATCTAGAAGCTGAAGAAAAAAATGCGTCCTTTCGCGATGTCGATTTCGTCATCAGCTTTGTCAACCATCACAATAATCTCGAAGATGAACAGAGTATCGAACCCAAGTTGCGCTTCGATGTTAGTGATATTTCGCCGCAGGAAACCGTAATGCACGCTGCACTCAACCTTTATCGAAGAAACACCCGATCTGCCCAAGCCCAACCCGAAGCTGAGCAAGATACTTCAGAGGACGCTCAACCATCATCCGCTTACATGAGATCACCCCAAATTGTTCCGGCAGAAAGCGTCCACGCTATTCTCCAGGAAAAACAGAGCGAAGAGTCAATCGCGAGTAGTTTACCTACTCCGGTTAAAAGCACAACTTCTTCGACTACAGCATCAACCAGCCTGGTAACGCCTATCCATGATCAAAACACAGTTGAATCAACAATTCGTAATAAGAAAACGTCTACATCCAGCACTAGCATTAAAACACCCCATTTTCCTAGTACTACCAGCAGTTCTGTCACGACAACGACCGGTTCTAGCATTGCAGAGTCACCACAGAACGGACCTGTCTCAACATCAGAAGCAACGCAGGCCAAGTTGAGGCATCGCCGAATGGTATCCCCATCGTTGGACTATCCGGACGGGTTTGCGTTCTTCGACCAGCCCTTTGAAATTCAGGTGTTTTGCATGAGACATGGCAACTCGATCGGAGATATTGCACTCGAACCAGTTACCAATTACACCGTGGCTACCAACGAAACTGGATGGATCCAGCTGAATGCAACAAACCCACTTCTCAATTGGGTGAGTGCTCTTCGAAACCCCTCAATAACTAGTCGACGTATTCGTTTGTATTGTTTCACGATAAATTATCAAAACACATAGGAATGAGCTGATAACGCATGTATTGGCGTATTAATGGTAGTAGTAGTAGACAATAGAACTGAGGCTCTGATGAATGTACTCTCGGAAGCACCGTTAAGAGACAGAGGCGTAGTGAGAGCAGACTTCTAGCTAGCCAGCGATAAAGAACTGAGGACGTTTGTAAAAGCCATATCTAACCGTAGCGAGCTCTTGCTATCTTGCTTACAAACATTTGGTTGCTATCTTTTTATCTTATTATAGTAATACTATTAAGAAAAATCAAGTTTGCTCGATTTGATCGCTCTGTACCCCGTCCACCATTTAGGTGTCTTCTGGTCAACGTGCTGGCTCGTTTGTCTTAAAGGCAAATATATACGTATACATACGGACAGCGCACCTATACGTGTTTTATCTCAGCTTAATTAGCGGCACAAATAGAAGTAGCATTCTCACAGTTGGCAATAGGAATATACGTACTTGACAAGCAACGAACGCGTCTGATATTGTGACTTGGTATAATAAAGACAGCGAACAGACCGGTAATTTCCTCCTGTCGAAGTCGACTTACGTCGGCGAACGTGCTTTCAGCCTAACGAGATTTCAGGCGGCGACGTGGTCGTGGTCTTTGTAGGCACGTCGATTCCTATTTGGGAAGAATCAAGTAGCGGTTGATGATTTCGTTGAACGTTCTAATGCCACCATTGAACCGAACTCGTCGGTCTGAGGAGCGTACCGACAAACTGGTTGGCCTCTTCGTAAGCTGAGCTGAAAAACCCTAAAGAGGGTACTAGTAATACACCCCAAGTAAACAGACCGCCCTAAGCGGGCTACTGCATTTCGGTGGCGCCCGGCGGCTCGCCTCCGCCAGTTGTCTGTGAAGACGCGATTATCCATCGTTCTTTCATAGCCTCCTTAGCATCTCGCTAAAATGGAGATGTTAACCATGGTCAAAGCGACCATTAGCGGCCGATGCTGGTCGCTGTAGTGGTTGTGAGTGAATGGCTTACTCTCTTTACTTCTCCCGCCCGCTGCGTCTTGTTTGTCTTCGCTGAACGTTCGTTATGTCTCTGTTTTTGTTTCGGTTATTCTTAGGTGGCCTTTCCCGGAGAAAACTTTGGTCTTGTGGTCCGTCTGATCGATCCGGAGTCCGGCGTGCAGCTTTCGCCTGCTCAGGTAGGTAGACAGAAGAGGCGGTCACGACGCGGATAGGAACAGCGGTGGCCGCCGCCGCGACGATAAAACAGTGGTGACGTCGCATCATTGGAGACGTCGAGGGCCATCTCGAAGAGCGTCCACCACAGACGGCCTGTACAAATAAACATGTCATCACAAACGGGCAATCTTGTTTATTGCCGCATTTTCGGATGCGGTAGTCTGTATTTAGTGTCAGCCAAGAAACAGCGAAACAATTTCATTGATTCGAACGTTGTGGGAGAAAGAAGCTTTATAACAGATTTGAGAAGAGTAAACAAAAATTATTTGTTGTTAGCCACTGCACTATAATTTAGTATATCCGAAGACATTTCTAAGAATTCAGCTACAAGATCCGAAGCGTGCGGCATGTGGAAATGCACAAAATAGCTATTAAGGAGCGGACAATAGGCTACCATCTTACTGCATTAAAGCTGTATGCACTATCTCATTTGAGTTATCGTATACTATGTGAAGGGAACGACTGCTTTATGATGGCAATTACTGAGCCTAGCAGGAAAACTCTGCGATAAGGCTTTTCTCATCACGTGGCTGTTTTGTTTATTAACGCATCATCAATCACGTTATAATTCAATTAATCCCAGGCGGCGTACATAAATAGAGAATAAGGGAATTTGCAAAAACTGAAGCTCACCTAGCTTTTACCAGTTTAGCTAAGCTGAAGGGTTCCCCTAGACCCGACTATCGTAGATAGCGTCGGCTGACAGTAACGCGAATCTAATAGCTATTATAGGATAAGCCTTTAATGTACTGTAACGTTGCAGGCAGGACTCGTCCTGGGTGCTACAGGGGAATTTGCCCCGTTCATGGCCGCTTTCATGAAGGAGGGGTCTGGTGGCAGACGTCGTTCTACCCGAGCGTCAGAAAAAAGCCGTCGGGGCCGCCAGCCAGCCAGCTCTATCAATGACGACGTTCCGTCATATGAAATCAGGTTTGTAAGTTTTAGTTCTAGGCAACTTTAGAGCACATACCTTATAACTTCCACGCTGATTAAGTGTCGAGAGAGCTCGACAGTCTACAGTTTAAAGACACCATGTATTGATGGTTAAGCAGGTTCAGTGTTCGAAACAGATTTACAAATAGCTTGCTCTGGTAACTCATAAATCCCCTCCAACAAAAAAATATAAAGTACAAAGGTTGTACGATCAATACTGAAATCTGCTAATCTCCGATTGTCTTGTGCGTGCCCCCTTCTAGGCATCACTTTTCACGTCGGAATTCGTGCCAGAAACGGACCCTTTACGTGTCGTTCCGTGATCTCGGTTGGCAAGACTGGATCATTGCCCCCGATGGGTATTCAGCATTTTACTGTGACGGCGAATGCTCATTTCCGCTCAACATGAATGCCACGAACCACGCAATCGTTCAAACGCTCGTACATCTTGTGAGTCCGAGTCACGCTCCAACTGCGTGTTGTGCGCCTACGAAACTCTCGCCAATCATGGTTCTCTATTTTGACGATAACTCTAACGTCATACTGAAGAAGTACAGAAACATGGTTGTTAGATCTTGTGGCTGCCATTAATATTGAGTACTGCTTTGCGTTCTCTTCCGTGCGAAACCCTGAAGGCTTTTACGTGGGGTAAGTCGGAGTCGCGGCTAAACTAGTAGCAAAGGAACCTACTAGAATATGAAGCTTGTGCAACAGACTAGAAATAATATGAGAAACTATAGCACCGAAAACAACTGTTATAATATTGTGTAAATGGTAGCAATATACGCGAGCTCGGCATCTGTACAGTTTTACAAGAATCGCTTGTAAATAATGGAAGCGAATTGCCGTGCCAGGACAAGTACAAAGCTAGGCTACAGCGGTGCTTTGGGCTCGTCGAAAGGTAGTCCTCACCTATTATACATAAATACAATATAACTATATAACAAACGATTATTATATGCTGTATTTGTAAGAATTTTCATTGTAATTGACAGATTGGTTTCTGTATACAACTCAATTCATATATATTGTTTATTTAGCTGGAATATTTATTTGTAAATAAATGTGTGTGTTATTCGATCAGCCCAAAACGGTTCACATATATATATACTTTGCAAGAAACTTCGTAAGACATTCTAGATATTCCAATTATGAATGGAATAGACCTTTATCAACATTCTATCTATCTCATCGAATTATATTATAAAGACATTAGTCGACCTAAATTTCAAACCCCATGGGCACATCCTTGTCATGGAGTTGGTGCGAAGTTAGCGGGTACCTGAAACTGTCCCTTTTCACTTTTCTGCATTTCTTTCCATTGTACACTTCGGCCTTTATGGTTTCGCTTCATTGTATTTCTGCACGTACTGCTGACAATCGTGTTGGGCTTCAATTGTCGCCATTTGCAATGTCTAGCCGCCGTTGCTCCCAGGTGGCGTCATTCTGTCGCCACCAACGCAAAAGCTTTGTGGGTTGGTTCTTCCGCTATCCTCCGCTGCGCCATGAGAAGAATGGTCTTCAAATTTCGTTGAAATTATTCACGCTTTGATTTGGGTCGTGGCAGCTTCGCCGGTAGCTGCGGACTCCCAGAGCAAAGTAAAAATGTGGCTGAGATGCCATACTTTCGTTAGCCATCAGTTGATTCGTCGGTGGAGTACTTTCAATCGTCAAAAATAAGAAAGAGTACGCATTTTCCTGCTTTCTATTATGGGTTAGTGTGCATGAAGTGCTGGTACTATGAAGCTGGAGAAGAAGGTGCGGATTGCAGAAGCAATTTGTTAAAGGCATCGAGTACTTGACTATAGGCATCCCAACCGTATGGGTCGCAGTTATTAAATAGGTTATAGAGGATGCGAACGGACTCTAACAACTACTGCTAAAAGGTTAAATTAAATAAGGTGAAAATAGATTTTGATCGTGTTATTGGTGTACATTCAACGTTATAATAATTCTTAAAACTTGTAACAGTTACATGAACTTCAAGACTAGAAATTTCTCACTTTTTAATTAGAATTTCAATTAGAAGTACCCTACCTAACTTACTTGATTCGATCTAGAACAATCGATCACCGTCACCGTCACCGTTAAACGTTTGAAGTCTTCCTTTCGTCGTCTTTGAAGTCTAGTAAAAGAGTTGTGGTCTATCGCTTACAGTAGTGAACCGCATTTACGCGTACTTTTCTCTTGCGCAACACTTACTATAAACATAGGTTTTATTTACTGAGAAATAATAATGATAATAATTGCCGTCTCTGCAGATAAGCATTTAGGTTTTTTTTCAATTAACCTACGCTTGAAGATTAATGTAACAACAGTGAAGCTAACGTACAGGTTTATGTTTATAGAGACATTTGTAATAGAGGTCAGGACAAAACTGTATATCAATGAGCCTGAACTTCTTGCGGCTTTCACACAATGGGTATTTGATTTAACCAAATTTATTGATGCAATCGAATAATCCGACCTAGGCGCTCTCGTTTAGACATTAGGGATCCGTGTTATTTTATCGAGTTTGAAACACCGATCATAAATTATGGAAGAATCTGCCATGAATCGACAATGTTTGCATCAGACTGCTGAGCAGGGGTCTTATGAGGGATTATCAATTTTTAATACTAAACCTCTCAGTACCAGCAAATTTCGATATTAAATGGGTCGTGACGAATTAACTGAATTTGATGCACCGCGCTTGAATAGCCTTAACAGTTTCCGCATCAGCTGATATGTGTTCTTTTGATTGTACGAACCAGATACGTCCGATGGCAACACCGGCCTCGAAATTTTCTCTAGTAGGACTCGCTATCTCAGCAAGTCCTTGCCCCTGTTGTTGTTGTTGTTGTTGGCATATGGATTCGCATTCACATTTAAAATCTGTCGTTCAGCTGTTGAGCTTTTTCTGAACTAAGTTCTTAACTAAGAGCACTTACCTTTACGTTACCTTTCTAGGGGTAGCTCCGTGTCCTCGGATCTTTCAGCTTATAACGTTTTAATACCAAGTCTGACTGTGTAACCTTCCTTGCTCACTTAAGGGGCAATTTGAGCAAATAAAGGGAACACGTAAATGTCGTTAAAGGGGTGGATTTTGTAGGTGACTGGGCTGTCAGCCAGGCCGATTTGGTGCTTCATTCTCGAGAGATGGCCACTCGTTTTCTAAAGAACAACAAATCGCGTCATATTTTAAGCCTGCCGTGTCTGCGATGAAGGATATCCTTTCATCAATTTCGGAGGATTTCACTGGTTGCAAAGATGAGGATTTCGTGAAAATAGTTTTCCGGGTATGGGCCTTCGGTGACCCTTAAGCGCTCGAACCTGAAAAATCCAACCAAATTCTCCCGGCGAGCAGAACTGATTACTGCAATCATCACAATTTACAACGAGCAAATAACTAGGCTACTTCCTGCATCAAACGACTATGCATCGGTGATTGGATAGGTCACCAACACTATCAAGCATGACTGATACGGGCCGACTGAGTGAAGGTGACACAGGCTCTTTTTGAGGTCCACGCATCAAAACGTCATTTATTTGCCCCATGAATTCGTTCACCTCAGCTTCAATCACGTCCAGGTTAAGGCGAACCTTACCATCCTCTGGAACTGAATGGAGAAGAAACATAAGCAGGAAAAGTCATCACCGCCGCCCTACGCAACAATTGATACTCGATAGCTACAATTTCTCACAAGTAATAGTATGAGTAGCAATATATTACGTATTAAGGAATAATAATGTATACTGTAGCAAAGCTTAGCAGCGATAAAAAAAAAACCATGAATTAGTTTGTCTGCTATTGCAAAATTATGCAAAAATCTTTGCCTAAATCAGGGTTAACGCTTTGTACGTCTTGTTTTTATTCCGTTAGATGAACAATGATAAGCAGCTGATTAAAAAACAAGTTGAATTCATAGAGATTTTGGATATATTCTATAACATTCATTAGTTTTGGCTATCGACGGATGTTTTTGAATTCTTGCGGGATTTTTTGGGCGCCGTAGACCACATGACATACTTCCTTTGTGCCGGGGACGATTTTCCAATGAATTAGATACATTTCTATTAAGTACAATGTTTACTGAAATTGTGGAGCGGAAGATCCAACCTATATGCATTGACAGGCTTTACGTAGAACGACACGCATCAATAAACATTTTATAGCCATATCTTAGGTGTCTTTCTTGCGATAACTTTTGATACAGGCTTTTAGCAAAAACTGCCAAGGTCTGGGGCCCTATCCAGATGGTCTTAATCAACCCGGCACGAGAAGGGATCATCGTACCTAATATAATAATAGCAACACTCAGCGAATAACGTTAATTCCATCCGATTAAATCCAACCACTTGCGCTTTCTCAGTTGGCGAAGGAGGTTGTTTCTATATTGACGACAAGCTGAGTAAGTTTTGTAAAGTATTATAATTATATATTCCAATTCTACGTACAATTTTTTAAAAACAGGCGCGACGAAGCAGACAATATGACGAATAATTTCGACTGCGAACTTCAACGAACTAAACGTGTCCAGAGGTAAATAAAACCTCTACGGAACAGTTAGAGGTGTTTGACAATATGATATAAAGCTGCTAGGCCGAGTTTTGTTATGATTTTGGCGTTTTTTTAATGGAAATGTCTAAAAAAAAAAAAAAAAAAACAGTAATGGGAAGCAATTTCGATGACGGAAAACTTTGTGGCTTAGGCGATCATCTGTTGCACATCGATAGTGAACCTGTGGAGAATATCTTCATGACCTCAGACTCGGCTTTATCCTAGCTTATCTAACATGCGGGGAAGCAAATACAGGCCTATTTGCTTCGCAACAAAACAAACTATTCATATATATAGAGTGTTTAGCGTTTATCTGCCACTGCGCTATACTAGTTTCGGTATATTGTCGCCATTAATTAAATAGGAAATGTACGAACTGATAACATGATTTTTTAATGAAGCGTGACGTTTATGACAATAAAAGCGAAAAAAAAAAAGAATTTTTAAAAATTGTTCTGTGTACTCGCTTGTTATATTCGGGAAACGGATTTTGCCGTTTTCGGTCTCAGCTGGACCTTCAGAGCTGGCTTTTTGTTGAGTTATTATCGGTTTTGATTCCAATGATACCAAATTGTCAAGCTCATTCTCTGTTACGCTTCTGCCTTCAGCTTTACAATGGACAAGATCGAATAGGGCTTGTATATAACAGGCATGGCTCCCCACCAATCGCCCATTTCGTAGGTAATGTATTTGCTTGACTCAAACTGAGTGACCCGAACATTAAATACTGAGTTATAGCCAGTTTAATAGCGACAACGAGTGCAATCAAAGTTCCCTGATATAGGCCACTACAATAAAAGGGGCTGATTAAATAGGATAGTAAATCTTGAAAAGATGGCCTGTGGAAAAAAGACATATCTCTTATTATTTGTAGCCGTTCCAACTTTCTGGGTATAAGACACATGAATTACGGTGCAATCTTCTATTGGAATATTTCAATAGTTTGCTGATGGTGTAGATTGGTAGTGAAACCTAGAAAACAAGAAACAACTATTTCTGTTATGAAGAGACAGACTTAATAAATGGCTAATAATGTTCGAACGTTCTTAAAGCGAATTAGTACACATCTGTTGTTGCTGTTGTTGTTTTTTAGCTTTAACTGAACAACAAACTTGTCATTTGTCCTCTAATCGTAGTCTTATGAAAAGAGCGACGTATAGCAGTGACATTATTCAGTGTTACGTCCAGGGATGGACTGCGTTCATGAAAGCTTCCATCGCTAGGTCAGTTCCCCTACTGGGCCAAATCTCAAAGGTGTGCTTCTCTACTATCCAAATCAACGTTTCGAGCTTGATGTCCGGTACAGCTTTTGCTACCACGTATCGCTTCGTATGTTTCGACTTTTCAGCGTTAAACGTTACTGTTAGCAAACAATTATTTCCTTATCTATCACACTAGCAATAATACATGTAGCGATACGTTCGAGAACTTCACCGGCCGGCGGAAGACGTCCAGCACTCCAGGCTGAAATGACTAACGAACGGGCACGGCAAAAGTTACGTTGTAACAACAGTTTTACGTATGCCTCGACAATAACGAGTAAAGGACACTGTATGCACGCGTTGTGCCAATGAAGCTTTAGTGATCGACGACACAATTGAAGTTCTGAAGAACCTGATGCTTGGATGATGATTGATGTTATTGTGATTTGAGCAAGATTCTAAACATCAAAAGCTGCTGCTGCTGCTGATGATGAAAAGATTCTGTATCATTGCGCCTGCTACCAATTTCGCTGTTCTATATGTTCTCCCGATGCTTGGGATAAGTGAAGCCTTTCTCCCCAAAAAAGCCTCTTTCTTACAATTCTAAGAACGAAATATTCTATGGAATGAAAAGCGAATGCGGAGGGGTCCAACAACAACGCTCGTCAAATGGCCACGCGAAGTTCTGCCATTAACTGAGCCAAGTGCTTTACACAGGCTACACTCAGGAATATCTGAACAAACATCGTATCACTAGCGAAATCAAACATCTCTTAATCAACACTAAACGGTCGAAGTTCGATATTGTGCCAATATGTTGAATTAACCGAAGAACAATAAACAATGATGACTCGTTTGCAGAAACTTAGACATGTTTGTTGACACCCACGAGACGCTTAGTTGTAAAAGCTTATTTTGGTTTGATCCCTTTAGCTAGAAGCGTTCCTATCGCTATGATTGATGAAAATAAAGATTATTATTGAGCCCGACGATATCGACCAAGTCCGATCGTTGCTGTTCGCCGTAGGTTACAGAAGCCTCAATCGTCAGTTACGGTTCAAAATTTTATTGCAAACGAGACAATATTATTTAGCTCCAAATTAGCCGAAACCATATTGGACCTGGCATAGATTTACTTAGAATTGCCTACCTCCACAGCGGAAGTTGCCACATTTGTCGACTGTTTACAAACATAGTAATATCATAATAGAGTCATATAGGTAATATTGATTATCATATTTTGTATATCGTAAATATAAACCATACTGGCCTTCTTCTAATAATTCAATTTGGACGCACATAGATAACAAAGACTGTGCCACAATCGAAATTTACATCAATGCATGTTGCCGAAGAAAGTAGAACTTCTAATGTGTAATGATCAGAACAAAAATTCGCGCTAAACTTCAATGTACCTTGCAACTTGGCTGTAAAAATAAGTTTTGATGCTGACGTTTTTCAGTGACAAACAACAACTGCTCCACTGTGATGATTTTGGCACGTAATCGGTTTCAGCGGTAGCTTCACATAAGTACAGATGCCATCCTTTCTACAAGTCGAACCATTACCTAGGTAGTAAGACAACGTGAAGACCCATTTTTCAAAGACCTAATAAAAACAGAAAAAACTGCTAGACGACAAGCCAATACGATGAGAAAGAGTTAGTTCCGTTCTGAGGTAGAAAAGTCAAGAACTCATCAAGCATACCTAGTTCATAAGACTTACCGACACCTACACACAGTACAGCCAGCATAACATCGTGCGTGCATGCATGTTGTGACGGTCCTTCAAAGACGCCGCTGTTCGGCACAATGCAGAAAGCGGAAACAAAATCAAATGAAAACGCACCATATTCCCCCATCTGCATATTCCAGACGACGTATCCTAGAACCCTCCACTTCTTTAGAGTTTATTTGATGTTGATTTCTACAGAATAATCAGGTACCGCGCGTTTATTACAGGACATAGATTAGGCCAGGTTACGGATAAAAGAAGCTTGAATCCTTCTAGCAAACACACAGACTAGTACCCAGGGCGCTGAATTCACTACGAATCTGTGCTAAATGCAGTGAAGTAGTTCATTCTTATTGCTTTTCAAGGTAGATTATATTAAATTTACAGAATACACCTGTATTCCAGAGTTGTTTTCCTTTCGACAGATGTTGTTTGTGCCCCCTTCGTATTTTCTCGTTTTCGACACTTGTTGAACCTTGGGCGTCCGCTTACTATTGCAACTGAATTTATTCCCTTTAAGAGTAAATCACTGTCGATCGCCTATGTCTTTTTCCGAAGACGTCGAGCCCGTTTTGCCATATGCGGAGTATTTCGGTGTATATAACTTTATATAATTTTGATCGAAAGGAAAAAAAACACGGGCTTAGCCGGACTTACTGACATGTGGTAAAAGGTAACATCTGCCTGAGACCTGAATCATAATCATTCGATCATTGATACGATGATGACAAGTTATCTTTGTTGCTCAAGCATATAGCTTTACCATCATGTATTGTCCATTCGTGATAACGAGCGCACACACTAGTGATAAATTGCAGTGATTCTCTGTACATAAATTTTAAGTAGTACATAACTAAGAATAGTCTGTTAGAAAGACAAGACAATTTAACTACACAAATGGCGCCTATATTTCAATAACAAAAACGCTTGTTTAACAACTAGCTCTGCGTGCGGTAGAGACGTTCATTCCGTTTACGAATGCGGGATTAACAGCGGAAGATATAGGAGGAAGGCGTGCGAAACGTTAGCGTCTAATCACTGATACAGATAACGTAGGCTTACCCTTTTTACGTTCCAAGGCCGAAACTAATAAGCTGAAAAGGATTACACCACAATACGTAGTTACAATATTTAAATGCAATATCTCCTATAATGGTTTCTGTGTAAATCAACAGCCTATTTAAGCTACGCTGTAACACATTACATAAACTTTTCATTTAAAAATACATATATTTTGTCATGACGACATGATCCATTCTTTGATTAACGTATAGACGTCAACGCGTCGACGTAATTTCCGTATATCAGAAAAACAAAATGAAGTTGAACCTCTTAAAGAGGTGTTTTTATCTAAAAATGCCTGCTTTTTAGTAAATACTTCTTAAAGTTCACTTTATTTATAGATGTTCTGTTTAACCCAGTATCAATTCTTATATGTGGTCCATCCCTATACGGTATATATTAAGCTTGAAGGTTTATCTAAAAGATGCATTGTTGCACGAAAAAAACTCTTTAGTTTGCATTTTCTAAAAAGGAAGTCATCTCAAGCGGTAACTTGGCAATATCGGAGGACCTTTGAAATTGCCATTGAGGACAGCAGGAAACCTCGAAATCATTAAACCTCTTCAGTTAACACTCACACAATAGCTTCGTGTCGGGAAGTGCAAAGGCCGCGGTCTATTTTCATCTGCAACGAGTCCTATACTCACACTGATTTGGCCAAAAAAAACATACAGATCTGCTGATTCAAATCTGGCCGTCGATGACACCCAGTCACGGCGTATGCGCGTCGCTCTTTTCATTAGGTCACTCGACCTTCGCAGTCCTACTTAACGGATTATTCGGCATACCGCTAAGCAGCTTACCCAAGTCCAGTCTTTATGTCGCCAACTAATTCGCTAGAGCTTTCAACTCATGTAGCTAGAGGTATTTCCTGCAATTGCTGCCACCGCTTCCGGCTCCATCTGTATGAACTAGAAAGGGCCAACATAAAGCTGATTGGAAAATTTCCACACATACACGTTAATCTTAAGCGGTAATAGTTTATTTGGCTGATTCTCCCTTTTATCTTCATCGCCAATAGACCTTTAGTTAACTCTAGCTTGATCCACCAGCTGCCCGTATACCATCCAGTAATAGTAGTGGCATCCAGTAATAGCCTAATTGTTTTCTAAGAGCAGTTTCTGGCCATAGGAGATCATCCAGACGTAACCTTTCCGTACGTCATCCTCTGGATCTTCCTTAGCTGTAAGCATTGATGGTGCACCGTTTGCGAAAGGGATTAACCTGCGAAGTACACATTGATATAGGAGGGTGTTAGCGTTCCTTTCTCGTTGTGTAGTGCTATTAGAATTATTGCAGCAGTAGTTTTGTTTGTAGAGCGTCCGTATAGCCGTTCCCACCGAACAGATTGCTCGCAACGGCCGTGTCTCACCAGCCGCGGCACCGATAGCACAGCTTTGATTGTTAAAGTGTCAGCTTTCCTTGAGTTTCTCGCCTCACCTAACGCGGTCGCCTACAATCGTTTTCGATTTGGTCCTAGTAGTAGTCGGCTTGTCCTATGCGGCTACACTTTCAGGAGCTGCGCTGCCTACTATTGCCACAGTCCGACGTTTGACCGGCAGTGAACGTGGCTACCAGTTCGTGCTCATCTGTGCCACAGGTCAGCGCCAATTCATAGTAAAACTGATAGGGACATTTCACTAGGATCGCGCGAATCGCTGACTCGCCCTACTGCTGGACGAGGCGGCGCTTTACCTCGCCAGTGGCTGTTACAAGACAACGCAGTAAAGCGCTGCCGGCAGAATGTCCGTCTCGTGACACGGAGATGAGGCGCGGGTGCCTGCCAAGCAGCGAAAATACCATGAAACGAATACACGTTGTGACTAGTGTATCAGCGCACATTTGCATTGCAGATATTTTGCCCAAGGATCTGTGAACTGCGAGTTAGGACAAGAAATCGGCAAAAACACTACTGCCAGCTCCGTGAATTGTTGACATCGGTCACGTTAATCAAACCCTGATCAACAAGATGTACGTAAATCTAGCGTAGATAGAGAAATGTGCAAGTAACGGAGAGCCTCAGGGTGGAACTATTAGGTATTGCACGATAGGAAATAAGTTGTTCTGCCGAAAAATGCTGAGAAAGCTCATTCGAGAAATGGGTCAAGTCTTGAAATTGGCGCGCTTCTGTGCTACGCTATAATTTTTGAGACATATACTAAATTCATATAGTAACATGCTGCTGCCCACAATGCCAACGGAGCTTTTAGTTAACCATCTGTAAAAAGTTATTAAACGATAAAACAGTAGGGAGTGGCGGTGAAGTTGTTTGTTTCCGCTTTGCCATGTTTGTTTTTTATGTCACTAACTGTAAGGCGTTCGAATTACAGAGTAACTAGTTAGTATAAAATTACCTCGTAGTCTTTCGAGGTCACTTCAAGATCTGCCGAAGTAACTCTTCAGTGTATCTCTCACTATCCATGATCCTTAGCGCGTTTGTCTTTGTTGCAATTCAATGCATCGGAAAGTCGCAGAAGTTACACGCAATGCTAAATTGCTAGAATTAAGATCGTTAAAGTTTAAGGGTTGATGAGTCTTTGAAAGCACGGCAATCTAAAGCATCCACACATTCTCATGCTAAACAGACGTACGTGCGTTTAGCGTACCTGTTTAGAGGGAACTGAATGTTAAGGTTAGATTTGGACAGCGTACTATAAACCGGACAAGCTAAACTTTCAGTTCTCCGTCCTTTCAGCTATCTTGCTAATGAACAGAAAACTTCAAGTAGAATCTTTACTTCGCAATAATAGGAGAAATGTCATTGGAAAAATTTTCTATAGTAGCCTTAAATTATTCCTATGATTAGTTTGACGCCTGGTTGTTGGAGGTTTTCAAATATGCAAAGTCTTCTGGGCTATTTGAAATCTAGTCTCTACAAAATGAAGGGTGTCAACTTTTTTATGTCGTTCGTTTGTTCTATTCTGTTTATGGTACCCACAAAAAATTGCTCGATTCTGACCTTAAGGAATTACCCGACTTTGCTATGCCAAATTCAGAGATTAATCAAATGGCTATAAACGCTTTCTTGGGATTAGTGTCAATCAGCTTATCTATCGTTGACGGCATGTAAGGGTCCACTCAAGTTCGCGCCTGAACAACACCACGTATCGGCCTAGTTTCTGTCAACGAAATTTTCTACTGAGGAAAAGCTAGTGATTTAGATTTATACGTCTGCTCCTACTTCTCACCTTAGACATATTCCGAATCGGCTAGTGTTCCTGCTAGATAGGTCGTTCCTAAATGTAGGCCATCACTTGAATGGGATCATTTTGATTTATACAAGCAATGTAACACACTGTGTAACGCAAGCACCACCAAAAATACCGAACTCCATATTTAAATTGTAATCGTCATAACCCGGTTCAGTGGGCCGACCCGTGCGGAGTAAAGATGTTTGTTAATGGGCAACCCAAACATCAAAAAGCCAACGCGTATTGCAGCGATTATAAATATTTACATATATTTGTTTCAGGTTTATCTGAATTCTCTGTTTATCTAAAGCACACGAAAATCGACATTTTATTTAGTTGTACCCTTTCCTAGATAAGCGTTTGTTCCTTTTGATGGTCACATTCTAAGAGCTCTATGTCCTAACCTACATTATAGCAGGCCTTTAACACATCGCTCGCATCCACCGTCGATTTCGTCGCAGCCTTCAGACATCTCTGGAGATACCCGGTCCTCGGGTCTGACAGGAACCCGTTCGGATAGAACCAGGAGCGGAGGCAGAAACGTCGATGAAAACAGACGCTTATATCAACGACACTCAGATACTACGCGGGAGCCCTCGCGAGACGACTCATACAATCGCGATCTAATGTCAAGGTCGCGACGGTACAAGGATGCGAAGTCAAACGAGATGAAAGATCGTGGAAGCGAACGAAACCAATATAAGAATTGGGAGCAGTCGTTTGAGCGTCATTCGGGGAAAGATTCGTATGAAGCAACCGACTGCAAACATGACAATGAACAATATGAAAACACCAACAGAAATTGTGCGCGTAACGAAAATGGTAATCGAGGAGCTCATCACGAAGCAAAAAGCGCAGAAAAACGCGGCAAGACATATAAAAAGCACAATTACCTAGATACCAAATTGTGTGAGGATTACAGCCTAAGACGAGTAACCTCGAAAGGTTGCCGCTTAAAGGATGACGGCGATAAATCTAAGCAGCAGTTCGAAATGGAACCTCTACAAAAAGCTGGTGTGTTAACAGAGGAACTGCGGCAAACCTACAGCCAAAAGTCCAAGGACAAGGATCGTAGCCAGGATGGTAATCGTGTCAATAATGAAGGCTCGCAGAAAAAGTTAAAGAAGTCTAAAGATGATGTAGAAGGAGGCGTTTCAGTAGAATTGCAAGGATCAAGTAAGTAAGTTGCAATGTCCTACAGAGCTTTGCGGGACGATATACAATGACTTCTTTTTTAATCAACTATGCATTGGTGTATATCGTTCGTAAGCTTGTGTGACAGTAGTAGCTTGCTCGTTCACGGTTCAATTTTTCGGAAAACTCTTGCACAGCTAAGGCCATATGGGTCTTAAGATACGGTTCTAATGCTTGCTTGTATTTCTTAGAATCCAAGAAGGACGAAAAATCGGAAGGGTCGAAAAAAAAAAATCAGTTAATGTATGACACGAAATACAGCAGTGGCCATTCGCGTGCTTCGGGCTCCTACCCAGTTAGGCCAACAGCTTCGCGGGACACATCCTACAATAAGTCGGACCCTCAGAAGAATGAAGATCAACCTAACCAAAACTCCTTAAACAGGTATTTCGCAAAAAAAAATACGTTTTATTCATATAGGCGTAGCCATAGGCGGGCCCTTTGTATGTGTAGATAATTTTGCATAGGAACAACCTATCCTTGATTAAAGAGGGGTGAAAGCCTCCAGAAAGTTTTAAAACAAACCCCATGACAGTTGGAGGGTCGTCATAACATTCAGAAGGAAAGGGCTAGGAAAACTAAACAGCCGATTTATTTAATGAAAACTATGTTACTGTTGTCACCCCAAACACACACACACACACAGATACATATATACCACCTCCTCAAAGCATGGACAAAAAAAGCAGTGCTTATTCGCTCGTTGGGATCGTTACGTTAAGGCAACGTAACTTTAACGTTACTTTAACGTTGGCCAGATGTAGGCGACTTTTTCTCAGTTGATAAATGCTGTTAAAGTTGCAAGTACCCAAGAAAGCCTCGTCTTCCTGTGCGTTTTGGTATAACCATATAGCTATTACTGCAATAGCCAATTTCTAACTATCGACAAGTACAACGAAATACTGGGCCTTGGCGCTCGCACTTACTCTAACTATCAAGTTCCGCAAATTATTTCAGTTGCATCCATCTCCGATTGGGTCTTGTATAGCCACGTTCCTTTCAGAACCTATTAAAATAGCTGAGAACCGAAAAGATGAACGATATATTTTACCTTCTTTATGGATACTTGAAATATTTAGTTTGATTTTTGTTTTGGCTTGCAGTAAAAACGTCGAATCGCTTCTTAAATGATTGCAATCAATCAATGTTTTTGGATTAGAACTTTGGATTAGAAACTATAGGCGAACAAGGGGCTAGAACCGAAAAAACTCAGAACTATAATATCCAGGCCCAAATTGATATCATATAAGTTTATGGGTAGGCCTATTTAACGCCGCTACAATAGTGCGTCTGTGATGTGTCCTGTGGACGTTATGTAACCTCCCGCTGGACATAATTTCAGACATAATCTGTTCCGCTACTGAATCATTTCTTTGCTTGTAGTAGAAAGAAGAAATCAATTTTTTGCCGTGCGTAACACACTTGTCGAAAAAACTAGTTTTTACATACGTCCTGTGAGATATTTGTATTGTAACCTAGCAGTACTAATTAATTCGATCAGTATCTACTACGACTATAGTACATAGCTTACACGTTCGCTACACCGCTCAGCAGGGGCTCACACGGATTGGATGAGCGGTGCCTTGGGGCATACCGACTTCATAGGACCGCGTCCGGATAGCTGTCATTTACTTTCACACAAAATCATAACTCACCGATCCATTCTATCCTAGGCGCTCACTGAGAACGAAACGCCGAAACACTTCGAATAAAAAAATTATTAACTATTGCAATTATTATTAAGTAAACAATATAAGTAAATATTTAATATCGACAATCTTGAACGATATTGATTTCCTTCGATGGATTAATTTAAATCAATGCAAACATTTAAAACCAAGATCTTCCACGCACTAGCAATAAACGGTGCCAGGTCGGGCAGGACATATTATCTAACAGCGGCCGCAGGACCAGCTTCAATTGGCTGAATAAATCGGGCTGATTTTCCTATACGCTGTGTGATTATCTACCGTAGTAGGGATTCCATTCGTTGATTATTATAGTTGTCTTTTTTCAGTTGATATCGGCCTGCAAAAAAATTATGGACGTAAAGCGGCTGGTTCTCTGCGGATGGCGCCAACCATTGGGTTCAGTATATTTGCTATAAATTAGCTGTAGGTTACATGGACATCATAGCGTAATGACAAATGCTCGGTTCAATCGATTCTAACGGTCGAGCATTCATAGGGCTTCCCAGGTAATATGTATTTCTGGGCATGATTCAGACTATTTTGAACGCTCTACTAAGTTCACTTTGAATAGGTCAAATATTGCTAGCATATCAACAGGCTCAAAATGCTCGCGTTCCCATTGATGTATTTTTAGTTCGTTCTCGTTCTAGCAATTACCTATGGTAAAATTACAAACATGGCTGGAACATGTTGCAAAATTCAGTGAAACATAAAGATCAGTTTTTAGAGCACTCAATGAAACGTGGTTCATGTGACACAAATAACCCCGACGGATTTAGTGGTTTAGAACAATCTCATTTGTTGTTACAACATACGAAACGTTGTTAAAAAATCTACGAAACGAAACTAAGTCGAAATAGTCGGTCTTAACTTTTAAAGTATCCTCCGTAAGTTATCTGAAGCACAGTTTTACTTGTAATAACAGAAAGTTTTCAATTAAAGGTTACCTTCTTCATGTTAGTCTCAGCTTGCATACGACAAGAGCACATCCTTTGATCGATCTTACCGGTTTTATTTACGTATTGAAGGTCTGTTACTGTCAGGCGTGCCGGCACAATATTAAACGCCAGAGAGTCGAAACTCGCAGCGGACTTTGTGATGGAAGAACCTAGCCTATTACGAGCAGCCGCTTACGTTGCCGCAATCATCTCTGCTGTAAGATCATCGATATTCTATTTGTATCGTTTCTTCAGTAATTGGGTCAATAACTTTAAAATTATTGTCATATAAATAGATATCTCTGTTTAACAATCGTCAGATTCATATACCTTGGGCTGGTGGCAGTCGTTCGCCGATAAGACGGCCGCAATACTTCCCTAAATCGAAACGAGCTCTATTTTTTTTTTCTCTAAATATTAGATTTATGCCAATGCTTTCCAGCTAATTAACGAACAAGAACGTTTCACGGGACAGTAACAGATTGTTTCCTAATTGAGCTTCTTTTTGCGCAGTGTTTTGACAAGCAGCGTCTCAACTGAACAACGACCTTTGATTTTTTTTTAAGTTTATTAAATAGTCTGAAAGATTTTCATCGAGCAGGTTCAATATAGGGTGCGATCGCAATTACCGTTATCCTGTAATGAAGCAATTATTTGAGGATCTCTACCTTTTCTTAACTATCGCCCCATATGGTCAATTGCATTTAAACAATAAGGGTATCCACGGTCACCACTTTGTACCACACGCAATACGCTGATTTATATTTTTGGCAGTCAAATGTTGACCGTACTCCAATACATTTTGTTTAAAAATGATGCAGAAAGGTAGGCACTAAGATGGATGAACGGGGCGCGTATAGCGGCACGGAAAGATAATAAATCGACTCGCCTTGATTGGCATATGTCAAGCAGACATGACATAAGGATCACTGGTGGCCGTCCGGGTCGCGGCAGGCCTCTGAATTCGAAGACTTTTATTGGCTGAATCCTGTGTTTGGTAGTCGCCGAGGGCTCATACAGGCGTGATATCTCATAGATAGTCTGGACCGACGCCTCTCTATCCACAAAAAGAAATTCTCGTTCTGGGTTTTCTTCCGATTTAAAATACAACTCGCTAACTTCAGCTCGGAATCACAGAAACAAATAGGCACTAGTCGATGATCTGTGTCGAACAGTCTCTGCGTCACTCATACATAAAGTTTCGCCTTGAAACAAAAAAACGGATCTGTATGTTTATCCAACACAGAATAAGAATTTAGCAAAGGAGTATATTTTGTCAAATGGTTAACCTTTTACCAACCATATGGGGCATCCTGCCAATCTGCCGCATGTTGGATTGTATCTTGTCAGAACCCCTCGAGAACTACGCGAAAATGATCAGAGAGATATCCTTTAGAACGAAATCGTTTGACTCTGAACGTTGAATGCCAGAGCGCGTTCTAGAGATAGGACAGTATTTGACGATTTTCTGATTTCAGATCTGACATATTTTCATATGTAGCAATTGATATATAGCAGCGTTTTTTTTTTAAATCTATTTTACTATTAGTATACTTTTTTGCTATAGAGCAGTGTATTGAAATGGTTCTTTTTTGGAGGGTATTTTCAAAACGAGACTATAAAAATCGATTGCATTTTCAGCTCGACGCACTTTGTGGGATACTCGGCGGAGCTTTCATTCTCTATAATAGAAAAGACTACAGTAAGTAAAGATATTCTTTGAAAAAGTTTAGTATTATTTGAACTTTGCCTTACTGAGGGCGCTGCTCGGCACCCTTTAGCCATGCGCTTTGATGAGCTCGTTATTTCCTAATACATTTCCGCGCAAAGATTGTTTCACGTTCCAAAATGTTTCTAGCGATGGTCGTGTGATAGAATACGAGATGTAAAATTCAGTAAATCTCTTTAGAAACGACAAAAAAGCAACTGGGTTATGTGAGACTGAAAAAAGGCAACGACAAAGCCCATATCTGTTTACCGGATTTATAGCTGTAAAGCAAGTAGGCTGGTTCCTATTGAGTGCAGAGACAAATTGTCAGCCTAATTTGGAATTCTGGGGTACTGCTGTGAAATTTGTCCTTGTTCTGAACCGCGATTGTTGCATATTTCCTTCGACAAGCCTATTCGTTTGTCCTGTTTCGTGACAGCAGGACAGAGACATAAGTTAAAGCATTACATGACATGTATAAATATACACTGGTAACATGTCGTGATTTGATTCCAAGAACGAATTTCCTAGGCTTATATCTCTTAGATGATCGTTAATGTAGATAGATACAAAAGTCACTTGGTAAATTTGTGCTGTTCTTAGCATTTGTGTAGAGATAAACAATGAGAGTTTTACTAGTACAAGGCCGCAAATTCTATTATCACTGTATTTTCTAGAGGAACCACAGATTATAATAACGCTATGACCCCAATGCCTGAATTTGTTTAGGCCGCAAATCTATCTCGATATCTAATAAATGTCAGCCAATTAATCCGATGGTATAAATCGGGTGTAGAAACCGTGAAGTTATTAAATTTGTTTCGAACACTAACAAAAGATCGCGTACGACTTCTTCTCTTTTTATATCGTTTTCAAGTTGCCACCGATGCCGGTAATACTGAAAGGAATTATAAGGATTATACAATGTATACATATCTGACCATTCATAGTCTCTCCTTCGTTTCCAGTGGAGTTTTCCTCCTAGCTAATAAGGTTGGTAAATAAAGTAACTTATAAAGGTATTGTTAGCTATTTTTTAGGTACTTTGCAAAAATGTTCAATGAAATTGGATTATTTTTATACGTTTCATCGTGATTTAACATGTATATATATAGCATGAAAAAACGTTTAAAGTTACCGTTTACGTTCAAAGTTAAACGCAGACATTAATACAGTTCAAACCTAAAGCTCGCAACGCCTGTTGATGATAGACTGGATTTGCAGAAGCTTGTAATTTGTTTTTTTATTCCTAATATTGTTATCGTGTTCAGAAATCTCTGATATGGTTAATATGACAGCACCGACAAGATCTCGTTAAATCAACCACGTAGGCAACGTAAACAGAGCAGCGTGCATCAGTTTGTTACGTCGAAATCGGAACGTTTTCGTACGTACTTCGTTAATCCTAACAAATAGTTGCTTTTCCTAATCCCTTTCAGAAAGGACATATAAATTCGATTATTTTCTGGATATCTATCCAGATATCAATTTCAATCGTTTTTACCGCGGGAATCATTCTTTTTCTCACACAGGAGCTACGACAGGTAGGTCACACTGACAAGTTAGAAAGCGAACATTTAACATTGACCCACGTCAATACACATAACTTTGTCGTTAGGCTAACGGTTAGACGTCTCAGCCCTAACACTTCCGACCCGATACTGTTGCCTGTAGGCTGATCTAAATATATCGGAGGAATAGATAGTATATTTTTTTTCTACCCATAACGGATATAAGTAAGCGATCGATTTCTATTAGAAAGTCAAATGCGGATTTAAATATGGATTGTTAGCGTTGTGACTCCCACGACTTCTCCGCCCCACGTAAATTAATTAATTTCAGAAATCCATTATCAAGCTACAAGTACCACTGTGGCTGATCGTTGCGACACTGATCGAGGTAATGGTATTAACAGGACAGCAGATATAGATGATGCAAGCTGAGAGGTTAGATCTCAAACAGGTGCCGTCGGCCAAGTCAAGTTATTTCTCTGAAGATAAAGCCCCACACTTGTGACACACAACGTCGGTTTGAACAGAATCAGGCCCAACGTAATACGACAAATTAACGGGGCCTTTTGACAATTATCGCCGGACAATGAATATGTTTTGATTGTATGATCCTGTGTCCCGGATACTTTAAATTGAATGGAGAAGCTATTGACGAAGATAATCCGTTCGTAGGCCCACCTTCAAACTTCTACTTCTCGTTTTAAATTGCTCGTGTTCAATACCTACCTCGTGCAGAAATTACGCTTTCTTGCACTTTATGGTTTCGAGGTTTCTTTATGGTTCGGGGTTTATGTACAAGCTGTTAGTGATGACACGTTTGCCAAGTTACTACGAAATCGGCCTTTCTACCCTTAAAACCGCCCTCTTTAGAATACATGGATCATACAAGACGATGTTATGATTAACTGTCCTGAAGCCTCCTGAGCTGGTAGTGTCTAATACTTACATAGCAGAAAATACTTCAGTCTATCGCCACAGCTTTTCACTCCCATCCTTTTGTATTCCCTTCTGTATATCCCGCGGTTTATATTAGGATTTGCGGCAGCTGTAAAAAGTTAAAGCCATTTTTCCCGGTAGAACATAATCCCGGTTTTTCTAGCTGTAGTTGCCAAGCGGGACAACTGTAAAAAAGGTACCGTAGGACTTCTTCCGATCCCATGGTTCGAACGTAAGAAAAACTGTTACTAACGGACCCAGCTAAAATGTAAACACTGCGCCACTGTTGAAATCAATTAATAAACTAATTTGCACGAAACAAAGTACGAAAATTCCTGAAATTGCTGTTTGACCTGCTTGATAACTACAAACTACTAAATTTAAAACTTCGCTACGGGCTAATTGCCCTTTTGTGGGCCTAATTCCTGCATACATGATTAATTAAGTCCTCCAGGACCTAAACATACCTTTTTCCGTGTTTTTATCTCGTGTAAGTTATGCCATACATGTAATTGCCCTAGGAACGCTCGGAACATAGCTAAAAACCTCGACAAGGCCCAGTTCTTAGTTATCCTTCCTGTTTAATTATTACGCTTTAATTACGCACGAGCTGTATACGGCGAAGCTGAAAACTACTGCTTTGAGTTTCGACAAACGTAAAAGAATTTGATTTCGATTTAGCATTAGAAAAATTTAAAAGAAAAAAAACGATTTTTAAATAACCATTGACGTTTTTGTACTAGGGATCTGGGTGCTTCTTATTCTCACCGCTATCTCTTGTGCTGAACATAAATAGTGTTTTTTTTCCAGGTTCGGCAACTTTCTGTACAAACGCAGTTCAGAACATGGAGCCATTTCGTAAAACTATTTTGAGGAAGTGTTGCCTTAAACTTAATGCCGCTTACGCCTCGCTTATTTTCGGCGTTTGTTTAGATACCATAATATCGGGCAGCTTTTCGCATAGATTTTGCCCTGCGCCTGACAGGACCCTGGATATATTTATACTTTTTTTTTCCGGATAATGTAAACCCGTTGTACATGGTTGCTTTTTTGCGTCGTAGGGTAACGTCGTCAATTGACATGAGATTTTGATGAATGACTGACTCTTACATTAAAATTGCGTCTGCAGAATGACGTTACAGAACTCTTTGAAGGTAAAAAGCTCTTGGTGATGTTGTACTTTTCATCATTGTTGCTGACGTTAACTATAGTCAGGGTAAGTTGATCATTTTACTAACGTATCGTACCGAACTGGTCGATCATTTGATTATACTGGGATGTTTATCATGAAAGATTATGTCACAGTGTTTAGCTGATAGAATGTGTTAGCGCTGCCTGAAGTATACGTTGTTTTTATTTACTGTGCCCGACAGAGTCCAAAAACAGCGATTTTTCGTTTATTCCTTCAAGGGAAAAACGCCACCTCGGACATTCATGAAACACTATTTTTTTATTAAAGAGAAATTCAGTTTGTAAAGATAGTAGTGCTAGGTAGTGGACTTTAATTAAAGTTGAATTCTTTCAGGTTATAAACATTTTAATCGCATGGCGACGTTACAAGAAATTGATCTGGCTGCCCCGAAGAGGCCCATGTGTGTCGGTACGGTTATTTACCGCAAACATTAAATGTTTGCTTTAGCTTCACAAAATCTGTGTTATATGTATTTCTCCGTAAAACTCTCTAACGAAATAAACGTTTCCTGCAAAAAATACACACTGCTTGAAATGTACTTACATCGGATTTACGATTTGAAGTCTCTCGTAATATAAACTGATAAACATGAATTTGAAACATAATTTACTATGTTTGGTTTATCATCATCGCTTAAAAGCCATCGCGTTGCAACTTTCCGTGTTGATCACGCCCTGTTAACAGCTTCTACAAAAGTGCTTCTGTTCCAACAATGCCATTCAATCATTTTAATTAAAGGGCGCCAAATCTCACCCAATAACCCGGCTGGGGGTTACGGAAACTGGACAGCTCTCGTTGGAAGATCGTTACTCTGTAGTCTTGGATGAATTGCGAGCTTCGAATGTGGAAATTTCGCAACGCCAGCATAAAGATACTAGAAAAGATACTTCATATCGAAATCACGAAAAAGCTTCTCATCATTCGAAGAACGGCGGCGTCTTCGCCTCCGAGTTGAACTATGCTGACCATTTACGATCCGAAAAAAATGGGCCCACAGCCCAAACCACGTTGGGGTGGGTTTCCCAAATTTACCCTGCTTAGTTCGGTAGCATTTAAGCAATAATAGATAACATCTGACGGACGCTCTATGAGGACAATCACAATATAATGAAAGACAGCTGTTTGTTTACATATGGTATTATCGCCGATTTATATTATATAAGTTCCAACAAACAAATGTATATGCTGAACAAGAGGTAGTCGAATCATTAATATGTTCGAATTGGCATATTTTTTTTTATTTTTTAACAATTTTTGGAAAAATTATTCCAGAAAGGTGATAGAGTCATTACAAAGCCGGCTTCGTTTCTTGGTATTACCTCTGTGCCTTTAAGTTTTATATACAATGCATTACTTGATTCTATTCTAACACAGTAATCCTATGCTCAAGAAAAATCTTATGATTCTTTCAGTAATTCTATTGCACAAATATAGGTCCGCTCATATCGCTTTCAGTCAATATTGAACACTGCATTTGCTATGGACCTTATTTCTTTTGAAAACATCGTCAATAAGGCAGTCCCCACCTTATCGAAGCCGTATTCATTAAACGAAAAATAATAGAATTCACGTTTTGATCGCCTCCGATAAAATCAATGGTATTGCGCACTGCTTACTCATTAATTAAATTCAAGTAATTCAGCTTCAAAGGACATTGACAGCTTTGTCATATAGTTAGGTAAATTGGGATAAATTAGACGTTTTGCATCAAATGATTATAGGTCGATTCGGGTCGGGACGAGCAACGACGGAGCTGCAGTTAGTGCGCCTATGCAGGTCGTAGTCGAGGTCCACAATCCATCCAAGGACGGCAGCGTGAGGAGTGCAACGTCACAAAGCTCAGGAGGGACGATATCAACATTTACCAGCCAATCTATTCCAAGACAATTCAGTCTAGCTGAGTAAGAAAAAGATCGTTTACAATCAATGACCCATCTTCGGCTTTCGCTGATCGCATCTCCGGTATTTTGTTAACCACTTAGCTATGGTACTCTTCAATGGGTTGTAATATAACGGTTTCTCATGACAATGTAAACTATTTCTGACGTCATCTTACGTTTGTGGTGGAATACTTCTTGCAGTATTGATGTGGCGAAAACCATTACTACACGTGGCTGCATCAACAAGTCAACCGCAACCAACGGCCGACTGACAAATCGACCCTCGTACGAAAACAGTAGTACCAGAGAACATCCTTCTATGGAGTACTTCTGCGAGTATTGTTCAAGGGATGAAAGATCTTACGACCTGGACAGGCCTCAGACGGATAAGCAGTCGGAAGACTATGCATCCCAATGGTCCTGTCCCCGGCTCGTCCAGGCACGTAGGTCGCGTCTGGAACCGTGGAACAATTCGAGTCATTTTATACAAGATGAACGAGAAAAATCAGCACTGAAATTGTGCAAGTCACCCCCAACAGGAGCTGTGCCCGCTGTGGGTAACCCTGAGCAGTGGGCACGCTTCCGAGGCCGAAACCTACATCATTATGGAGCTGATTCGACGGGCGAACTTCGGAAACTTGCTTTCACTGAACTCGAACCGAAACCTGATTATTAGCGGCTGTCGATGATGGGTGACGACCTACTAGTCATTTTTTAATACGTTCAATAAAATCGAATGCAAACGATTTTTTTATTGTAGAAAATTGCTTGATATCATACAAACAAATCATACGCTTGATTTTATTATGACACCATGGCATTTTATAACGCATAAACGTCACGCTGAGGCAAACGTTACAGCGTTGGTATAAGAGACGTTAACCACAGAAGGAACTGATTGTGTTAGAAATCCCTGATAATTACACGGTACTAGTGAAATGAATATTTTTTGGGATATTTCAACGGGTAAGAACCAACTAAATGTAAGAAATGTATCCTTTTACAAATAAATCCAAGGTGTTAGTTTGTTATAAAATCAAGGTGTAGAGATATTACCGCGTTCTCTAATTTGTAGCAGTATACATCTATGGAGGCCGTATAATATTCGATCATCTATTCAATACGTATATATATACACGTTTTTTCATGCACGAGCTAAAGTAACTCGTTAGGACAACAAAAATATTTACGTGTACGAGCCTTGTCCATTTTTGATATTCGATAAGCAGCCCCAAATATAGAACATTAATAACAAACATCTTTTTTTAAATCGAGCTTTACACTTCAAAGCTGCATTTCTTAACTGGATCATCGCCGGGACGTCGCTAGGGCGTTGCTGAAACATTTAAATTTTTTCATGGAGTTTATATATGTATGCATGCACGCACGTATATTTTCAGTCAGATTGTTTATTAGCCTTAAACTCTCTCTCCCTCTCTCTCTCTCTCTCTCTATATATATATATATATATATATATATATATATCGACCATAGTTTTGAGCACTGCGGAGGGTCCGTACTAATAAAAAAAGAGCCATCTGACTAAAATTGACAAAATCGACTTTCTTTTTATGAAAAATACACAACAAACTAAAAGAGTTTTTTTTTCAGTGCAAAACGACTCCATGGACCGTTTCGCCTTAAACAAGTAGACTCAAGCCTGTTTGCATGGCAATTCTTCATAGATACGCTAGAGGATCGTGCTTTCTGGTGCCTAATAAGGAAGCTAAATTTTATTATCTTTCCGGGTTAATAAGCATTTGTTTGTTTGGCGCGCACGCGACCATGCGCATACACATACGCCAGAGATGATCTCGAAATTTTTGGCGGCAAACTCCATTGTTTTTCTGGGGGCAGTTGACTTGACGAGAAAACGCTATAAGAATAAATGTATGCCACAAGAAATCCACAAACAGCCTTCGCAAAACCATGCTATGAACTTATGGTTTTTGTCTAGTGCGATTGGCAATGAGGCATAGTTCTGTAGAAAGGCAGGACGAGATACTTGAACGTCGGCGATAAATTTGTTTAGACAGTTTACTAAAATTATTCCATGCAGTTGAACTTCGTTTTCATTGTTACACAGCTCTACTCGGTTTCGGTACTTATTTGTAAGCAGTGTTTTCTAAATAGCAAGAATTATACCGTATATTATACAGACAAAGGACGATTTATCACAAACAAGTTAGTATTTTAGTCAACTTACCTGGACAAAGTGACTGTCGCGACGCCTATTGGCTGCCATGAGAGCCCGGGCAAGAGAGGTTTTAGATTGCATCGAAGCATGCACTTCTTCAATGACACATTCAGACACGACGTTACAATCTATCTCCACTCACAAGCTCTACGTTAGCCGTAAGGAAAACAAAACATCCCATCTTCGCTGAGAGTCATGTCTACCGGTTAAAGCATTTGTTCGGCTTAGGCTTTGATAACTGCATGCATAACACCTGCGCATTAGACGCACTTGACCAAGGCCCAGCGGACAATGCAACCGACCTTTTTCCTAGGAATTCAACATTTTTCAAGGACCAACTGAAGTAGTTAAGATCCCAGAATTTCTCTTAGATAAAACATGAAATCTCTTTTGCGGGGTTGCCAACCGTTAACTAACGAACCACTCGAATGACTAAAACTAGTTGTATATATATATATACAACTAGTTTTATATATATATATATATATATATATACGACTAGTTTTAGTCATTCGACTCTAAGGAATTAAGTATTAGCGTTGGTTCGTTAGTTAACGGTTGGCAACCCCGCAGAAGAAATTTTATGTTTTATCTAAGGGAAATTCTGGAATATTAACTACTTCAGTTGGTCCTTGAAAAAGGTTGAATTCTTAGGAAAAAGGTCGGTTGCATTGTCCGCTGCGCCTTGGTCAAGTGCGTCTAATGCGCAGGTGTTATGCATGCAGTTATCAAAGCCTAAGCCGAACAAATGCTTTAACCGGTAGACATGACTCTCAGCGAAGATGGGATGTTTTGTTTTCCTTACGGCTAACGTAGAGCTTGTGAGTGGAGATAGATTGTAACGTCGTGTCTGAATGTGTCATTGAAGAAGTGCATGCTTCGATGCAATCTAAAACCTCTCTTGCCCGGGCTCTCATGGCAGCCAATAGGCGTCGCGACAGTCACTTTGTCCAGGTAAGTTGACTAAAATACTAACTTGTTTGTGATAAATCGTCCTTTAGGTAACATACGATACATTAAGCAAGCATTGAAGGATTCGCTTTGTAATAACCTCGTTAGCAAATGGATATTCCTAGGAGCATGCTTTATATTTTTATTAAGGCTAAGCGAATAGTCCGTAACGACTCAGTCTATATTTTCAGGTTTTAGATAGCAATGTCGGGGCGCGTTAAGGTGCACAGTACGAGCGATCACTTCTAATTTGTTACAAGTAGCTTACATATTGGGTCATCAGTCTGGGATAGGCGCGCATTTTGTTACAGTGGAAAGTTAGGTTAGGCCAATGTGTTTTCCCGGTACTACCTCTTTAGTTGAACAATTGCCTGCCACTGTGCCCCCTCCACCCCGACTGCTGGCCTGCACAGCCACAACTGTCTATTTTTCTGCAGATACATTACGCCCACCGTCTGCGAACTCATGCAGATAACAACTAACATTAGCAGCTGACATCTGGTTTTTGAAATTTTTCTGATAGGCGACGGCCATTTCTGTCAGCCCGTAACGCTATTAAACAATGGTCTAGACCGGCAGGGATATATCTTGACGGGGACATTTAGAAAATATTCTACGGACTAAAAGCATGCCGTATTAGAATGTAGAGCACCCGCTGATCCATTGCTTGCAGCAATCGGATAGATTTATCCTAAAAGAAAAGTAACTATAAGGAGCACCTTCTTATTAAGCGTTCCTGTGAGACTTGCGCCCATAGCAAAATATATCTGCTTTCCATAGCCGCACACTTTTGTCGGATAGCGTTAGAAATCCAATCCAACGTTGTAAGGCCGCATACAACCAATCAAGAACCAATTTTTAAAAATAAGTATTTTTACGCATCATACCAAAACTAGCAATGAATAGTGTGTTTTGAATGAAGTTTCATTTAAACGAAGAGGACGTTGCATTGCGTGGTATATATTTTATATAATTAATCAGAAAGGAAAACAAGCATGTCGTGTTTACGTATCGATCTGCATATATTTGATGGGAAGACATTCTTTACGGATTTATGTTCCTGGCGTGTTCAGGCCGAGTACATTTGTATGGCTTCCTAAATCTTTTCTCGAGGGCGGACCACAAAAGTTCTATGCAGGTACCACTGCTGTACCGTAGAACACTATTCGCATTGGCACATATATCGGCAGTTCGTATTTTCCATATAACTGTATTATAGTGATACATGTGAGCACGGACATCTTTACGCTTGCCACCGACGTATATGACGTTTATTCTACTTAATCGTTCGTGCCAATTATATTTAACCTATAGTTGTCTTTATATTTGCCCCAGCCGGCGCAGTAACTGAAACGGCTAAGGCCAAGGGTAGCAGCTGCACATAGATAGCACACTATATGTATGAAAGAAGGTTATTTTTTCTATTTCGGCATACTGCTTACGTTCGGAGTCCGTCACAGCAATATGTGACAAACTTTGAAACCATACAAACGTTCTCGGAGAGGAACTCATTACAGACGCATCACGTACCTCCTGCCGATCGTCCGTTCATAACATGGAGGCGCTGAGCGTTCGTAAACTTTAAAAAGAACTTATGCCTAATGCCCTGAGACATAACATGATTATTAGGACCGTTTTATTTGCATTGTCGAATGAACGCTTAACGACTAGTAAAGCTTATAATAGGTTGTATTGTTGCATCCGTCTATTTCTATATGTATTAATAGTAAGTACAATAATATAACTAATAGCAGTCCATGTACCAGGCCTCCCGTCGCTCCTGCCTGCTACTTTGATATTATATTAGTTTTTCTATATACTGTTAGTTTCGTACTATTGTTCATTGGTTCCAATGATGGCCATTTATGTTTCTTTTACCTTTAATTAATTAGTTATCTTCCTTTATCATTATCATATACAATGGTCGTTCTTTTTGTTACACATGCTGTTTAAGTGGCAGTAGCGAGGTTTACAGTGGCTCGAGTGTTGGTATTCGATATCATTTTCCGGTAACGCCATGGCAATGTTTATATAAGGCTTTACTTACCCGCAACATTGTGCTGTCAACTATCAGTGTAGGGGGGGGGGGGGTATGTATTGGGGATTATTTGTCACTCATCAGCATAGAATGAACTACTACGAAAGTACGAGTAACAGATTCTATATGATGATTCAGTAGCAAATTTTCCCGCGATACTCTAGCTAATCCGCTTGACAAACATAGGTATCTAGGACAGTTGTAGAAACCGAACCGGACACGGAAGTTAACTTGCAAATGTCCACCGTTAGAAAAGAGTATGTAGATAGATTTGTGGCCTACTTAAAGTTTACACTGATCGCGCTAAGAAAAAGAAATTACAACGGGTCGATTTCGCATAGAACGGAACAGAAAACAGTCGGGGAGTCGGTCTAAAATAGCCAGCGAATTCGATCCCGTATTTTATGTAAAGGCATGACAAAATATAACTGGGCATTTCCGTCATAACCCGACCCTCAACCTTGTTTGTTGTGGCTTTTCTTTGTAATGGCGCCTAACTATTTATATTTACTTTCCTTGGGTCTAATCATAGCCCATATTTTAGGAGCAGCACTGATGTTTCGAGTTTAAAGGTTGACGCGTATTCCGAGCACGAGACCAGTTTTCAGCTTCGGCCCTAGTCGTCGAGGTCAATTCTTCACTTAATCGCAAGCGTTCGGTCTAATAGCACTACCCATATGGGCAGTAAAAAAAGGTTGTCCTTCAGTAACACGATTTTGTTTATATATGTTTAGGTGTATTAGGTCTATAATTACGCTGAATGATATACAATTATGATTATATTATATATATGCAGTAAACACCAGGTCCCCGAATTTTTAAGTGTTGACGTCTTGTACCTCTGGTGCTACACCCGTTGCCGAATTAAATCGACTCAGATAAATTCAATGGAATGATCTGAAGTTTCGAAGCCACTGCGAAAGTACTAACATGAGGTATTTTCAAGCGCTTGAAAACACTATTGTTCTAGTGGTAGACCGGTATCCTATATATTCTAATAAAGAGTCGGCAAACATTTCCAAATTACTGACAAACGATGTGATATAATTGCAAGTAGTACTTTGCGGTACCGACCCTTTGAGCAATAACTGCGGCCACTCCTTGAAGTTCCCTTAGGGGTCTTTTGCGACCCTCCGTCTCCAAGCTTCGCGATACCTGCTACCGACCACTGAGGTCCCTGCTGCCGGAGGTTAGTCAGACGCAATGGGTTTCCTGCCTTCAAAGAACGTTGACCTTCATAACCTCAGCATATTCCTGTAAGAAATGTGTCATCCCAGTTCGTTTGCCGGAAATCATGGCCCACATCATAACTTTTGATAGATGTTTGACTTTCGGCATAACGTAGCTTTCGAAGTACCGCTCACCAACACGACTGAAGACATGATGGACGTCTTGTCCCTTAATCCGAAGCGAAAGCTCGTTTCTCTTAGCTCTTAACGGTCCAATTTTCGACTTGATTTGACCATTGAGAACGAGCTTACTCCATTTGGGCATTCAACCGACGTTCCTCTGCAGATCTGCTGCTCTTGAATCCAGCTGCTGTAATTTTCGACCTAGCGAATACGTCGCTATTTAATTTGCTGAGGAGGACGATGATGACGAAGACAAAACGATCCAATCTTTTTGGGGTTCGTGAATACTCACACAGTCCTTTTGCTTCGTAGTATACCTTTTCCAGTTCCGAATACCGATCAATGCAACAATAACCGAAGATTTTCCCTTAGCTTTTTAGTAACATTCCCGACAACCACACGTTGGAAAGCATGAAACATTCTAGCAGCTGTACATAGCGTAATTTTGTTGCAACGAAACAATTTGCTAGTCAGTGCTTTCTGCTTGCTGACCAGCAACATGCGTTCTTCTCCCCGTTCCGACAATTCACGTATTGAAACATGTACAAACCCAGTAGAAAGCATACAAGCCAGTCAAGTCCACCTGTACATTAGCACTTAGCTCATCTAGCGTTAGTAACGGCCGCGCTGGTTAGGTGGCGCCCTTGAACGCTCCTACTGCAGATAGTTCGAAACCTTACAGCATGAGACCTGCTGGGTTCGCCGAAACCCGCTTGTACCACGCTATGACGCATTCGATCGCTGAAAGTTTTACAGAGTGCATCATCTGTCAATAGTTGCTAATGTTTTCATCGAAATGTAGGACACCAACGTAAAGTAGAATGAATGCACATTCATAGGATAGCATCATTTTAAAAATATCTCGCCTCAGGACTGAACAATTAGCCTTGACGCCTGAAATTATCTGACTGAGGATCGACTGTCTAGCGACACTATCAATTGTTTGTCGTGTTCACAATAAACCTTAATAAAAGTATAAATCAAACAATAATAACAAAGCGCAAATTCTGGTTATATAGGCGTTTCAATTGATTTTAGAATGTGCTCAAAATCGGCATTTTTAAACTAATAAAATAGATAGGTCGAAATGATTTGGGTACCTTCGAACTCCACTGAGTAGGTGGATATCATTTATACTTGTGAATGAAATATCTAATTGGACTATGAGTAACGCTTAGTGTGGGAAGTTATTAAGTTTTAGAACTTTTCTTTCAGTTCATAGGGACACCTCTCACTCAGTTGGTTACTTCGTCTTGAATAGATGAACACAGATGTTGTTCCTATTGCATGAGTCTTAAGTATCAGATACGGTTTTTCTTCGTATCCGTTCGTAATCGGTTCTCGAAGAAACAGCGTGCGTCAAATTTTACGATGAAATTTCTGACGCCATCTAGCTATTGTATCTTAGCACACTATCGTTAAGGTAATGGGCGAAAATTCATGGAATATTAGAGTTTTCATCGACTGCAGCTCCCTTGTGACGATCTTCTTACCTGGCTCAATAATTTTTCATGCCATCCCTTTTTCCTTAGTCTGAATGAGTGGTTAGCTAGAAGTTCTTCGTTCACGGCAGTATCTGTTTATTTGTAATGTCGGTATTAGCGTATCGCCACTGTGTTCCTTTTTCGCGCCGGTGCGCGATTTTCTGGAGTGAAGTGATTTTTCCAGGGAGCGTACTGACGTCAGTTTAGCGGGAACGATTAGAATTCAGTATCGCGTCAACGCCAGCACGACTGGCGAGACGGTGCGGCAGTCCAGTGAACGCGTCAACTATAGTGACTCTCAATTAAAACCATTAGACACTGATGAATTTAGCATGCGTACTAGTTTATAGAGCGGCAACCTTCGAACGTCCATCCGCCTACAGCGGGGTGGGCCGCTGTGCCATAGGTCGAACTGTTACCTTTTTGTGTTATCAATAAAGTATTAACGCGTAGTGGTCGAAGTTAGGTTGGCTTTGGGATTATCAAGATCGCAGCCTGACATAGCCGGCTATATGAATAGGGTGGGCTTCTAGATTTTGGGCATAATTTACGATCACCAGATTCGATTCGTCTTTGTCATTGAATATTGGCTAATGAAAAACAACAATCAATCTTCCATATCAACATCTATTGATAATCCACTGCAGAGTATTTTCTAAACTTTTCTTATTTGGCGTTACTAGTTAATTATCTTATATGAATAAATCCTACCGAATCACCTATTCTAGATGTGGTAGCAAAAATTTGTCTACATTAGGGCTTCGATTATAGGACTAGGTTTTCTGTACCTATATGACACACATCTGAAATGGCCTAGCGTAGATAATACCAATACTTGATCCATGTAAATTGTTTGTATTTCCTTCATTGTTTTTAAAAAAAACTAATAATAACTTTTGCCGACGCTGGAGACAGACTCCACATTTGCCAACTAGACTACGCTGGCGCAAGTGGATATAAGTAACCTATGAAAAATTAACAAGTGATACTTTTTGGTACAATTGCTCTATCATAAAATCGCCTACGACACCGTTGGCTCATCTTGTTTGTACAGTTCCTTAAATTGCACGGGACCAGTCAAACCAAAGCTACATTGAAACAATCTTGACGCTTAGAACATCTATACCAAGTATTACTACAGTCTATTAGAAACCATCAATCAAGCACGCGACTTGCGTAGCGTCTGCGTTGTTTGAGAAGACCGCAATCGCGCCAAGAGGTCTCGACGTGCCGTACAAGGGGTGTTCCATCTTAGTAGGTTATACTGAGCGACCCGATTTAGTTTCGGATTCTGGGCTAGAGGCTCCTTGGGTTAGGGGGCACAATGGAATCAATAGTCGATTGGGATAGCATCTAACTATTAGACAAACACAGATGTCCGGTTATAACTTTAACTAGTGTCGAATAAGTGAGTGGCATACGCAGCAGCCCAAGAGTTACCTAATCTTGATGTTGTAGCTATAATTAGACGATATGAATATCTGTGCAGCACGATACAGTTGGGTATGATACAGCAAAAATCTACTTTTAATCATAGTTTCACTCGTCGTTTATGGAATTGACATTATGAGTAGATATCCGTACGGGTGTTCATTCTGCCGGCAAAAAATGGGAAAACCGAACGCTTGTAAGACTAATCAACTCCCTTGTCAGATTAAGTCCCGTTCCAATCGGCTGGATGAGAAACTTGCACAGAGACCTACGAAAACGTTTACGTTTAACGATGGCTGTCAGCCCGAAACTGCGATCCACTACATAATGCTCTAAATAATACTAATTCAACCTAATTTTCGTACTGATTTGTCATCATGTGCGTACTACCGTCCCTAAGCAAATTTGCCGCACCATTTTTTAGTCTCATCAGTTGCTGGCGAGGGTCAATTCAAACAGAATAACACGACGTACCGTCTACGTGATCTTTGGCGCCGCTAATGGGTACTGGTCACCTTGCGCTTTATTGAGTACAAGAAGTACCCAGAAGACGAAGTTTGAAAGCGGAAAGACTTGAGCTGGATGTACCAGTCGCTTTTATAATCTTTAAGAGACTCCGAAAACCTTAAGGTGAAAGTGGTACCTCTTGCCTGGCCAAGACCTTGCTAGATCGATGAGTTGGTAAATCAGGCGTACGCCTTTACGGTACTGCTACCTATTGCTAAACGAAGCGTTGAATCAGAACGGAAGCTAAAACCAGTGTTCATTATGCAGTACGTAGTGCTATTCAGTGGATTATGTCTGTGCAGCGTTGCCTATGGATACGAAAGGTCGATATCGTCAAGATCATCCAGATACTTATCGTCACCATGGGGATCACGTCGGCATCGACATTCGTCGTCGCACGCGTTACCTCGATCGAGTGCGTCGTTAAGCAAGTACAACACCCGCATTTCTGAGGACATTCGGACGGTAAACCCAGTTTCTATGTAATCAATCAATTGGGTTATTAAAACAGCTCCTGGATGCTTTGCAGAGATCAGTGCATGCAATATTAGTACTGCTGGATCCACTCTTATTTCGATTAATAATTTGATTTTTTTTGCGAACATTATCCCATATGTCCTGTCATTGTGTCCGATTCAGTAACTTAGTCGGTAGTTTGTTAATGTAGCAACTAGTATCTTTCGGGTCCATAACTTAGTATTATACAACAGCAATGATCTTCTAAACCATGTTTATCAACTGACCCACCCTTGCTTGCTCTAGAATGGACAATTCAGTATGACTTGGAAATGCGTTATAGTCACAAATGAGCGTACTTTGTTCGTGCATATTTTCTAGAAAACTGTCGACCGATTTTAAGTTTTTTCTAAAAACCTGTTATTCATAACTTGTTTTATTAGAGCTTTGTTAGAGTTTTAATGAGATGGTGTTTTGTTCTAACTTCCAGCCTAAACGATTTGACTCATACGTCCCAATACTGAATACGCCGCCAACTGATGACGCGCGTTTACAAAAAGAGTACCCATTGGGGACCAGCAGAGGCCTTCGGCGACCAAACAGGAACTCATTTGCTGTTGACAGTAAGTTGCCTATATGGGAATGACTATAGGGCATCTCTAACTTCCTAGCTGAGTATGTTAGGATCAAAATGATCCCTTTATTGTTTTTGGGCACGGCAAGGCTATAAAATACTTGATCGTCAACACGATGTCTTAAATGAGATCTCGTTCATAACGATAAAATGTACCTTAACGTAAATTTATTATTATAAAGTTTTAATTTATGAAATTAATTAAATTTTCAACTGAGGCACCCTTCCTTTTCTCTTTACACTTTCTTCTAGAGTATCAAGGGAGCCAGAATTTGGGGGGATTTTTTTATCAGATAAAGAGATGAGTGAATAATCCTCTCGCTTAACCTGACCATGTTGTTTTTCTGCGCCACACAAACTGGCAGGACAAGAGCCTCTAGCTATGAGTGGTTAGACCGATGAAAAGATTTCTTGAGCTCCATTCATTTCGAGACGAACATACTAATGTTTGAGTGGTCCTATAGCAATTGGTATTCGTCCTGTATCAAAGTCCATCCAGTTAATCATTTATTCTGTGACCAGCGTTGTTAAAACGTCGAAAACGCGCAACGGTGACGCCAAGACGGCGCCATGAGCTTGAGGATGTATCCAGTACTCCGCTTGGAAACAGCGTAAGTTAGATTTCTAAGAGAAAAGAAGCTCCATAAAAAGATAAACAGCATGAACGGCTTTGGAGGCTTTATCTGCCACATCAGACTGCTAAGCTAGACACATCATTTGTATAAAGAGCATATATGATATTTGACAAATGGACTATCCTTGACGATGACAACGTCACCAAGGAAATGGAGTAGTAACGTTGGCTATCCACGCAAACGACCGATTTTTGACGCGGAACACATTTGGATAGGGCACTGCCAGCGATTTAGCCGCAAGCAGTCCTATAAAGGAGACCCCTTACTAGCGGTAGACTCTAGTCAGATACTAGTTTAGTAATGTAAAGTAAACAGTAATAGGCGGCTTAAATCGCGCATGTTGAGTTAACCGATGGACCATCTCACCAGTAAGTCAATAGCATAATACATGTGCAAACGATGGACCTCATCGATCTATCTTGCGCGCTTACCTTATAGTATGACGAAGTCGCCTAGATTATATAGTAGATAATTTCATGCCGAAGTATAGAGTGGTACAGCCAGATAGTGTCCACAAACATAGGATCTTACTTAGGATGAGCTGATTGATGTAATTTCTCATTATAGTATGTTAGAGCAGTGCTTACATTACCTTTCAGTTAAGCTGGTTAAAGCTGAGAAGCATTTCTTCGAGATGGAGGTCAGAGCCGCATGTGCATCTCCTAGAGAACGTGTTATCTGCGTGCAGGACCATTATCCTGATGCCGATATTATCTATCAACCGGCGTGCACGATTCTGCATAGGTATGCACCTCTAAAAAAAAAACTAACTTCCAGCGAACTCTACAGATAATGATCACTAAATAATGAATGCCTTCGGACTCCATTCGGCATCAAAGATGCTCAGTGTTTTAGGTGTACTGCTCAAACCTTTCCAGATGTGACGAGCACAGCGGATGCTGTGAGCCACCGAAGAAATGTCAATCCGCGTCGTCTGAGCAGGTGGCGCTGTTCTTCAAAACATCGGATACTACGATACCGGTGATTAAGTTTGACTTCACGAATCACACTTCGTGCCGATGTGATGTCGATGAAATTGGCGCCGTCGCACCGGCTCCGCCAGAAGTTTCGCATTTAGATTCGGGTCACGAGCTAGAGATAGAGGAACATTTCGATGACGAGCTGCAGGACGAATTTTTAATGGACAGTACTCTGAATAGTTGTCCACGATGCCCAAGACTTTTTAGTAAGCGCTTTGAGCGTGGTCTCTGTAAATGTGATTGCTTCGACGGGGACTCGCTTTGCAAAAGCATAAAAAGCGGTCGGGAGAAGCTTAGCGAAGAGGAGCGGCGCTGCATCCAGCGAAACGCCTGCAACAAACCGACATGTGCTGCGGGTCACTATTTCAACGTGGACTTTGGCGAGTGTCGAAAACCAAGCTATGAAAAATTAACGCTTAGTGATGAGGAAAAACAAGCACTGAGCTCGAGTCTGCTCGAAGGAGAATCTGACCTTACAACACTGGAGCTAAACAAAGAAGAGAAGGCAACGACGAATGACAAAGATGCAAACCTTCACGATGGAATCACATCATAAGAAAATCGTCAACATAAACGCGGCCATTGCAATAAACACGCATAATACTCTATCATTTCTATCATGTATATTTATAATAGGTTCCTATTAATGGAAGGCCGGACGCACTGAACGTGAACGCGCCTAATTCAAGCTAAAATTATTTTAGGTGCAACGCCTCCCATTAGTTAGATTTATTACCAAATAGACTTCACCGCGCACCGGTTCTGCATTAATTAATTTTTTATTGTTGCTATAGCCAGCCTAATGTAAATTTTAGCGTATACCAACAGTCAATTATCCCGTCACGGTTATTCTGCCCATTTGTTTGCCAGCCATTTCTCCAACCTCGTCACACTAGTTTTAGCTTTCCAATGGATGTTCATTTTCATTTCATTGGCAAGTTGACATGGTCAGTTGGATTTAAGTATTAATTTTAGGTATATTAGTCAAAGTTTATTTGTTATCACAAATTGCAAAAATCCAATCATTCATCCCAAATCCTGAAAAATAAGCCACAAACTAGGAATTTTTTAACGGATCGTTGAGCTAACCGCTAAGACTGCTTAGTTTTGATAAATTTATATTACCTTCTATGTAATAAGCAAAACTACGCACTTACCAAAAAAACTAATCGGCTCTATCTTATGTATAGTTCTTGATGAAGTTAACCTTTAGCAATGCACCAAAAAAAAATTCGGGACTAATTTGGGTCACGGTTACGTAGTTTTAGTAGTTTACATAAATAAATAACTTATCATAGGCTATGTTAAATATATACCATCGCCAATTCATGAAAGAAACGTGTTACGGCCGTTATACAAATAAATCGACCCGTAACTAACGGACAAACCTTGTTGATAGGAATGGAGTTAGTCGTTAAGGCCGCCATAGTCCCAACCGTTTACAAGTCGTTCTTTCAAGTACAAAGCCTATTGTTGCCTTTTCGTTAATTTTGCTCGGTCGAAAATTACAGATATTAATATAAATCAATTACATAGAAACCTTACAGATATTGATGTTAAAAACTTCTCTGTATATAAAACTCCTTAAGTTAACTGTTCTTAATAAATAGCCAACATTTCAATGAAATTGTCACCTAAGAAAGATGCGCATTCATTTTGCTATTAAGCAAAATGTTTTAATTGTATTAAAATAATCAGCATTCGATCACGTTGCATGTTTTTTTTTCTAGAACCTTCGGTCGGCTACACACTTGAGGGTTGCCTTTTTGGGTTTGAAATCTTTGCAAACTCAACAAACAGTTGTTGATAATTTAGGGATGACGACCCATTAGGCTGTTCTACATTGTTTGCGTTTTATCAGAAATGTACAAAAGGCAGGAAAATGGGTTTCCTGAATGCATATAACGAAGAGCTATGTCAGACACAACATGGTGAGTTGGCAAGACAACTATTTTTTTCCTTTAGATTTTCTGGCAACGAGAAGCGGATTTTCTCCCTATTAACAAAAGTTGAAAAGCAAACTATTTACCGAAAGAAACCTTTGTGCGCGTTAAGCGTAACTTGAAAAAATTTGCTTCTTTATTAAGAGTTCACTACGTAATTTTCACCGGACTTTACATCTAGGTATTTACCACGGTAGCATTTTGGAACTTTAGCCAGTGTTTGTTAACGGCAGCAAAACCAATAAGTTTTACACCTTGCTCCGTCCCTGGCGTTGGATCACTACTTGTTTTAGTTAACTATTTCGACCTGAAATAAAACTCATGAGTTTTTAAATTCCAATGAAACGTCTGCTGTATAACGCCATAGTTGTCAACTACTTAGATTGGACAGCTGATTTAAAAAAAAAAGTCCCGCTTATCGATCAACGCAGCCATCAGATATTTTTTCATAATGCCTGCGCTAGTTCATACGATTGTTTATTGTACGCCGGAAAAGAATTAGTACACATTAAAAAATATATAGTAGTATATGAAGGTTGCCTCAGAAAGAAACATTCTGAGTATGTGTTGACTGCATTGACGATATAACAGATTCGGTTTCAGTGACTATAACATAAACCTCGAAAATTACAAACTTAACGTGGATTGTGTTAATACTGCAAATTAGTACTTTAAGCTGCTGTCTTTCTTGTTAACCACATAATGCACTGAAAATAAGTTATACGGTAACAAATAAACCATGTGATATATATATTTCCATAATTTACCGCTGAAGATCTTTCCTTTTCTAATTGATGCATTTTTTATTTTCCGTTACTATCGAGAGATTTGTTGCGGAAAGTGTGGCCGATTGGAAAGGCTTCCTTCTCTCCCTGTCTGCGGAATTCTCTAATAAATTAAAATATTGGCGTTCCCATTTTTTTTCCTAGTGCGAAAATTGCCCCTGGGCATGGGATGTCAGTTAGTCAAACCGAAAAACAATCAGTACAAGACAGCAAAAGAGGCAAGTGATTTCAATTGTAAGATGGGTATCAGAAGTTGATACTACCAATCTAATTAAAGGCCGATATTCATATGGATCTCATGTTGCTCGATACCGTAGTTAAAGCATATGACTAAGCATAAAATGTCTATAGTATATTTATGTACGAAAAAAACGTATAATTTTGATTTCACAAGAAATGGGGTTTGTGACAATCGTGTGTTGAATAGATGCATTTTTTTAGACATTAGAAATTATATTAGATGATATTTCCACCTTTGCTAGCAGGCATCAAACTCTTCGCAACTGTTTTCTTTCTATGTAATTAAAACTCTCCTCGGCGAGTTGACTCCAATGCTAACGGTTGACGAAAGAAGGTCTACGTAAAGCAAATTACAAAATTTCGAAGAAAAGCCATGGTCAACATCGACAGGCTCAAGTCAGATCTTAAAGATGGATAGAATTAAGCCGAATTTTTTCCAAAGTTACGTATCAACGAGAAGCACGTGTTGATATTCGGATACGATGGTTCAAACCGTTTTTATTGCGACAACATGATGATGCTCATCCTAAGCAACAATAGATGATGCAAGTAAAATCTGCTGATCTGCAGATAACACAAATTCAGCTAACAACCCAGGAATCATTTGCAGTTTTGTACGTGATTGCACTAAAACCGTTATTAAGCTAACGTTAAGTTCTGTGCAAAAATGATCTACCTGCTGAAAAAGAAGGACCAGGGGTATCATAAACCTAAATGTCCTTTAGGCGTTTATTAACATCGAGACCGACACATGATGCCTTTACAAATAAGATAGAACTTGTGCGTTTGATAGAAGGCCCATTTGAATAGATCTGGATACACTGGTTTGGGCGAAATACATCATGGTAGTATAATTACTGGGAGATTCGTACGGAACTGCTTCTAACCCTAATATGCTTTTAAATATAGAAGTAAAAATGAATCAGCTGCGTAAAATTGAAGCTTAATATGTCGGTATGAAATAGACACAATGTTTGTGACATAAACAAAATTAATTGTAAATTGGGGTTCTCCTATTCTTATTTATTTTGCAATTGTAGTTCTCAATAGAAAAAAAGGACTCACTCAATGCAGTCATAACCCAGAACTCAATTAGCAGTAATGGTATTTTCAGAACTACTACTTAATCAAAATCTTTGTATCTTGTAAGACGCTGTCGAGTATTCCCTGGCGCGTAGAATCCTCCCGTGATGAACACGATATGAGCCTCAAGCAGAAACACGTATCCAGATACATACATCTCAAGTCCACCTTATTTCACCGAACTATGCATATACGTAAACGGATAACGATCCTAAGGAAAATAAAAAATTGTGATTACAAATGGAAGGCCTTCGTACATCAAGCTCCCAATTTATGATTGCTCCGTCGACGGCTGAGTGTATTGTACCACTACACTACACAATACCACCGCAATTATCTTCTTGCACAATTTGTTTATGTTTATTTTATTTAAAAAATAATAATAATAATATAGCGTTATTCTGTAAGACCCATTTAATACCCCATTGCTCACCTCAGTTTGTGCCTGTGGCGTTGGTTACCTGCCTGACGTCCCGTGAAGTACTAACAGAGCTGTCTGATGGTTTCTATCTACTATAAGTCGGTTGTAAAACGTTAGCTCAACTAGATCCAACCCACAGTCACTCATCAACACAAAATATAACACAGCGCTGGGAATTACAATCTGTCGTTTTCTTCTAAAAAGCGGTTATTGGCCTCGAAGCAGGATGAACTCACATTTTGTTGAAGAGATTTGCATTTTATAACCATTATAAAGATTATCGTGCTCTGATAATGATAGTTATACACATATCCATGAGAAGTATAATATATTATGTGTCTAAACTGCTCCGTTCGTGAGAACTAAGCAAATTATTCAGCTAAAGTTTAATGTACTTAAGATTTTTACTTTTGGCGTTTCGACTCAAAATTGATGAGACGGCGCTGCTTCGTTAGCAGAAGCAATATACTGCAGGGCCGTCTGATGTCCAGTAGGTAACAGAAGAAATCTGAGTGTCCTGTTGGCGGTAGCTCACTTCTGCAAAATCGTTTCTAGAAGTTTTATGGAAAGGCACTTGACATCGGCGATCGTTGTAGGAGTTTTTACGTTGACAACGTACGTCGTATTATAGTGGTGGATCCGCCAGGACCTTTGACGTAGGCCATTCTTTTACTTTTGTCATTCACCTACAAGAAGTACTGTTTCAGAGAATATCTGTCCTATTCCTTGTTCGAATAACATTGCTCAACTCATTTACAAGTACCGTGACTATGCAGCGATGACACGTTCGCCTACTAAAATTAGGGAGTGGTTTAGGGTCAAAACGAAAGGTAGACACATTTCGCTTTGTACTGTGAGCCAGTTGTCTCAAGCAACACTTAACAGAAGTACCGGGCGTCAGATCCGAAAAATAAATCAGCTCATTCACAAAATGCCTAAAGTTCAGAAACTAAAACTAGCTTAATGTTCCATGACAACCATATAATGCGTTGTATCGACGCGCAGGTTAGGTTCCGACCGAATCCTCATTTCAGTCTAATATGAAATTAACATCGTTATACCTAGATATGAAATAATCAAATTAAATTATAACCTAATTTGAGTTTTAAAAAATTCCCATTTAAAGTGTCAGAAATCTCAGAAATATATAAATTAACAAAAAATAAATAAATAAAACCTTTACTATAGATTAAATATTTCTCATTTATTGTGCCTGCTAGACTATATATATATATATATATATAGTCTTAAAAGGCTTGCCCAAGGTGGAAGGAAGACTCAGCCGCATGAATAGAGCCATCTCGATTTTGCCTTTGATGGAATCACAAAAGACATAAAAGCGATCCGTGTGAAAAAATCAGAAGCGTGCTCATATATATAATCAATACATATATATTAGCGGGTCATGGCAGGGGCCTAAGTTTACAAATTTGCTAATACTCTGACACGAATTTTGTCCTAAAAATTTAAGGCTGAGATTGTAAAATGAAAGAAACAGATTCTTATTTAGCGGTGTCTGGACGTAACACTGATCAAAAGATGAAGAGAAAAGCCCTCGTACAAACGTTAATACACAGAGCTTTTGCACAAGAACAATTACTGAAATATATACGATAATGGAATAGTTTTTAAATTAGAAATCTAGAATTTGTGTTTTATACCTTCAGCGGTCTTCAACCAAGACCAAATGCTAAAAAAGCCAAATCTGGGCCACATAGATTTGGTATAATATCAACAAACAATGGCAGCGCACACCCTTAGTTCGTTTTAGGGTAGGAGTCCTAGAAGTAATTCAATCAAATTAACTTGTGGTCAAAACTCTAATGAACACCACTGAAGTCGTCCCGGAGCGCCGATCCCACATTCAGACGGAACACTCACCCAGAGGTTATTAAGGCATAGAGCTCTACCCGTGAAGTGCCAGTGATTACCAAAACAACAATAAAAATCAGCATAGTATCCGAAATCTACCACCCTTTCGTTTAGGCGATATGGCGGTGGACCGCACGAAGCCTGATGGGTAAGCTGACGTTTTTCTCTTACATCTAAATAGTCATTCCTGGGTTGAAATGTAGATCCATCTGATTTATAAGTCTGGTCCCAGTGTCGATAGCCGCCCGCCTGAAGCTGCCCGTATGCATCAGGATTATGTGGCTTTCGCCTGATATACTTGCGTGAGGAGTGATCAACTGGACTGAATTCGACTGAATCCTCATTTTGCAAATATCCTGGTTGAATGAAGTTCCGTAAGAGATCTGACTGCAACGGTGGGTCCAATGCAACTCTCTTTCGACCGCAGTCGATACGTTCGCAGTTTGGAAGAGAGTCTCTTGTCCACTTACCACGAAAGCAGGTGCTAAGTATAAAATTGCCAACAGGACGGCTATTTCTGCTCGACCAACAAGTGTAGTTCAGATCTCCATTAGGTAGTTCTTCGACTAAATAGCCCTTTGGCAGGATTGGTTTCTCTGCACAACTATGCTGTATTTCTGGACAAAGGGATCCGGTGTTGGTAATATGCCAAACGCTTCTAGCACATGAAGCTTGAAATTGCAGTTGAAGCCTGCGGCCTTTTGGGATTACCTAAAAGTCACATGATACACATAATAGTGGTTAAAGTACGCAGATTTAGGCAAGTAGATAAGTAAACGAACAATGGATGTATTATAATGTTTTGTATCAGTACGACTAAGCCACAGGTGATCTTCTCAAAGACGATTGTAGTTCATACCAAGAAAAGCGTGGTATACCTGGCAGTAGCACAACAAAGTACCCTTGTTGGGGGCTCCTACGAGGCCGGTGCAATATGGCGGCGTCCCACACGAAAATGAGTGCCGATCTGATAAACGCACTTCGTGAGTAGCTCCATGATAACTAGCAGCCAAAGCTAGTACTGCCACAACCGCACGGCTCCAAAAGATCCCATGCGCCATATAGAAGCACACGAAACGTTATATCTATAGATGAATTAAACACAAAGCAAATTTAATGTAAGGATTTATGTAGTCAGCTTTCGAATTCGTAAACAAAAAACGTCCGCCTCCGATTTTATTACACAGTCAACCATAAAAGAGCTGTTAACTGTTGTTGGCTCTACATTCATAGTGCACCCAGATTAAGTACAATCAGCAATTAGGGTGAGGGAACGTTACGGAAAGGCTAGACTACTTTGGAATCTAGTTTACCTTGATTCCGCTACTGTGTTCAAGTGAATTTTGCATAGACAAAACGCTTGCATTAGACTGTATCGTTAGGGCAACTTGTCATTCAAATATTACGTTTGCTAAATCAACGCAAAGTGCTTACCGTTAAGTAAGTTTATGGCGAAACTGATTAATATTGTCGCTAAATTCGTAGAACCCATTGGCGAGTTGAACGCAGAAAAGCAATTAAGTTCAACCATATCATCGTGATTTTAGCTCTGCACACGTAAAACTACCACTTACTAATAGTTTCGTCGAACGAAGAAGAAATCATCTATTTTAAGTTACAGTCACCGTCTGTGAAGAAAGTTCTACATTCAAAGATGTTAGTATACCAAAGCATGTCCCTAATATCTGCAGCTAAATTCGACCGTTGATTATTTAGTTGCGCTGCGAACTTTGGTCTTTAACTGGAGAGGAAGACAATTTTAGTTTTCAGATCGTCGAAACGTATTTTGACTCGTAAAACCTTTCTACACGTCCTTGTTTTCTACATGCAGATCTGTCATTTGGAAGATCTTCTCTTCGAAATCTTCATTGCTTCGGAACAAGGCTACAACCCAAATTATACAATGGATGTTCATCTCTATCCAAATATCCAATTGCAATGGGTGATGATTCGTGTCTGGTCACGCAAACAATATCGCATAGCAGCGTAGCTGGGCGTTGATTATAATCTGGCGTGACAATACCTCATATCTGTTGAATCAAATAAGCTCAACTGACGCCTCTCAGGTAGCCACTCACAAGTGGAACCCTTAAGCCTTTCCATATGGTTTCCACCTTTTTTCATTTCACAAGTATGACTGGCACGACTGCCAACCCATTTGCAGCACATATACTTATCATGAATTTACGCGTGCAATAATGCCGTTTATGAAATGATTCCACTGTACAAAAGGGATAGTAGCCATCGGTAGCTATATTTCGCACTGCTTATAGTCGTTGTTAGGTCTTTTTCTGTTTGTTCGCAACTTTGGGAAGAGGGGGCTCGATACACAGAATTGATCGCTGGCCTATGTAGTGTGGCTCATAGAGCTATACAGACGAACCACTTCATACGATTATTGAGAAGAACCATTGTCATGGAAAAACTAAAAAATGGTCCCAATATGTGTGTGCGTGTAGGCCATACAGAAAACTACACACATTCATAATGTTTATGGTCAAATATTCTAAATACTCGACCGCGGTTATAACGTGCACGCCTGATAGTCAGAATGCATTTTTGTAGTACGGTCTATCCCTTTCTGAGGGAAAGTTCGGAAGTTCCTTAGTTCTTACGAAATATTTTTTTAATGGCTAGCAATGAATTGGTTAGAAGTTGTGACCAGTGCTTAACACACGTCGGCCATGTAGCATATACACAAGCCAAATTACCTCCTGCTGACGGAAGCTACCTCCTGCAATTTTTCTATACAAATAACAATAGATGACAGTCTGTTTTAGATGTCTAATGTAACGTAGGCTTATAGACTTACTTCACCCCGTTTCAGAATTAGATCCAAGAGTGAAAAAAATGTGTGTTTTGACTGATCTCTAAAATGGCCATAGGCGATTTACCGTTAAGCAGGTGTGGCATTACAACGTTTTTGTAGGCTCACCTTATATAAACTACCTATATATTTCAAAAGCTATTCCAATCAAAGGCGTATGTCTAATTGTCTTCACAAAATGCAGGCTCACATCGTATTTTGATAAGACGACATGCGCTACCAACCGCATTATTTAGAACCGTCAAAGTAGCTCAGGCCTCTTACGGTAGACGCAGCCAAAGTGCTTGAATTGTTCTGGTTTCGAACGTTTATCGCAGTTTTAGTATCATCTGTGAACGGTTGCAGGTTCGCGTATCAATATTGTTCTTTATATTATTACATGATTTGAGAGAAATATCTATTTACTCCACTTTCATTTGGAGGGAACGGACAATTAATAAGTTAAACGATTATGGTGAGACATAACTGATTAGTTTCATTCCTCGCGTGAAGGCTTTTCGACTATACATGGTAGGTTATTCAATACAGTAAGTAGTAATATTTTTGCTTTCTAGTAAGCAAAAGATTAAGATTCCCTGAAAAACGAACACGCATTTTAAGATATCAGCGCACTGGAGCCTCGCAGGTGGCGTGTATGGATGTTTCCGGAATATAAGGTTGACTATTCGCGCCTCACACATTTTGTATTAGTCTCTGAGAGACTCGAAATCTCGAAATTGTATGGCAATCCAGGGCGAGGATTGGCCAGAAATGAAAAAGCCTTTCATACGTAAAGACGTAATGACTATCTAAATCTGTGACCAATAAACATACTAGAGATGAAAGTTTTGCATGGATATTTGTTCAGCTTTAATAATTTATTGTAAAACATATATATAAATGAATATTACATATCACCATATATCATAAATGGAATTACGTGTAGGATTATGCTATTTGTCAGACACCTTTTAATACCTTTTTCGATAAAAAAAAACTTCTGCCTTATTTTTCGAAATGCTTTTCAATCTAGTTAATTGATTCGATAGCTTTAATGATTTGAATTTTTAGAGCAAATATTAGGAAAACTACTGGTTTACCTTACTCATGAATTTGGACGGGTCAGCGAAGATGAGCGTTTTAGACGGAAATACATAACCAACGTTGGTAGTCTCAATATATCGATCGAAGGTGTTCGGATCCATCTGTATGAAGAAATACATTTAAAAGTTTGAGTAGTCACGGCCATCAAATAGATCCTATAAAAGCACGTGACAAAAAAAAATCCCAATTACGTGTTTTGTTTCATAGGGGTTAAGCTTACTTTGTACATCATGTCAAAAAGTAACGGGGTCTCTACCAAGAAATCTGTTACCCATTGTGCAGCCTTGACCTAGCTACGTCAAATTATTATCAGGTACGCTCTCTGAAGATGAAAATAACGGGATGAACATAATTGGAAAAATGATGCCAGGTGATAGGCTTTCCTTTTTTAAAGATGCATGAAAATTTAATTAGGCATTTTGGTTTACCAGTGTCATTAGCCTAAAGACGATAAAAAATCGTTTGTTCACCAGGCATAATCAGGGTCTCTTGCTGCCTATGCGCTATCTACGTATTTTCTCGACAGACGACTTCAAAGGGAATATTATTTTCTTCAACGTAAACTGAGTCGTTGATGACCCACGGATTTTAAGAGAAGTTTTATGTTTTTGATTTTCTTTACCACACGCCTATCAATTGACAAAAAAAAAAACTGAAAACAAGAAAAAAATCTCTGCAACGTGCTACCGTAGATAACGTAATATGGTTTCTAAAGTCTCCTATTTTCAAGGTGAAACTTCAAGCTATTTATACTATTCCATTGTTTGACTTAACCCCGGAGATCAAGATGGGGGAAAAATTGATCAGTCATGGTATTGCGTCTTCAGCAACAGAAAAAGCTATTTTTTCATCAATAACATTTCACTACATACTTCAAGAGATCCATTTAAATCATTGTAGGCTATGCGTGTCATTTTTAATACGTAACGGATGCGAAGAATACAAGCGATTGTTTTATTAGTCTTAGATAGTTGGGTATACTAATATTTACGTTATATTGCAACGCTGGTTTTCTTCGATTTTTTTACTTAGAGCAGAGCTTCTCGCGCCAACTTTCTGCGCCCATTTCGATATTTCTTTTTTATTTATTTTCATTGCGGTTTTCTTAAAACGCTTTCTTCGCGTTATTTCTAACAAAATTTTGTCGTAGAGAAAAATTCTATGCTGACTGGTGTAGATCTCACGGGCGATGAAATATAGATTCACTTGGCTTAATCCTAGTAGTTGTGCAGTGTTTATCAGCAAGATAAATAATAAAATACACCATGAGCATTTCGTGTAGAACCAGAGCATTTATTTATCAATAACTACTTGAGTAGATATTATTGTATATATAAAGAAATTGTTGTTTTTGTTTGCAGCGACGTTAAGTGTCTGCAGAATCGACACCTATTGAACGAAGGTCATTGACAGAACCTTAATCAGCAGCAGTAACGGCATCAACTAGCGTTTAAATTGATTATAATGAACATTATTAGGGCGTTAATCTCATCTCACCGGAGACATCGTTTGAAAAGGTGTCGTCCCCCTAACATATTAGGGGGACGGAGGGTCTATGATACAGTCACCTGTTACAGTGTGTGTGTGTGTGTGCCTGTGTTTGTGTAAAAATGGCATTTCCCCTATCGCCGTTTCTTTTTCTAACAAAATATTTGCCGCAACGTCTGTATTTGACAGATTGAATAGTTTTCAATATAAACAGATTTGAGGTGAATAAAAATGAATTCGGTAATATTTGCAATAGACTTATGTACACGAGAAAGACAAACAAATATTCAAGACAAATTATTTTCGTCCAAATCAAGTGTTAACAAGTGTCGCCAGAAAAAAACTTCATATATTCTTATGATATCGATAGCTCTGTCTACTGTGTGCGTGACGTGGCATACTGATAGTTTAATTGAAAACACAGGTCGTATATCCTGGCCAAAAACATTATTAATTCTAAGCTTGATCTTTGCGCTCGCCTTTAGGCGGTTTGTCTCGAAGGACAATATTTTTGTCTGAATTCACAACGGAGAAATGCCATCAGTTGCAATCGCCCTGGCCCCACTTCATCACAAGCAGACCTGATTATCGCTACCGTTGCAGAGGCTCTGGCTGTGGTAAAGGAAGTTGCGCAGTGTAAAGATGAATAAATTAGGTATATATATATATATATATATATATATATATATATATATATATATATAGATTTATATATTTATATTCATTCGTGTTGTTACTTTTTACGATATTTTTATTATATTATTATTAATAATGATAATAATTATTATGCTTGTTATAATAATAAGATTATTCGTATACGCTACTTTCAGGAAATATTTTTGCGAGCATTTCCTGCAGGTCTTGTCCGCCACCCATAATTATTTTAATTAAAAGCACTCACTAAGAATGTGTTTTCGTCTAGCCTTTCTTAAGTGTGTTTTGTGCAACTTCCCCATCTAATACTGATGTTGCCTTCTGTCATATTATTGTCATCGACAGAAATAAAGTACGTCTCAATACGTCCTATACAAGACATATTCATTCCCTTGCTTTACTTTTATACGCAAACATCAAACAGTGTTCAGAACAACATAAACTCACTTTAAGTTGTGACCGATGACATCGCGTGAACATTTATCATCGTGCATATATTCCTCGTGTAGATAAAAATATGTACCACGTGTATACAGGAAGAAAACGTTTTCAAAATTATAATATAAAGATATTTATATATAGTCATCTGATGTGTTCATTATATAATAACAATCAAACCACAATCAAACGCCAGCATTCACGTTGGTCGTTTCTATATTCTTACGTTGTATACATACGTTATTGATTGAGCGTCACGACCGCAAACTGCACAACATCCTATACGGCCGCGTGGCGCTATTGATCAGATCACCGAGTTTGCATTTTTCTGCCAGCACATTATGCTTCGTTCTGTGCTGGGATCCCATAGATTTTAGCACATAGCCGCTGCAGCATAGATCCTATGTCAGAGTTACAGCAGATCGGCATTATCGCCAAAATTATTATTGACTTGATTCTGAATCGGATCTTACATTTCGATTCTGACGGGAGATCGGACGTTATTCCCACTTAACTGCGCTATGTTTTTGTGGTCGAGTAACCAAAAGCAGAGTAAGAATTTTATGTTGATATATGGAGGCCAGCGAAATAAGCTCCGTTTGTTAGAATCCGACGGACAGCGTCATCGTATCTGACGCCACGCTATTCCAAACAAAAATTTTGTCATCGACATTAATCGCGCCGCTCTTTAACGCACGCTCCCGTATCACGGTATATAGCACAGGGATATGATACTTTTATGGTTATTACTACTATTATTACCATCGCAATTCTCCTTTTTCTCAAATTAACAGTTATTTATTATTTGTTTACGTAATAAAGCAATGCAGAAGTTCTACGTAAAGGGTAACAATAGTTTTCTGTGACTTAGTGCTCATTGGGTTGTAAAACCACCGTGGCAGAAGTACGTCTGCCCTTGCTAGGTTTGGCCCGGAGAAGGTACAACAACAAAAATAAAACTAGCAGATATTAAACAAACGGACCGGCTTACTATGTAACTAACTGATACAAAACTAGGCTGCCTTTGCTTCGCAGCAAATTCACTTGTTCACAATATACAGCGAAACTGTCAACAGGTCCAAATCCTAGCAAAGGTCTGTAGACATGTTCTACCGTGCTCTGTGTGTTTTTCGAGTAGGTCTCGAATTCCTTTTGTTTCCTTTGTGAAAGAAACACAACTTCGACATATACTTTGTACACGGACTAATGCAGCATCAACGACACCATGCAGAAGCGTGTCGTAGGCAAAGATCCTAATTATGCTCATTATGACGATTTGCCAACGTTGAATTGATTTAGCCACCTTTGAACCCTCCATAAAAAAAGTTACACAGGAGAATTGCTCGTCCATGATATTCGGTCCTCCGTCTTACTGCTCATCGGTGCAGCTTTTCATTAATTATATATATATATATATATGTAGAATATACTCAAGGTGGAAGGTGTATGTTGAAATTGAAGGGGAATTGCGCAATAGTCACTCCATAGGAGTGATCTTTTGGAAAAGCACGCTTTGGGGTCCATTCGGTGTTTCCCCTTCCATCTGAAAGTCTACACTTAACGATATCGTACGACTTCCTGCAAGCAGCACTGGAAAACTAGCTCGGCTATCGACCCATGAATATCGTCGAATGAACAGCTCCATTTTCGATAGCTGACCCAATACCGTTAACTGGACAATTGATCTTTAGTTGCTAGTTGATTTTGTGTATACGTCTGGCTAAAAGCCTCTAAAAATGTTCGCTGGAGCTTCTTTGCGTAGCATGATTGAAGGCGCTGCTCAGAGGTCAAGCGGTCTTGGTGGTTTTCTATGCATGTAGTAAAGAGCTTGTTCCGTCAGCGCGAGCTGGTCCCGTGTTTTGCCGGTTAGCACAGCGCCGAAGGGTGCATTGGCAATGTTTTCCTGCGAGGCAGCAATCAGCGGCTCGAGTCTGTTTAGGACATTGATAGAAGAAATACATACGGCAAATTGGACAGCTGGTTTAACAGGGCGCTCTATCAGGGCGTAGCATAAAATTCCGAGTAGTTGTATATTTTTTAAATATATAATAATATATAATTAATAAATATATATACATCTAATCCAAATACGACACCTTTATACCTAATGCCAAGCATGGCCATAGGCCCCATACCTTCTTTTAAAGTTAGGGTAATCTGCAACCGTTACTCAGCTCGCAATATACTGGTGAACTGTAATTATGCTTATACGTACCGCTTCTTGTACTTGTGTTGTTGAATCATCGAATTTCCATGACTTTGCATAGTACTTGAGTTGGTTGACCAGTGATCGAGATCGACGTTCGGGTTTCTTTCGATCAAGGCTTCTCTCAGTATTTGAGGTGGGGAATGAGCAAAATGTACGGAGCTATCGCCAATGAGTGTCTTGCTTGGTGTTTCTGGATAAAGATAGTCTTCATTAACAGGTGGAAGCTTCTCGTTAGCCCAGGATTGATGCAAAGATTTGCGAGCTTTACGAGGACCCGGCCCACCTGACGAGCCATTGCCACTATGAACGGATCCGTTCTCTTTTTCCGACTGACCAAGCTGATTGCAAGTGGCTACAAAAACTGCCTGAGGGCCTGCCACAGGTGTGATCAGGTCATCGAGTTCGTCAAGGGTCGGCCCTGTGTTCGTCCTCTTCTTTTCAATTTCAGCCAGCGCTCGCTTAAAAGGTGTCGGCGTTCGGGGAGTAGTAGCGTTATCTCGTTTTGACGGTGTCCGTGGCTGGGGGGCAGTTTTAGGCGTTGAGCACAGCATCGCAGATGGGCTAGGGGGAGACGATAACACGGACGTGTCCAGAGGCGGCCCGGAAGAGGACGGCGTTTGCGGCTGCTTGAGGAATTGTGAGGGTGAAAACGTACACGACGTTGGCTGGTTCAACAAAGCAAACAGAACAAAAACAATCAAATTGCAATTCGAAATGAGCAGAGTCAGAGTACGATGATCAACCATTTGTGAGCTCGATAGATGTCAATGGAAAAAACTGTATTGTGTAGCCTATCTCAAATATGCGACGAAAGCCGTATTTTAATCGGGAAATTGGTAGAAAAAAAAACGTTTCTTTCATTCTCAACAGTAACAATTTACGATGCTTTGGCTGAGCTTGAGATCACCAGTTGTACAGTGTACCTATAATCCTTGGTGTACGCAGAGACGTAACCATATTAATCGTATATATATATATATATATATATATATATATATATATATGTATATATTCCTACCATTGGTATGTCGTATTTAACATAACCACCGGGCCGAAGTGTCACTTGTGAAGTGGGTAAGACGGGGGCTGCGTTATTGCCAGATATCGAAGTCGTTTCATCGAGTTGAGTCGGTCTTCGCCGTTTGAGAATGGGAGGCGTTTGAAGGCACCGTTGAGGAAGGTTATCTGCCATCAGGTAGCTCTGGTGTTCTTTACGCATTGTGGGTCGCCTGAATTTTGTGTGTGCGCGTGAATACAAGTCGGGATTACGACAAAATTATTACTCAAAAGAACATTGCACACCATAGCAAGTATTGAAAACTAAGTAATTCTCAAATCTTATTTTTTAAGTAAAATACAAACTTAGATGTACGTTAACAGTAAATACAGAAGTATGTTATTAAATTTAATTTGAGAATAGAGATAGTTAAATATATATATATAGAAAGGGCGAGAGGTGTATTATACAATGAAGTTTGAAGGTAATAACGATTCAGTCACAGTTCTTGCGATATAAGAAAAAAGCATATTTGCTAGCATTTAACGCAATCATTGTCTTTCTATGCTACTTACAAATCGTATTGCTGTGCGTAAGGTGAAATCATGTTATCCTGATTATTCTCATTGTAGTCCTCCTCCATATCCTGTAGCTCTTCAACTTTGATATCATTCAGGGGCGAAAGCATGTGGTTCACGTCATCACTTTTAGCCGGCGACGGCGATGGATAACAAGCAGTACTCATCACGGCTGTAGAAGTTGCCATTCGTTGTCCGTGTTCGTCCATCTTGACGCCCATTCCACATCTTGGAAGTCCGCCCATATTTGTGTTGTTCACGTTAAAGAAGTCATCCTGCTGCCATACCGGCTGCATTGAATCTGTCGAAGATGTAGGATAGAACTCGTCCAACGTCTCCGCTTTCTGGAGATTTGTTGTATCCTGCAAAACCATCGATGACGTATTTCCTGACAAGCTGGCGTCACACGGCCCCGAATTTGTTCCCATGCCAAGTTCGCCTAAATTTTGACGTTTCGACTGAGATTTTCGCTTAGATGACCGCGAATTCTCACCACCTTCGACGCGTTTTTTCAGTGTCGAATTCCAATGATTTTTAATAGCGTTATCGGTCCGACCTGGCAACAATTTGGCGATACGCGCCCATTGATTGCCCAGCTGCGAATGGTACTGGATAATCGCATGCTCTTCCTCACGTGTCCACGCGCTCTTTTTAATGTTCGGATTAAGATGGTTGTGCCATCGCTCTCGACATTGCTTGCCGATTCGACCTAAAGAAAAAAATGATTAGGTAAAGCTTCCTCAACTAGAAAAAAACGCTAATTATAACGAAAATGTCATATTTTATGGCCGATACAAACATTTATATTCCCTGTAAGATGGCTACTGATAAGATTATAGACATATAATCTATGAATAAGTGACAAAAAAACATCAATATTTTCGATTAAATTTCATTGTTGTTTCCGAACGACCTGGTACTTAACTTAGGGCTCAGATAAACCACGTAAACCTCTAACATGAGGGGAAGCTCACACAGATGAATACTGTACCTCTCACCAGAACAATGACATTATAATGATAAAATAGGCTTTCACTGTTGTTTGTTACTGATTCAGCCTCGAATCTTGCTGCGACTCAAAATTATCAGTCACGTTGTAAAATTGGCAGCCCTACACTGGCCTCATTTCCATACTTGGAAACAGGTCGTCAGCACACCATGTGATCAAAACGACAATGTCCCATACGTGCCAACCTGTGCATCTACATTTATCAATATATCATGGCACTTCATTCCGATTTTTTTCCTTCTCAATAAGTCTGCCTGCCTTTGTTTAAGTAAACTTCATTGTTGTGAGCTAGTTTCGCCTACTTCATGTGCTCCGCGGACGATCTATGTGTGACGCGTCATATATGGGGACATCTCTTCAGCAGACAGATCTCGCTTCATCTCGGTGTACGGTGGTGGGTCAGCCGTGCTTCGACGGACTTGTCAGGCGGAACCGAGCAAATCAGCGAAGCATGACCGAAACAATGGCTGCACCGGCGTCCTAGGCAGAACAGAGCAACCACAGAAGTTGCGGCATTGTATGCGATTAAGCCAAACCAGGCCAGGCGATCTACTAGAACAGGTAAATGACTCGGGGACGAGATGAAACCACTAAATACGGCACCACAGTTCTCAGTAAATGAGGGACGATGTGGAGGATTCGCTCTTGCGAGAATTTCAACCTAGGAAAGATTCTCTATGTTTCGAGTTTTACGTTCGGTATCGCCGAAACAAAGTTTGTCTGCCTAAGCCCGGGTTCGAACCCAGACAATAGTGTATCCCTAAGATAGGAGGGACCACGGGGATGAATAGTTATCGTTTACGAATGAACAGCTTGTTTATGTGTGGGAAACAACGAACAGGCAGTATACAATGAAGTGAGGATGGCATGTCGGGAACGCAGCTCGGCCGTGCCCAAACATACAAACATGCATGTAATTGTAGGTAGGAGTGGAAAGTATCACATGCACGGGTACATATAGCTTAGCCGTAGAAAATATGCGAAATGGTCCTAACCATAGCATAGTTAACTTGTTAACAGCACTTTTACAATATGCTTGATTGAGTACACTGATTGAGTACGCGTACGTGAAGATGGCTGGAACATATCCGGTTAAATGAATAGATACGCCAGTACGTCATCGTTTTTGAAAGTGAAGCGCAAGCGAGCACAGGCAACAGCCGACAGTAGCCCTATAGAAAATGACATAACAAATTTATTTTTTGCTCTATTATGAAGCTTAATGTACCTTTAAGGTGTTTGGCGATTACGGTCCAGCGTTTCGGTCCGTACTTTTTAACAAGTTCTACAACTTTCTCGTCTTCTTCTTTCGACCAGGAGCCCTTGACAAGTTCCGGATTGACGACCTTATGCCATCGCTGCTGGCACTGAACGTCCGACCGATCCGAGAAATGTGAAGCAATAACAGCCCAATCACGATTTTGACCTACAATAAACAAAAAAGAAGTTATCTCGCGTTATTCAATTAGGTTTTTCTGTTATTTGTGCTTGCATTTTACCTTTAACGTGTTCCACTCTTGGCCAAATTGCAGAGTTAAGTTCGTGTCCGTTAGCCATATCGTATGTCCCTTAAATGTTTCGTAGATTCTATTGGATTTACTGTCCTCTGTCCACTTGGTCATAGTACTATTTTTAAGAGTTCGCGCGAAATCGCTTTTCTGCAAGTTTCGCCGTAGCATTCTGCAACGCTTTAGTGAAGCTCATGGATCCATTAAATCATGTTTTGTGGAGCTTCCAACACAGCAGCGTTTGAATTTTTAAGCGCAAAAGATATGGAACAAGACTTCTAAAAAACATTTCTTTATCGTATTCACACATGTTTAATTATCACCGCGAGCTTTGTCACAAACCGCAGAGTACAGCGTATACATTCGATCGAACATATAATGTATTCGCATCTCCTTACTTTTTTTAAATAATAACATTAAAAACATTATTTTTAAATATAAAATATTAAAGATAAAAATATAAATAAGAATTTTTCCTCGATAAGCACTGTTTTTCTAGACGCAGTCTTATGTCCGATCGTTGTCGTTTGATTCGTGATTATTTGTTCCGTCCATCAGCCGTTCACTCACCCTTACCACATTTACCAGAGTCTAACATCGAGATCCAACGTGCACCGCAACAAGTTTTTCCCATAGCCCTGTATATATACTGATATAAATTCCGCCCTAACGAACGCGAGAACCTGTTGCACTCTCACGAAATTGCTCGTCGCCTCATGTTTTTTTCATTTGTGTTTTGTATTGTGGTCAGTTCTGTGTATGATGCTACTGCTACTGCTATCATCCTGCTTTGTAATTTTTATGCTAAGCTACGAGCGAATAATAACTTTGCCCTTGCGTTGTGAGTTGTTGGCCCACCCTACCTCCTAACTCTATGAAACAGCAACACTGTGTATATGATCACCGACCCATCACCTCGGCGTCGGCAGAATCTAGCCCTAATTTGAATATTGTCGAACAGTATTCTGTTTGAGGTAATATTTCAGTAAAAACTTCTTTTTCTGGGTTTTCTCCTCTGTCTGCTCCATCTGGAGTATTATTTAGCTTATACTGTTGCCGATTCCTCTAAGAATAACAACATCAACAACTGGAAGAAAAACGTGCGCCGATAAATTCGCTTTCTCAGTCGTCTCGCTTCGATCCATGGTCCTATTGACCGAATCGTATGGTCGCAATCCATCAGTGATGGAAATAGAAGAGGCGTAGGGGCGTGAAAGACTGACCGGTGTTGCCTCTACTATTCTCCTCATGGACGAATGAAGTCCTCCCTCCGTAAATCGACGCCATAATAATTTAGTTGAATGAGCAACATCTAATGGGAACGTTGCGTAAAGGCTACCTCGAAAGCCGTTCGAACAAATGCGCACGACGACAGAATTCATCAACGTGTTTTTTCTACCCACTGAACTGTGTTAACATTACACAGTACTGACAGAGCTCTTTTAGAACTCCCTTCGAAAGTCACTTTCGTTGCTTTTTTAACAATTCGGTCTAATGAAGCTAGGCTACTGATATTCCATAGCTGTTCACCTTTTTAACAATTTCTCCATCGACAACATCGTACAAAATTTTCTAGAATTTGCGTAAGGTAAACGAACGTAGCCCCAAATCAAGCAACAAACAACGCGAGTAACCCAACCAAGAAAAGAATGCCCGCCAAAATCCAAATCATCACCGGCGGCACTGCCGCTCGTTGCAGCGAGCAAAGACGATGGATCAGACAGTGGCATATTAGCGCCAGCAGCAGCGATGGCGGCAGCATTACAACAGCGTCCCACAAGCGTCGCCGCCGGCCAAGCCTTTTCATTTTGGCGCGTCGCCATAGCTCTCTGATTGTTCTCATCTCTTCCATCTCGTCTTTCTTCCTCTTCATCTTTCAGCGTCGACGCGGTGCGAGAACTGGCTTTGGCCTGCTCGGCCAATATTGCATATCGGTGTCCTGCCCTATCGCTGCTGTCGTGGCTGCTAATATGAATGTGGATTCTGTGGTGAGCGTCACTGCTGCTTCTCGGCGAGAAGGATGGATCACGGTGCTCGAAGAGCGTCTGATTGGCGAACCGCGCACAGCCGATCAAGTGTCCGATTGCGCAGGTTTTTTACGGTTTTGATTTGTATTTCTGCGTCAACTTAGACGACTCAGAACACACAACAATGACGGCGGTAACAATAACAACGATAATAACAACAGGCACGAGTTTTAGGCAAAAAGCGGTAACAAGCAAAATGAATGAAGAGTACATGCAGTAGTGACGCGACACTAACACGAGGTCGACGAAGACCTTTCGTATCTACAGACATCAAAAAAGACAGCCACTGTTATGGTTGACGTTGTCGGGTCCTGCTTGTGTTTTAGCCGACGCAAGCGCGCGACGGAGGACGTTTTCGTACTTACTTTCGTACTTGCTACCTGCCTGCCAACAATAAAGCTAGAACCATGCTACGATATGAATTCTGTTGAAGGCAGTGACGGTTGTATCCTACCTGATATAGACAGATACGTATAGTAATGGGCTAGGTGGACCGGCCTATTTGAAGGCTCCATACGAGCGAAAGAAAGAAAAGCCAGGGGACAAAAAAACTCAACTTAGGCGACATTAACAAAAACGAGGCGACCGGTAGTCATCAAATGCTCGTCGACCCCTTTGGGCTTTTGGGCGCTTTCGACCAGAAGCAGCACCTATCATAGTTGTAATACGCACAACTCGCCACGGCATTTTAGCCCGGCTCGGTATAAGCCAACGCACCTGGTCGCTACGTCGTCATCAGAATCGCACGGTAGAATCACCTTGACTCTAGACGGATCGAGTGACCATCGTCGTTTGTAGCAGTAACAAAAAACAGAAGCTGTGTGAGAGATTCGTGAACATCGTTGGCGCTGCCTAGTAATTTCCTAATAACAATAATAATCATAACGAATGATGGGATGGGATCCAATGTAGACTGGATGACGCAGCACTGAAGATGGCGATGGGGCAAATATTATATACGTAGGTAAAACTAATAGTCAGTGGATATCTTTGGATAAATATAAATCATGGCACGATAACAGTATGACAATTGAAACAGTAGACATTGAAGTACGAGATTTTATAACGAAATGCAGTTATACAACAGAGGCCGTTTCCAAGATCACTCCAGATATGTAATCTTGAGCAAGTCTACACCAGCATACTGCTTGCCAGATAGCAAAATTAAGACTTATAAACTGATTACGAAGAAGATGTGCTTCAAAGGGAGATGCCAATTGAGGCCATTCAGCCGCGGTCATTGGCTGAATAGAATGAACGATAAAGGAACGAACAGGTAAAAAAAATATCAGATCAGACACGTTAGGCTAAGCACCTGCTCTGTTGTTTTTTGCTCTTACACATTGTGACCTGCGTATAATTTGAAAGGCCTTTGACAGTACAAATCGCGCTCCGAATGAACAAGTAGCTTTGGCAACGTCGGCGTCGACGCACTGCTTCCGCCTGTCGTATGTCTTTCCGACGCTGTGTTGATTACCGAAACAGCAAGAAAATTTTCCTCGGCAATCCGTCTGTTGAATCAGGCCGTCACCTTGCCATAATCCCGAAGTGTAATTGAATCAGCTATTTCATTACATACACCGAACTGACCTGTAGATACCATTAGTCAACTTTTATATAGTCCTAGTTGCGACGAAGAGAGGAATGCGTCCGTTCGCTGCCACTACGCATAGCTGAGTTGTCGGATCGTCCCAGCAGCTGGCGGCCCGGGTTGGGCGCCGGTCGGCCGCTCGGGATGTAACATCAATCTCATTTTGCGCAGGAGCTAAGTTTCAAATGTAGACAATGTGCCAGCAAGCAGAAAATCTCCTTGGCTTGATTGGGTAAGTCTAAGTAAGCTACAAGCTGACGGTAGCCTGCCGTAGTTGCCTCTTTGGGTGGTGAATGGTAATAATGGAGTACCTACCAGCGTACAAAAATGATACAGCCAGAGTTTGTCTTTAAATCCCGAAAGCTACTGAACAACGAAAAACAGAAATTATCGTCAGAGGCAAAGCTGTGAAGGTAGTAGCGGTTGAAAGCGCATATGAAAAGTCATGTAAGATACATATAACGGTAAGCCATTCATAGATGTATATCCAATCTAGTCGATTTATAAAGATTTGTCGGCGTGTGTCGCAAGTAACAGCGCTTGCCTCGAATAAGTATCTGCCCTCTTCGTACATATGGCCATGGACCTGCCTCCTTTGCTTTCTGTATATTCGAATCTGTTCGTGCGCCATCTCCGAGTCCCCCCTCCTCCCCCCTCCGTATTTGTATGCAAGTCTCGCTCTGTCTGAGTATATATATATATGTGAACGCTCTCTTATGTTCGACCGTCAAGCGCGCAGCCGAGTGCGACTAGTTTAGCCGGGGGCTGATTCGTGATATTCTCATTTTGCCATATGTGCATGCCAGAATTCCAGACCGTTCCCATGACTGGCCGCCTCAGCTGGTGGCGACTGGAGATGTAGTCTGCCACCAATGCACCATGAAGCAGCATTACGGGATGGGCTAAGCGAAACAAGCTTGCTTTAGGCTAAGTCTAGAGGATTGAATCGATGGAGGCACCAGCTAACGATAACCCTACCAGGGAGAGGACAGAAGTACCAGCCCTCAATTGCTGCCACTGTCGGCATAGTGAAAAACACATGCATCACATTAGGCGATGAGAAATGCCAATTGAGCCCGATAGGAGCAAGTTCAATGTGGCTTTCGCCAGGACAACCTTATTATTCTCGCCTGTATCTCCCCTGGGGGGGAGTGGTGCTTGACTAAAAATAACGGAGACGGCAAAAACAATGGCGACCTACACAGGTCACTAACAGCAGTTGAGTCAGCGCAAGCAGATAGAATACGGGAATGCTTCAGTCTTGTGAGATTATAACCATTTTATGTTTTCTATGAATAGTAGCCGCATTTTCGGCCAGTATGTTATAACATCACTCTATTTTTTTCGTACAATAGGTCTATGCATTTCACAGATTGAGTAAATGCAGCCTTGCGTAGTGACACAGCGACAGCGTGATCTTCCGGAGATCCGGGATTCAGCCACACCTAAAATGGCTGAGCGAAAAATAAATGCACATCCAACCTCTGACGGAAGCTTATCTTTTGTCTCTTCCGGACCAAAATACCTATTGGAAGTTAGTCGCGCTAAATTCCTGGACAGCCTGCTATATCGCCGCGTTGAAATACTAGTAGTAATAGCATTAGTAGCAATAAGACTCATAGTAACAGCCTAACGAGGAACAGGACAAAACGGGCACGCAACACCGACGACCCATCCAAAAGCCAAAAAAGGCCAGAGGAGCAGCCAGGCACAATTAGACACAGGATCTTCGCAAAGAGAAGAGCTAGGTATCTAAGAGCAGTTGCTGTTGTCGAGTAGTGACTCGAGAGGGTGCCACTTCTCGGCCTACCACCAAAACCTGATGACGGTCCTGAAGCGAGGCCCGGCTCCGCCACCGATACTTAGCGCTTAGGCTGCTGTGGTGGTCCAGGTATGCGTTGTTGGCAGAAGACGATGCCTGTGCATGAGTTTCGCTCTGCTGTGTAGATGCATGTGACTGCCTAAGCGGCTGATGGCAGCTTTTGTGAGAGTGTTGCAGGCCGTAGCATGTAGGCCTGGCTCACGGTGCTCGCATGTCGCGGCGGAATGGAATGGAGCTTCGCCGTTCCTCCCGAATCGCCGACTTGCCTGACAGATAGGACGGCTGGATCACAAACAGCGAGCTAGCTAACCCTCCTGAGATGGTTCCGCTGCTGGCACACCCGGAGTAGCTGGGCTCACCGCTAGGGACGGGAAGCATAGCAGCAGTGGCGATCAGAGTCAGTAAAATAGTACATGGCCGAGACACCATCTGCCGTACGCCGTGAGTAAGCCAGAGATTGGCCGAACGAACGAGCTGGCTGCCAGCTTTAGAGCAATGGCACGGCTGCGATAAACTGTGTATGGTGCCTATGCCAGTTCTATATAAGTAAATCTATATATCTATCCACCCGATAAATGAGATATAGATGGTTCACTGTGTATCTGTATTGTGTGCGAGTGTGTGTGTGTGTGTGTGTATGTATTTGTAGAGCAAGAAGAGGTATCAGTGGTGGCCGCAGCGAATGATGACGAAAAATGGGGCAATACCATTCAGCCAGTCAGTACTGTTTCTGTTGCCGCTGTTGATACTACTGTAGAGACAGAAAGCTCTGCCAGGCTGGGATAAGAAGCAGCCTGGAGCGCCCTTACCGGCAGTACTCCGTCCCCGGCGATGTCTGTCAGAACGGGAACAGCCGCCGCGGTCTGAGCTTATCCGCTCGGCCTGAACCGGCAGCAGCCAAGACGCCCAGCATGGGTACATACCAATCGGGACTTACACTCTCACGGCGATACAAACACAAATGCATTACACGGCAGCAGTTGCCAGGGGGATCCCATCAGACGAGCGCGCAGGCAAACTGCGAACGTTCAGGATTCATTCGAAGCCCGGGACAGACCACATTCAGCGTTTTGAACGCAGACATAGTCGTATTGCCGTAAGTCGAAGTACTGACAATGACTTCGGTGGCGGCATCAGCGGCTGTGGCAGTGACGAGCTCCAACTGAGGTTCGCCTACCATGACTACTCTGGCAGCACAGAAATTCTGCCGCTTACTTTATCTACTACTTCTTCTACATGGATGGTTAAGAGCCTGGAGACTGCAGAAGGTCTACGGTGACTTTGCGACTACAACACTGCCTACAGTGATGCCGAGTTGTTCAGCCGGATTTCTCCCAGATCAGCCAGATACGGTGGCCACAGAACATCGCAAACTCTCCTGTCTAGGAAGCTACTCAAATTCGGAGCGAGATCATCCCAGAAGACATGGACGACGCTGAGACAAAACAAAGGGAGCTTAGACGACCATTACGGAGCTGAACGCATTCAGATATGGGCGTACGTCGAACTGATAGATAAATAACAGTAAAACGCGTAAAATGAATATCGTGGAAGATCTGAGCAAACTTCTGTGGAGCTGATGATGATGGCGATTAAGAGAACGGCCATTGACGGCTAGCGAAAAAGTTGTCTGAGGGCCCTCTCATAGTTAGATTCCCATGGGGTAAAAGGATTGTAGAGACATCCTCTCCAAAAGAGTACAGTTTCCGTCTTCTTTGTTACGAGCACTCGTAGAATGCTTTCGTCGTGTTATTTGAAATAGTCGATTGTTCGAAAACAAATTAGTTATCACGAGTTTGACCATAAATTGAGATTGCCTGAGATTACGCGTGAGGACAAAACTGAATATGTGCGAATGGAAAAAAAATGAAATACTACAATAACTCACAATGCAGAATAACTAGGTCGAGGCGATATTTACAAATATAAAACATTTTATGTAAACAGAGCTTAAATGAAAGTAATTGTTTTATTGTATCATACCTATAGAAAACGACCTCTAGGCCTAGAAGCAAAACATGGTGCCTCTAACATCGTGTACCCTAAACCATCGATCATATAAAAAAAAAAAATCGTGGAATTAATATTCAGCATATGTCTATAATTATAATATGCAGGGTCTAATCACTACATGGCCATATCTGAATATTGTGTTAGTGCCGTTGCAGTTGAAGCTTTCTCCACTGTTTTAAAGTAGCGTTACTTAAGCTGAACCACAAAAAGCACAACCATAAGTATTGGTAATTTGTGGATACAGACTCATACACATACCCAACATAAGTGGTGACCACAATACGTAGATTCATTAGCATGATTAAAAACAGCAACAATCATCGCATCAATTTCGTTAGCTGAAGTGACAAGGCGAATAAGAAACTTAAATAGTTAACTTTTCATTCTGAATAGTTACTTTCAGGTACTCTAGATTTGATATTTTAAAGCTTTCACGGTCAATACATATTAGCCTACTACTGAAAATAGACTTTTGAACAATTTTTTTATGGCCAGAAGGCGTTTATTATTAATTGCTTCAGTAGCTAATATCGTGGTAAGCTGGGCTATTCGCTAGAAACTTTACGCGAAGTTTAATAGGTTTAAAAGGAGCCTAATTTCAACATAGCTACTAATAAGAAGTCCGAGAAACGCTTCGAAGTTGGACACGTAATGACTTATGCCTAATATTTTGTTTTTCCTCTTCCACGTTTTGAGGTGAAGTTATAAATAAGAAGTAAATGCAAAAGTCAAGGTTAATATTACAAATCAACTCAAAAACGCTACTAAATTCAGCCAATTTAATTAAATCAACGCGAACGCCAATGAGGCCAATGAATGACTTAGAATCGTACGTTCTTAATATTTTTCTTCTTAATAAAATATATATTATGATTTCGTGAAACAGTCTTCCGAGGTTATGACCCCGTCTTCATTCGCTACAGCATGGTTTGTAATTACCAAGGACAGAAGTTATCAGGCAGTAGAATTAGTTGAATATCATAAACTTCTGATACATTGAACACAATTTTCTCTATTGAAATTCTGCGAAGTATTAGAAATTGACATGTGCGAATTCGCAATGCAGTACTCAAAAACTGTTTTTATAATAAAGGCACGAAAAGAGAACTTCCTTGTCATATATGTAAAGCCATTTTGAACTCTGCTGCAGCTCATCGCAGTCAAAATTGTAATCATATTGTGCGTTCCCATATATTATGAATGGATATGCCTTACGTAATTTTACTTAACACTCTTTGTAATAACATATTTGTTTTTTGCGAACAAATGAATGTCCATGTTCCACTTTGATGAAAAATGATTGTTGATTCTAAAAATCGCATTTAAAATATGATGAGAATCTGTACTAGATCAGAGTGAGCGTAAACCAATAATGAGTTTACCGTCGAGCAAAACATATATTTATAGATAAATTTGTGTTCAGGAGAAAAAACAGGGTTATCGAAAAAAAAAATTCGTTTCTCTAATTTTTTAGTAGATAGCTTATTTTCCTGAATTTTAGACTTGGGTATTACTCAAATTTCGTCCCACTCCTCTACACCTGCAGAAGAAACTGCGACTGAGGCAAATAAAATAATATTAATATGATTCTTGCATACACTAAAATGCACGGGTAAGTTGAGTTCTTATTTAATTACTAAAATGTATTGGCCCCTTTGTATGCGCCGACGAGTGCTGCACCTTGACAAGAAAAACTAGTCAAAAATTAAAAGTCAGAAGAGTCACTAACGATCATGCAGAGAAAGATATATCGCAAAGCCTGAACATAAACGTTCAGTCGGGATAACAAATATACAGACTTACTATATCGAACATAATTTCTCTAATAACGCGCACAACTATATTCATCATATGTATTAAAACCTAAACTACCCATATGCCTCGTAAGCGAAACCATTGTTACTTCGCAATGAGATGGAGTGCTGTAGCTTGGGATCAGCTAGCGAGAAGTGTGTACTAGTAGTATGTGAAGAAGGGCAGTAGCGTTGCACCGGGTTCACGAAGTCACTATTTGCGCACTACTGATCAATAACAACGAAATAACCAGGTAGACGGCGCACTTAACGACTCTTAAACAAAAACAAACAGTTTCTTTTGTTAAACTATTTAATCTAAAATTGTCCTCGACCCTATAAAGGAAAGTGCCAACGAAAACAGAATTTATTGATTACAGCAAAAAGATCACCAGTAGTTCAGTACTTTCATGTATTAATATACCATTTCGACTGTAGGGGGAAACACATGTTTATTAAAACTATTCGTGCATTATTATTTATAGAACTTCTGCAGGGGCTGATAGCATTTATGTACATACACATATATTATTCTTTCAGTATAATAGCAATTCAACTCAGCAGCTAGCACTACGCAATCGTAGATAAATCGATTTCAAAGAAAAACAGAGCTTGAAAAGAAGTAATCGCTAAGGGATAGCTTTTGCAAACCTGCTAGTTAATAAGCCTTTTCAAGTCGAATTTTCTTGGTTTATTCTACGTGATGATCGAAATTTGCTCGATAATAATTTCGTTGTTGCACTCGAATCGAAACAATGAAAGATTATACCCATTCAATCAAGACTCGGCCTTCCTGTGGAAGTCGGTAAGCGTTTATCATTTGTAGTTAAGGCGAGAGTTATATTTTCGGTCAGAGATGTACAAATTTAAATGCGTGGTAAGCAGCCCGTTTTGCAATATCGATTACAAGTCACTTAACCCGGAAGCTTTGATACAGTCTTTTTGCCATTTTTGCTCACAGAGTGTTTAGAGTAGCGGCTATTAAGGCTATAATCTTAGTTAGAACCCCAGATGAAAACTTATTTTCGCGCTAACACAGAAAACTCTGGCAGGCATTCATGTTTTAAGCTTCTGTCATGCGTATAAATATTCCGGGCCAAGTAAAAGCTGTCGCCCTTTGATAATCCTCCTCCATCGCCTTAGTGATTCCATAACCATTGATTGACTGGCCGTATGAACGCTCTGGAAAAATTTGACCCTTACTATCGAAAGTGATCTTTTTTGTCGCCCTGGGGATAAGTTATTCACCACTTTGGTGTTGTCAAGATTTCTTCATAAGATCTTTGACAAGAGGTGTTTACTAACATGAGATTTCAGTCGGTTTTCGTCCTTGAAGCTATAATTTTTTCATGTTTTGGAATTAGTGCGAATAAACATCAGTGGATGGAAGTAGAAAGTTGTGTCGTATATAGCACAGTGACGTCAATGCTTGGAGTTTTATTTATGACTCGTTGCAATTTTGGGTGAACAAGTAAAATAAAAAGCAGAACGTCGTGAACCTCGACGCAGGGAAATGGTAATTCACGAAAAATTGCGCCTTAGAAGCTTAAATGTAGCAAATAAAAGATCTAACGAAAAACACAGGGGCGTATTGTTGTTATTATTGTTTTTAGAACTGATGGCAAGCAATCAGTCAAATTGTCCTTCGCCGATTCAACATTCCAGGTCATGATTCAGATCGGACGTTGGCCGACGATGAGACAAATCTGTAACGTACATCATTTTATAGGCGCATAACGCTATCAATAATCCTAGTCAGAACCTGCGCTATTGACTCGCGTGAATTGTCAATAGTATTTTGTTAACTACTATTACGTTGGGTTTGAATTACTGTAACTAAAGTACTAGTAAATTACCCAATAATGACGTCCTGCACACAGGATCTGTTCGAGGGAACAGGACCTTCTGTATCAGCCTGAAATTCAAACTACTGTGCTGAACAGGACAAATGTGTAAAACGGAACCAAAGTAGGTGAGGTATTTCTTAAACTCTTTCATGATGTGTGTCAGGTAGATGTTGTGATCGAGGTTCATATTATTCATGCGTCGTGACATAATATTATGAATGTCTGTCCGTTTCAAAAGCACATGCTTACACTGAGCTTTCAAAGACCGTTATTTTGGAAAGGACTTATGACGTCTCTATAATTTAAAATATTGGTTCTAAGATTGTGTGCCTACGGAAAGTCGAAACAGGCGTTAAGTTGATGGATGAGTTAGCCACTGACACGCTGAGGGGAACTGTGTTTTTTATGTTTGCATGACTGCTAGATGTTGTGTAGTACCTATCTGTGGCCGAACGAAGTTAGCTAGCTAGCTAGCTTTGGATCTTGATACGGTAGAAGGGTTGTGTGCGACAAGATGTATAGATTATGCAGGTAAGACAAATTCCACCACCTCTTTCTTGTTTCCTGGTTCAATCGGACCTAATTTAGTTGAATACAACCTGCATAAAGAAATAACTTTATTTATTCGCACAAATTGTGTAATATGTGTGCCCTTGGGAAAACCACAATGGTGGTCTAGGTTCAAATTGGAGCGTAGACAGACTTTGATCCTTCAGTAATGTGATTTGTTGTAAGCTACCAGAACTAGCCCTCTTATACGAGCATTCGTCAAATGTAGACAATAGCTGTTATTGTTCACACGTAAATCTCAGTAATGGCAGCTGAAAATCGAATGGAGAACATTTGGCTAATCAACACTTGTGCTGACGATGACCAATAAATCTTTAGCAGGGAATATCCAAGTTAAGATGTACTAGCCCCTATGAAAAGAAACTGGTTTATCAAATGGCCGTACATACGACGTTGAATGAGATTTGACTTGATAGCTAGTGAAAAATTAGATAGCGCAAACCTAGCGAATAACTCACAAAAGCCGAAAGTCGACTTGTAGACGATGTTTCCCGTTTGTTTCAGCGTTTTTTTTAAATAATGCGTATCTACAATGCTTTCGGCATCCGTTTTCATTGTGTCCGTTTGCAATCACGATACGAGTGACTTTCGAAAACAAGAACACAGCCACGCGGATATGCCAGCAACCACCAGAATATTGAGAGTACACTTATGATTATCTTTTTATCACTACTGTGCTACCATGATTCTCCTCCGCCAAAATCATTCCTAGCCTGTTGATCTGAGTAGTTGATCTGAAAGGCCTGTGATAATTATATGCACAAGAAACTTTTCCCAACGATAACGTTGGTAATGTGTTTCTCGAACACATTGTAATCACATAAAATGGAAATCACTTTACACAATAACCTTACAGGAACGGCCGATTCTTAGGAATATATCATGGATAAAAGCATTAATTCTTTTTTTCATTTTCTCAAACAGGAATCGATTTCTTTTGGACCGTGCCCAATTACACAATTTACTACGAATAGCATTCCATTATTGCTCTGTATTCGTTGTACCAACGGGTCACACGGCCGGCATCGGGGCTCTGCAGCAGGCTCCCCGCTGTCAAGGTTACCTATTTTGGCGGCAAGTCACGACAGAACAGCCTATGATTGTGGGCTCCACTCAGCGCACCAGCTTCGTGTTTTCGAAAGTGAGATTTGCCCCATCAATCCACGAAGAGGCAATGGGATCAACTATTTGCGTATGTATGAAAGGAAAATTTAAACACGAAACATAAGACTTAAATTTCTGTTCGGATGTCGGCGGTGGTGATATTATCTTTAGAATCACAATTTGATTGCCTCAATGGAGCTGAATAATCGCGCTCGACAGCATTGGATACAGGCACTATTACATGGTAGCATCGAGCATATGGCGACGGGAGTCTGGGAGTTGTCTGTGGGCCCCAATCGAGACACAGCGGCATTAAGGAGACAGGCAAAATTCAAGCTCAGCAATAGTTGCTGCCGGGATAGCAAAGTACCCACATCACTACCTCAGCGAACCGCAGGCGCTGCAGTAGCGAAGCAGTACAGTGGTGATACTGACGTTGAGAAAATAGGAAGTGTTTTGTCGTACCACAATTTCGCACTAAGAACACGTGAGTAACATGACCTAGCAGAGTCATGGTGAGAATCGCTAGATCTAATAAACACCAACAGTTACTGTCAACGAATCGAAACCGTGGAGTTCACGTGTACACAATGATGGTTATACGGCAGGCTTACCTATAGACTGCACGAGCTGCTTCAGAAGTTCATCTTCCTCTTTTGTCCAACGAGCTGAATTCTTGCTTTTGTTAGTACTCGAGCTCGACACGTTCCGAAAACTTTCGTCGTCGTAGCTGCTGTCGTCAAAATCGTCTAACATCATCATTGAGGATGTTGAATTCATGGTTTTGACCAGTGTCGGTAGATTAAAGGCCTATGAACTTTAGCAGGCACTTTGTTAGGTGTGTTGCACTGCACCTAAAAGCGTTCCTCTTAAACACCCATCTCGGCAATGTTGGCCACGGCACTAGTCCTTGGCACGCGAAGAGATTTTGCACATAAATGACTGGACTGAATCGACCTTTTGTCCGACAAATTTTGAGAGGACGCGCTTGCTAGTCGTGATTCGTACGAGCTTTATCCAGCCTGTATGTGAGCTGCCGAGGCCGCTCGCGCCATTTCAAATCAGCGGGAGGGTCTGCTCCGCGGAGCAATATTAACGGCGCTCCGGGAAAAGGCGGGCTATTCAAACAGGCTGGCTGCTCGGGAAAGGGTAGTGCGGGTGAACAGATGTGAATAACTTAGCAGACTATAAATGGTGCGTTGGTTACGTGTTTATCTATTAGGCTTAGAGATACGCAAGGTAGTCTGGATTTGAAACCGGGCAGTCGAGTAAACACGCTTCGTTTCACGCTGGAAGCTAGCTGTTGGAAGCAATGCTTGAAGGTCGTACCGGACGTAAAATTAATTATTAAAACGCACGTTTTAACGTTTTAACGCAAATGCCGTGCACGTTATTAAACGTCAGATATACATTGAGGGTGTGGTTGACTTAGTAGTATACAGCAGCTGCATCAAGAAAATGTCTGAAGTTCATTAAAATGCTTTTGATGCAGTATGCTAAGTTTTAAAAACAAAGTTGGCACCTACTACAAGATAGTCCAATTCAATAGTTTGCAACTGTATACGAATAATCATTGCTGATAATGTAATCTTATACCTATAATTTCAAAATAACTTAGTGGACGGTGAAGGTTAACGCGCTACCAAAGAAAGCTGAGTTTAACCTTCGAATTCCTACCTGGATAAAATAGACACTTGCTTTATTAATTCCTTATAATTAATTGTCCGTAATGCTATCAAAGAGGTGTATAATTTGACACAATGGGAACTCTTCTGAAGATTATGCAGTTTTAGGTGGCAGCAGTGTGATAGACTAAGAAACTCTTAAGTCTGTACTACTAAACCGAATGACCGTATGACTGTAATCTATTTCCATTATGATTGCAATTTATTTCTCTTTCTAAGAGATGTGACAAATAAATTACAGTGGAGAATAAAATATAAAACCGAGTCCTTTTATGGAATTGTTTTGTTTTAAACGACTATTAGAGAGTTGAGCACTAGGCGGGTCCATGCGCTACGATAATTCCTTTAAAAGTATACCGACAGCTTTAATCGATAAAACTGGTATAAGAAGCTCTACATGATGTGTTTGGCTCAAGAAAGTTTTTCATGCCACGCTTTGATGAACAGGACGACTCTGTCCCGCTCTATCGATATCTAACTTAGTATGTATCTTGTAGCTCTGAGCGACGAATGCTTTTTGTAACTGCAATATACATTTCTTTGATCTAGATATTTACGGTATAGAAATGGATACAAAAGTGACCCACACATATATGCTTTCATAGAGCAACTTTTTAATACCATCTCGGTAGTTTTAAGAAAATTGTTAAGACCAAGATTTTTAACATAGACCTTCACGAGCTGACATTTAGTCGGTCGCTTTAACTGCAAAATGGACATATGTATTCTTTTAAACAATTCATAGTTGTTTTGTTTTTCGACCTATGTTTTTATTCAAATATTTTGAATCGCCCTATCGCTGTAATGCTAGTTGGAATAAATCAAGGAGCATTTTGGCCAAAAGAAACACCTAGAAGTCACCCTAGAAATACGGTCTACAGGTAGTTATGTGTGCCGCACAAATAAACATACGTCCCTAGTTAAAACTGCTGTTTCCGACAACCTGAACTGTAAAATTTAGTAACGTTTGTTTTTGATCTGTCTAATATCAAAAATGCATTTTTTTATTTTTTTTAGTGAAGCGCGTTTAGAATATATTTATTCTATCTTTTCGAGGATTAACTTTTTTTGTCTATGGCTATAGCTGTAATGGGGTTGTGTACTACGTCCTTTAAAATGAAAACAACTTCTTCCACTAGGTAAATATATTTTCACAGTGCTACTGATAGAGAGTAGATAGAAGTCTTGATTTGCAGAACATTCACTGCTGCAAACGGTTACAGAAAACTTTGAAGATGTTGCTACATGAATCAGCTGAGGTGTCTGAGATTGAGCTTCTGTTTCATTTTCTAAGAGCACGATTCAATAAAAATTAGTTCATAGGAGATATGTTAAAACGCTAAAGCACCATACATTTTGTACAATCGGAAATACAACATAATAAAAATAGAAAACGAATTATTGCACTTATTAAATAAATAAGTGAAATCCGACTGAATGAATCCGATACCAGAATATGTCAATGTATTATTATAACACTGGTTATAGCATAATACAGTTTATACAAAGGCACGTCAAAAATTAATGACGATCGAATAAAACAAAGTACTCCTAAAATATATTACCAACCATAACCAGCTGTGCTTACAAATACCCATCTGTATGTGTATTTAATTATTTTATGTGTTTTTCTATCCTTCTAGTCATTTATAGCTTTTACCTACCACGCCACCCCCTCCTAAGCGTAGAGCTCATTGAGCCTCCACCAAAAACTAGATCCAGTCGGTGTCGCCGCGCTCAGCTGTATTTCGAGTGTTTCGAAGGGTTCAGTTTGTTGTTTTCCCAATTCGAGGGGGTAAACCGAAACTCCAGCTGGCGAGCACATAAAAACAAATTTGCTGATCAAGTCTAGCTGCAAAGTAGCTCCACAATTCCGTCACCTGTCCATGCCGAGTCAGCACCTGCTTTCGTAATAACTGGATTTTACAGTGGAAAAACTTTTCGTTAATTAGCTTGAAGACAACGTGTAACGGTCGAAATTCTACCTAAAACCACTATTCCAATGTTGGTATGTCCAGTTCTAGTAGAACGAGATCATATGTTCGGCCCTATTGTGGGGTAAGCTAGAAGGTCATTTTTTTATTTAAATATTTTAGTTTAAAAAAAAGGCTACTACTTTTTTCGGATGTTTTCTTTCTCAAAACTCCCTACCGATTGTCATTAGTCGATTGGTTGTGAATGTAATAGGCGGAAAATGAATGGTCACTTAGATCGTGGACTCAGTTTGGTATAACAATATTGCGTGACGAAGTGACGACAGTATGATTGGTTTTGAGTGTGTTATAATGAACTTAACTCAAGATAAGCTATAATGGAATATTGTATGGATGGACATTGTGCGCTTTGATTAGGTTCGTAAATTCATGTTATGTCATAAAAATCGGCAAATATTTGACCTTCCACTCTATGCATAGACAACAGCGAAATCATATAAAATTCCCTGTAAACTAAGAGCCATGTATACAGCAAATGCGCAAAAAAAAATTTAGAATAAATCAATTTGATGGCATCAGAGTTAACGTGAACAACCGACGTTTCTTGCCGTCGGCTTTTTGCCCCCTCCGAAACTCCCTTTATAACCCAGTAGTATCCGAATTTATCATTATATAATAATCGATTATTGTCATCGACACAATAGCTGAGCATTTATAAAGGCTTCGCATATGGCCAGAGGCGAAATCAAATATAAGCGACAAATTACTATGCATTACTTTAGCATACTAGTAGCGAGACTAGTCGACGCGATCGAACGAGGAAACTCATCTAGCTCTTAAAATAGCACTTTCAGTGGAAATCTTGTTAAAGTAGCTTTGAACCTGTTTCCGATTTCAGTAACATGTACTCGACCTGACTCCGACTTTCATGCCCGTCGAATGAATAAGTCTTTTCAGAACAACTGAAACCGGAAACATCAGTTGACGGTAATATTGTTTACTGTATACCCACACTCTAGGTCTGGATTGACTATCGTTGAAGATAAACGTTTAGGTTAAGGTAAATGGTTTAATGAAATTCTATTTAATTTAACACCCCATTAATGTGCTTATAGAGTTCGTCATGGCATCCCCAGTCGGGCTGCAAAAGAAGCTGGTCTCGGTCGATGTCCGAGTGAAAAAATTAACCCTTGATGTCAAAAGGTGTGATAAAGCTAATGTTTTGGCTTTACGGACCCGGGAGGCATCTGAATCATTGCTAGAAATGGCGTCGATGATACGTGAGGTCGAAACACTGGCCAGGGCAGCGGGTAGAAACGAAAGGGATGACATGAACAACTTGGTTGAGACCTACTGGACAATGATGCGCGAAAACCAGGTATATAGTTAGTTTATATTGAGTGGTCATTCTTCTAGCTAAATGGCGGCTTTGAAGTCACGTATCATTTCATGTAATATTAATTCAGGCAAATAAGTTTTGCTGTCATTTTGAAACTAATTTGGCAGCAGCAGAGGTGCTAAAATTGTCGGGATGGTTTCAATCAGAATTAAAACGGAACGTTTTGAAGATGAGTGAAATTTGTGCATTTCGTTTGCAACGGAAGTAACCCTGTTCTAAAGCACTTAGTCACAAGAAATGAAAAGTGCGTCACACACGACAATAATTTACGAAGAAGATCACGGTCAAAGTGAAGGAAAGCTTCAAAATTTGTGGCGAAGTTTGAACTGAAAGGATGACGTCTTTCACCATAACAACACACAATACCCGACAAAAAGCTGCCCAGAAACAACAGAAACTCTGCCGTGACGAGATCATGATGTCACTAAAGTGGCAGATAACCATCAGTCTTTCCACTGACACATATTTAGCTTAGTAACATTGTTTTAAAATATAAACAATATTTGCTTCAATTTTCTTTTAAAAAAACATCAATATTATTCCAGTCCTCTATATAACTGAGCGGTGCTCATCAGTGTATTGTTCACTTAAGAGCAGGAGGTCTGGTCGTCTTCTAAAGCTGCCTTGTGTACCTGAGTCGCATAATAAACATGTTCGCTACAGTGTTTAAGACTTTTTGATACACACATGAACGTGTACAAATGATCTTTCTAGTTAATTTTTGCTCTTACGTAACCGTGATATCAATGATTTACTATATCTGCCGAAGGATAAATGTACAAAAAATGACGAAAAACAAATTGTGTTCAACTGAAGACTGCACTGCGAAAGGCCATCGTGGGTGCCCAACACTCGATTGATCGACTCCATCGAACTGAGCTGTTCCGCAGTGAAGAAAGGAGTATAGAAAACGAACAGGGCAAATCGGCCGGAATCCGGCGCAGGGGCAAAATGGAGAAAGAATCACTTGTAAGACACTCGGCCAGTGTCACGGATAGCTTGCTAGGCATCTCACGTGCGATGAATGATCAGGTAAGGGGTTTAATAACAGAACGTGCAGCGCTTACATATTTTCCTTATTCTAAGGTTTTTTTCATTTTATTCAACATCAGCCTTAGTTGGCTTCAACTATGAGAGCGCATGAGTTAATCGTAGCAGCAATTATTCATTCATTACACTGGCATGTCGGTTAGGCAAGCTAATTTATTTTAGCCTAAAAACGATACACAGTGTTACACATAAACTGAGTTTATGCAAGACAATACAGTATAACTATATACCGTTAGTCCTGTTACATCCGTTTTTGTTGACATAGGTCCAATACTCAATACAATGCACGAGTTACTCCTTTCATGTCATCCGTATTCACCTCAGTAAGTGTGCGGTTATGTTTAATATACCCTATCTTTACTGAATCCACATTACAGGTAACATCTTCGAGCGCCACTATCGAACATCTGGTGGACAGTTCGGCAACAATTATCGAAAGCGGTCAGGAAGCTACCAAAATGAACCAAGAAATTCAGCACTCATCAAAACTTCTGACGAAGTACGATCGGCGAGAAACAACTGATAAAATCCTGATTTTTTTTAGTTTTTTGTTCTTTTTCGCCTGCGTTCTTTACGTCCTTAAAAAACGAGCCGGTATTCCATTCTCGTGGCTGTATATGTTTATCTGAAGAAAATTTTTCGAAGGACCGGCAGCTGAAATTTTCACTGCCGCAAGGACAAGTCCTCCTTAGGCCTCGTCTCCATCGGTCGAATGATATAGTTATGTATTGTCCTGTTCAGCTGGGTGATAATGTGCCTAATGAAGTATTATATGAATTGTGCTGCGATGTAAAGTGATGCTAGTTGCATTTATTTTACATAATGTAAGCCTGTCATTTCGTGTGGTCAAGAAACCCCTTTCCTTTAGAGGTTAGGCAACTTTCAGGAGAAAATATATGTGAATTGATTTGACGAATTTGAATATGTATTTGTCTGTACAACTGTTATTAAATGGATCGGTGCTGTTAATGTGACTTTATCTGTTCATCCCGACAAGAGATGTTCTGATATACGGAGAAAAAACATCCGCTTTTAGTTTGTATATAATTGGAAAGACACCGTGGGATATGTGTACATTTAATGATAAAAACAAGTGCAATTTCATAAAAGTCAATGGACACGGAAGCGTGTAGCCCGATGTTTCGATGCACGTGTCTCTTCTTAAAACATATTTAATATAACAAAGGTTCGTACATACGCTAAGTGTTATATCCATTTGAATCCAATATTATAAAGTAAACTAATTTACTGTTTGATAAAATCGACGGTTTGTCAGTAATTCCTGTTAATATCTCCTTACTAAAGTAGGTCTGTCCAATTTAGCAAGCTCTATTGAGGGTGAAAACCCTTTCGGGCATCGGGTGGTATGAAAGGCAGCAAGCTGCTGTCACTAAGCCCTTCGCCGCTGATATACATATA